CTTTTGGTCTTTTTTTGTGATACTACGGAGACTAATATGATATCGTCCTAGAAAACCAGCGAACTACTCATTACTGAATCAGAATATATCCAAATTCCGATCAGGATACAGTTCACAGAATTGAAATCCTCCTTGAATCTGAAACCATCTCCTCCTCACAATCTGCCCCTGTGCTCGCCATTCAAGGAAGTGACTATATAACTTCTCTTCCAACTCCTGCTACCAGCATTGACTATAGTTTCCAATTTCTAGTTTAGAAGCTCTCCCTTTAGTATTGATCTCTAGCTTTTCTATTCCTTCCTGTCTTTTAACCTGGTGGCTAATTTTTCGTTGTGGAATTTGGAACTGATTGGCTGCTTTTTGCTGAGTAGGCTTTTAGAGATAACCTTGCTTCTTGAGAGGAATTCGGTGATGTTCCAGAAAGATAAGAACCCAAATTTTCTGCCATTAGCTGTACGTTTGTTCAACTCAAATAACGGGATTGAGATTTTGTTGGTTCAATACCCATTAGCTAATTGTCTTTGGTTTTGGTCCATGCTACTTGATAGTAATTCATCTTGAATATATTTTGAAGAAGATATTAAATCGCAAATTCAAGTCAAGGTATAATTAGAATTCTTGTCATAAGTCTTGATACTATCTATTTTGCATTTCAAATATTTTCCCTAATCTTATATTGATTTCGGTATACTTACGCTTTATGATTCATGTAGTTTCACTCTTCCGAGTCATAAAAACTCTTGAATTAATTACAATTTCCAGAGTTTTCAAGCCTCTAAATCTTATGACTTTACTTTTTATATATGAGCCATGAAGATTCTCCAAAGACTCATTATTCTCCCTTGTTTTGGAATCTTGGTAGTTCATTCTTTATCTAACTTTATTCTCGTATACAGACTCAATTTTATATTACAAAAAGCGGGAATCTAATTTCTGAATCACAGATTATCACTCGGCTGTATGAGTCATAGCTCGCTTAGCCCTCCCCCTGTTCATACACCATCCTTCGAAGATATCCCTTTTTTCCGAGATGGCCAATTGCAAAAGTTTTTACGGTACTCAAGTACTGTACTGTACTATGACATTACGTCTGCAATGCGTGCCTATGTGCGCTCCACTCGAGCGCAAGTTTGCCATCTGCATCTCCACACGTTTCTGCTTGCTTGTTAAACCGGCATACACCCCGGTAGTCCTTGGGGAGATTACAGCATCTCATTCGTTCGCTTCGTCAGCAAGATTGAGGGATATCATGGACCTAGTTTGATTTGCGTACACCGTTCGAGTATCGATGCTAACAGTACAACTAGGGCAATGCGATGCAAACGTGGAAGAAATCCTTGGAGGGATCAAACGAGGCATGTGGTATGTGCGCTGGTTGTCTACAAGGCTAATTGTACTAGTACACGGACAACAAGTAGTGCCAGTTCATCCGATAGTGATTCTAGATTTCCGAAATGTTATTGGGGAGCGAGGATTTTAATACTCACGAGAATTGTTGAGAGTCAAATGTCACTTTTTGTCTCTCCTCGGGATTCAAAGAACGAGTGATCACTGATTACGGTAGTCTACTTCCGTGTTGAGGCCTTCTTGCTGGACACACCCCCCTTTTCTTCTGGCTGTGTTCACCCCTTTCAGTTCTCCGCCACGTACCTAAATCTCCTCGAACTACCGAAACGGCATAATAAGTCTTGGCTTTCAAGATGTTTTTCCACTTTCACCCCTTCTTCTCCTTAAGTTGACTACCGGTAGTGAACATTTGTACGAGTAGAGAAAATTTGGGGTCTGAGATGCCACAGATTGTGTCTTGTCCAAATATCCTTTGCGTAGCCCACTTTGGCGAGAAAAGATAGTTTTTGAAGGGTTTTTTTTTTGTAACAACTCTTCTTCCCCTCCATGTGCGTCGGGTCTGGTGTATGCATCGTACCGGTACTTGTACTCGAGTACACCCACGCCATGCCCCGAGGAGGGCCAAAATACGTGGTGCAGCCGAATGGACGGGGGCTAAAACTCAAACGGGTGGTAGATTGAGGTGAGGGGGCTTACCGGTACTCGAGAGCCGGTACTGGAGACATGATATTGATGATAATTTCGTACTGTGAGAGCTTGTGCCCAATTAGGCTCTTGTGAAGAGTATTCGGCGGACCGCACGAGACCTTGGCATGGATTATTTTTTTTTCTTTCGGGGGGGGGGTGGAAATCGGATTTGGAGAAATTTTTGATGAACATAGAAAACAACCAGGGAGGACTATCACCATTTCAGCTTAGTCGCAAAATCAGCCCTGGTTTGGGTTTACGAGGCCCAGAGCCAGGATATCGGAGATGGGGGCGAAGCTGGGATATAAGCACACGCGGTTAGCCACTCACACCGATAAGCGAAAAAAAAAAAAGAGAGAGAGTTAACGAGAGTAAAAAAGTGGGCCTTTTTATCACGGTTTCCGGAGCAACAGATTCGCTACCGCGATAATGGCAATTTAAAAGTACTCGAGTACCGAGAAGGAAGGCTATGCCAGAGCTAGAACCAAAAGGTCGGGGCACAGGTAGCAGAATGCTATCCGTGCAATTAAATCCGCAGAGGGGGGAGAGTTCGGGAGGGAATGGGAATCTCATTGGGGAAAAGTCCGAGTGATGTTTTATCGGAAACCTCCCAGAATGCGCTCTCGGGTAACAAGGGTGCCTAAAATGTCCCACAAGATGAGAATGCCATTTTGGGAGTGTTTGTATGGGCACAAATTAAACGAGTGCTTTGGTGCAATGCACAGCAACCACCCCATCACTTTAATCAGAAGAGTCAACCTCTGGAGTGCTGCTAGCTGTAGTAACTCTACCGTGTTATGATACTTGCTATCATAGATCCAATAGCGGTACCAGTACAAGCACCAGGGAATATGTTTTCGCACGGTTAATTTAGGTTAACCCGCAAAATAATCCCCGTCTTGTACACAAACGTATTCCCGGGTGCCTGTACTAGCAGTCTGTTTTTAGACTTTGATCAACACCCAAACAATAACTAATCTACCGGTATATTACAGTACATCTTGGTGTGTTTAATTTTCATTATTTCCCAATACGGTACTGAGCTCTTGAGGATAATTGATTTGTGGGCTACAAGTACAACAGCCGTCAATGAGAATTTTCCTGTTCCTTGCTCGAAAGAATTCTACCCGACGTCCTTAAAAGTCCCCGGAACCTGAGTTATGTGTCTGTGACCCAGGTTGCGGTAGTTCCCGCAAAATTTGGTGCCGTGAAGCCATTGCCTAGGAATTTCCCACTCCGGATCCTTCAGAAAAAAATGTCGAGTAGTTATATCCATCTGTATGAGAGAGAGAGAGAGAACTCTTGGACACAACGGTTTTTGGGTGTTATTCCGTGGACAAGGCGGTCGGCAGGTGAATTTTGTTGTTGAACGACAAAACAATCTTTCTTCACCTTACCTCGCATTGTAGTTATGTAGGTCAATTATATCCTTGTCCCCCCCCCCGCCTCATTGTGAGTTTTCCATATTTTTCTTTTGCCGCAGAGCAGAAATTTGGGCCTTTTGTTTTGATTGAGAGGGTGGAAGAAAAAGAAAAACGTGAAACGTGAAAAATAAAAGAAGGAAAGAAAAAGAAAGGGGAGACGTAGGGGAGTTTCTGGATGTGGGCGTGAAGAGAGATATCATAGATTTTTAGCGGTTGATGCTCGCGGTTGTGGACCAATCAGGTATTCAAGTGCCCCTTTTTGCTAGGCTTGGCAGGGGTAAAAACAGTGAAAGTAAAAGCAATTTCCTAGCGCTGCAGCAACAACGTTGGCTCTTGCTCCAAATTTGTTCATATCAGGAAAAAAAAGAAAGGGAAATAAAAATAAAAATAAAAATCAATTATAACCTAGCACAAACTGGTCCAACGATCAAGGGGAACTATGATGTTTCTATGGGAAACGCGGAAGGGGGAAGGGAGTCCAGAAAGAACCAGCGGTGGGGAGTAACTTTTCCTCTGAGTCAGTCGTGATGGGCGCAAGCACTTTCTCATTCACTTACACGCTTGTGCGGGACTTTGGGGGTCATGACGATGATGATGATGGTGATGGAGGGATGAAGAGATGGTATGCTTTCTCGGTTGCCGCTCACAGCCCACAGCCGAAAGATACTGATATGGACGATCCCATTTAACGCAATTTTGAGGCCATGAATTCCTTGCGAATGATGGGTGGATGGGTGGACAAGATCATCACCGTCATCAGGGTAAAGTGCAGATACAGACTATCTCCTGTTAAGAGGGTGTCCTTTTTCGCACAAAAACACGGGCTAGGTCTCAACGACTTCTTCCCGATCTCTCCGTCGTGAGCGTTTTTGGTTTACGGGGTAAGGGAGGATCAAAATCTCTTGTTCACAGGCACGCTATCGCGGTCTGCTCCTTTGTGCGACCTGCCCGCGCATACTCGTATAGTACAGTACGTTATTCAAGTTTATGTTTTATTTTTTTTGTCTTATTTATTATAACCTCATTTCATTTCATGCAATGGGAGGCCCCAGCAAGGTCTCGTATGTCGATGGCTCTTAGGATGAGCCGCCGTTCACAGCCAATCCTAGTACATCGCCTTCTGTATTGGGGAATTCACCGACCGGGGGACCTTTGGCACCCTGCGGTTTGCTCGCTCTTTTGTCACTCATTTCCCGCCTACTCGAGTAATGGGGTGCTCTCTCTTTTGAACCGGGAGAGACACCACACAATGCAGGCCTTGCACGCTCGTTCTACAGTTACCGTACTTGAGGATGCTGCCGCTGGGGTGCTAAGAACGTTTGTATGTCTCTCTCTGGCTTCTGTTGGCTGTGGTTTTCCTTCTCCGCCTCTACCCCCTGAAATTCCATCCCTCCTTCTCAGCAGTCCTCGTCAACCACCCACACCCTTACCCCCTGACCAACCCACTGCCTGCTACGAGTACTACTTATGTATCCCTTCCCTCTTCTTCCACTTTTCCTCCCCTCTCTCTCTCTCTTCCTCCTTTACCTTCGTTCTCTACCTGTTGCTGATTGTCTCGCTCCCACAGGAAAGGAATTGTTCCTTTCCCACCACACTCCTTTTAAGACAAGCAACCCGTAGCAGAATCTTCTGCGTAACGAAAGGAATTTCACTTTCCGTCGCTCCAGCTTACTCGTCGTCATTCGATTCCGACTTTAGTCAATTGCTGTTTTACATAAAGAACAGTAGTTCCACTCTCTTTTAAGCACGAGAACATCGGTTTCTTAATATCGTTGAGCGACCTCTCCCAATTAATCCTTTCTACTCGAAGTATTATATACTTTCATTTTAAACATGAAGGTCGACGCCCTCTTTTCGCTCGCCCTGGCAGGCTTCTGTGCTTTGGCCGCTGCTCAGCCCCATGGAAAGCATGCTCATGCGCATGGTCGCCATGCTAGAGTTTTGAAGGAACGCGATATGGTTACTGAGGTTACGACGGTTTGGACCACCATTGAGTCCACTCCTGCTTCCACTCCCACCTACTCTCCCCAGGAGGTCAAGAACCTTGGAAACAATATCCCTAAACCTTCAGTATCACCCACACCGTCCTCTGCGCCCAAGAAGGATAACAAGAAGGATGATAAAAAGAAGGACACCTCGGATTCTGACACATCGAACTCTAACAGTGGTGTTGACTCTAATAGCAACACCGGTCGTGAATTCAAGGATGGTGTCATTCCCTGCAGCAAATTCCCCTCGGACTATGGCGCAGTCCCATTGCCATGGCACACGAAGGACGGATGGTCTGGTATTCAGTATAACGGCGGAAACCTTGATAACGAGGGTGTTTGTAAAGAGGGCGCTCTTTGTTCGTACGCTTGCCCCCCTGGGTTCAGCAAGGGTCAATGGCCTGCAGAACAACCTGCTTCTGGTGAGAGTCACGGTGGGCTTCTCTGCAAGAACGGTTTCCTCACCCTTACTCGCTCTGATTCCAAGTACCTGTGTGAGGCCGGTGCTAGTGGTATCACTGTTAAGAACGAGTTGAGTGATATGGTGGCTGTCTGCCGTACCGATTATCCTGGTAAGTTGTGCGGTGTTATTTATTCATTTAGAGTTTGTCTTAATAGTGTATAGGATCCGAGAACATGGTTGTTCCTTTGCAGTGTGATCCTGGCACAGAGAAGGTTCTTACTACTCCTGATGCCGACTCCCCGGGTGCCTACACATGGAAGGGTGGTTCCACCTCCGCCCAGTACTATGTCAACAATGCTGGTGTTAGCGTCAAGGATGGGTGCCTCTGGGGTAAAGAAGGTGGTGAGGTTGGGAACTGGGCACCTTACGTGAGACTTGCACATGCTACTGAGAGGGGTTACCGGATGCTAATATAATTTTTGCAGATCTTCGGTTCCGGAAAGAAGGGTGGTAAGATCTGGATCTCCGTCTCCAAGAACCCCAACAATAAGAAGCCCGCCAACTACAACGTCTCGGTATGCGTATCCCATCTCTTCACATTTTCGGTATTAATACTAATATCATTATAGATAGTTGGTGGCGTCAGCAGCAAGAAGTGCGAGTGCATCATGGGTGACTGCCAAGGTGGCGATGCTGGATGTACCGTTGCAGTTGCGCCAGGTGAACATGCTACCTTCCGTCTATGGAAGTAAATGTATAGTTGTGGATTTTTTCTTGGCGGTCTTTTATTTTTTTCCTGGTGTTGGGATTTGGGATCCCAGAAAGGTGAAAGAAGTCAGCCATATAGTACGTTGACAATATGGGGATAGATCTCAGGTGTCCGGTTTGAATTTTGTCCTGTCAAGCTTGTTGGGTGGTAATGTTTTTTCTTTTTCGTTTCCCCCCTCCGATGATTTCCAGTTGGGAAGGAAAGCCATCGTAGGCCACACTCATCATCTAGTTTATATTCCTGTTTACTATAGCTATTTTATATCCTGTCGATCTGTTTTTTCCCTTTTTACCTCATGTGGAGGACTATCGTACAGTACATATACCATCTTTCACTTATCAAGACTTTGGACTCAGGTTACTTGGGATTTCGCGGGAGAGCGGGTACAGAAACAAGAAATCTTGGGCTGGTTGATTCAAGTTGATTGTGTTTTGTTTCTTTTGGCAGGCATCTGATGATCACGAGAGATGTAGGGAATCATTCACTGCCGGTTGATCTTTTTTTCTACTTTCATTTGTATAAAATTATGGATTTTTATTTTTTTATTCCCTAAGTTGTACCGACGCACTGACCGAGATCACTTGTACTACTTGCAGCACAATCGCTTTTTCTGACAGTTTTTTTTTTTTGCATGATTCAAATAGGCTCTCATTAATCGTTTTTTTTTTTCTTCCTTTTTTGGTCTCTTGTGGCTAGCTGGTGAGGGAATATGTGGTAAGAGTACCGTACTTTTAATCCGAAGAAGCAAGAAGGAAGTGTTGTCATACATTATATCTATCTATCCATCAGCGCACGACTCTACTGCAGCGTGCTGTCGTAATTAATATCTTTTTAACCCTAGATTTGTTCCGCGTCGTATCATATATATATACAAGTGTACAGTACAGATTGTGGTCTTGTCGTGAGTATGATACGAGCTGAGGACCATGATAGAACTTGTTTTGTCCTCCTATCTTACCGGTATCCTATCGCATTGACTCTACCCTATCCTGCCCCACAGTCCTCAAACTTTACCTACATACCCATAGGTATGGTATTATGGTATGATGATATTATCATGCCATGCCCACTGCATCCCCCCAACAGTACACAGCGCTGCGTACCGTACCCGAACGCCGGTCAGAAACGCCGAGACCACCATCGGAAAAGTATCCCTGCTGGGGGATATGTACCAAACCTTAAGCTTCCATCCAATTTCGTCTGTCTGTCCGTCCGGCTATGATACCCGCCCTGGGTGCGTGCCCGAGTGCTGTGCCGGTATGGTGATGCGGCAGCTTTGGTTAGCGGTCTGGATCGGAGAGTTGTGCGGTGCTATATCTAGCTTTGGATTTCGGGCCGTGTGAAGCGCAGCTTGTGTGTATTCTGGGGGAGGAGAAAGATATTCGTGGATAAGGGTGGTGGTGGTGGGTGGGTGCCGTTGTGCTCAATGGATATTGATAGTGATGTTTGATAGTTTCGTTGTGTTAAGGCATAATAACAAGCTCATGGCAAGTAACCATCCTGACATGATGAATATCGGTGCCTCGAATGCATTGATACAATGGTTTTATTCCATTCTTCCTTTTCTCCTCTTGCCCAGTAGCTAAGTGCTACATTCCCGCCGGTACGCCGTTGGGAGGTTTTTCTTTGTAAGAAAGAAAAAAGTATTAGGAGTAATAAATAGTAAGCAGCAGGTAAATAACGGTTGTAAAGGGTTATTTGCTGTTGGGAAAAAGGAAAAAGGAAAGAAGAAAAGAAGAAAAGAAGAAAAAACGCCGAATAATTATACCGATACAGCGCGATGATGATGAAACGGCAAACGGGCAAACGGGCAAACCACCTCATTACATCCTTGCTTACTTAGCCACCGTGTATGAAAGCATATTTGGGGAAGAAGAGAGGAAAGTGTTAAAAACTGCAAGAGAAGTAAAGTGGAAAAAGTGGCATGTTATTAACATGACCACCAGGCCGTCATCAATCTCATCTCATTCCACAGGCCGAGAGCGGATTATAACCCATCACCCGCAGCACTCTTCTGAAACCTCCGAGCAACCTCTTCGACACCCCAGCTAACCATCCTCGCTTCGGCCAATCTATCCACCTTAGCAATCACCGTCCCAACCAGCATCTCACCATTACCACCACCACCACCACCTCTTCCCCCTCCCCCACCAGAACTTCCACCACCAACATAATCAACCCCTTCCTCCCCTCCGCCACCTCCACTCCCCTCATCGACTGTAGCAGTCTGGATCACCGCCGCCCCGGAAGCGGTCGCCAGCGTGACGCGCAGCGGCTTTCCCAGCCCCATCCTGGAAGCTGTGTCATGTGCCTGTACGAAGGCGGACGAAAGCGAGGAGAGGCCGGGCGAGGAGGGCTGCGGATGGGTAGACAGGATGGGGATTGCGTTCGTGTCTGTGAGGTGTGTGGTTATGGGGTCTTGGGCGAGTTTGGCGAAGTGGGATTGGAGTGGTTCTGCTCTGGGACTCTGGGGGACGGAGGTGGTGGTGGGGGCTGTAGTGGCGGCTGTCGGAGTGGTCGACATGATTGCTTGTAATCCTTCTTGGTTTCTTATTTTTATTTTTTTATCCTTTAGACAAAAGAGGTTGTGTTTTGTCTGTGTGTGAAGAAGAGTGCGAAGGAATAAGCGTGAGAGAGGGCGGGTAAGGTTTCGGAGGGTGGGTTTTTCCTCTCCGGCGTGGGTGGTATGGTGTTTGTTCGGGGAGGAGGTGGATAGAGGTGGGCACGCGAGTAGGTACGTATTATAGGTATCGGTATCGTGTGAGATGGGAACTTTTGATGTAGCTCTGTGGAAGTATCACCAATCTTGAGTGAGCACAACAGGGAATGGAGGCCAAAGGGAGAAAACAAGGTATGATGAACTTAAGGAAAGAAGGGAAAAGAAGGAAAAGAGGGCGAGAGATGAGGGTCTTGTCGTGTGATAAAAGCCTTTATCTGGAGCATGGCCCATCCATCTACTGAAAAGCAGAGATTGAGATTGAGAGAAAAGAGGAAGAAGAAAAGAAAGAAAGAAAAAGGTTGTTATGAGGGGAGGGGTGGGAAAGTGGGAAGGGAACTTGGGGAAGGGATTGTGATTACAGTTGTTTCATTTTCATTCAAGTTTTTTTTTTTTTCCCCTAACTTTCTGCTTGATGGCTTTCCCATTTTGATCTCATGCGCTGTGTCTGAGTCCCGATTTCCCCTTTGTCAAATTATGTTGTGCAGGTTTCTCTAATTTTTTCCTTCTCCTTGCTTTCCGCCTTCCACTGTGCTGTTAGGGCACACAGTACTCGTACCCAAGCTCATCGCGATGTGTGAGAGAGTGTGGTATCGAAAGAAGCAATATTCGTGGGGAGCAGCGAAAGGGGGAGGGAAAAAAATTGCGTGAGAAATAGGGCACAAATGTTAATAATATTAGTAACATCCAGGAAGTATATTATTATTATTATTATTATTATCATCATCATCATCATACATTCTTCCATTCGGCGAGTGAAGATTCCATCCAAAACTTTCATCCCTGCACCCTGAGTCCGGGTAATAGCTGTCTCATTTTGGAAGGGCAATGCAGAAATCGCCTGGATGGAGGTTGTTTGGCTCGAAAAGTGACCATGACACCGTGGAGCTCCCGCCTTTTGTTCATTCCTCCTGGACCCCTCCCACACTGCCTTGCAAGATAGCACCGACACAGCACGCTTACCCACCAACCGACAAACGGACCGCCTTCTATCGTGTCATTCATAGACATAATCCACAGTGCATGAAATTTGTCATATCCTAAACCCTACGTTTGCCTTGATTCATCCTTTTCCCTCATCACCTTGCCCTAGTATTGTGCTTTTGTGGCGGAGGTAATAACGGTCCAGTATCCCCCGATATCTATCGGTATACCTCACATAGTCTCATCCGTATGGCCGACACTGATGCAGCGAAGGCTGAGAAGATAGCTGCGGCGAAGAGAAGGGTGAGTGGGGTCATTATCGCACACAATCCGGATTGCACAAATTTCCCGAGTGAAAATTCGCCGCCTGATACCCACGGACACTCATTCCTTCTATGATACTCATCCCTCTTTCTGGATTGGGATTGTGTTGGAAGGTGCATTATCAAGTAAACTGACGTTTCCGGCACCGAGGGGTGGTGTTGCGAGTATTCTAGTTTGAGCAACTCAAGAAACAGAAGGGGAAAAAAAAGGGTTCGGTAACTCCAGCGTCTACAACGGGCGAGACGAGTAAATCGCCCGTGCAAACGGAGCAAGCGGAAGCATCGGAAGCCCCTTCCCCAACCGAGGGACAACTGGTAGAGGAAAAGTCAGTAGCTGAGCAAAGCCGAATCAAACTTCTCATTCTTGTTTAAGGACATAACTCCTAACGTGCTTGCTGGGGAAATAGTGCGAAAGAACTAGCGGCCGAGGCAGGAGAGGTTGCCGAAACTCCCGCTGCTGCTGCGGAGGTGGTTAATTCAGATGCATCCTCACCGATGACCCCCGCGGATCCCGAATCCTCGCATTCACCGGTTGCCTCGTTGGGCGGCGCAGGGGCTGCGGCGCATTCTAGAGCTGCGTCGATACATGCTAGACGTCAGTCGGCTTCGGGATTTCGGAGGCCATCCATCACCGCCGCGGACATTGTGAGATCTTCGAATAAGAGCCCGTTGAGTCCTGGGGAGACAGTGCCGGATATCTACCGGAAACAGGCTACTACTATATCGGAGCTTACGGAGTCGGTAGAGAGGCTGGAGGCGGAGGTGGAAAGGTTGAAGGAGAAGGAGAAGAAGCTTAGCGAAGTTACTGTTCAGAAAGATGAGGCGCAGGAGACTTTGGCCGGTGTGAAGACCGAGCTCAAAGAAGCTGTCGAGAGGGCTGAAGCTGCGGCTACCGAGAGGAAGGCCCGGGAAGAGGAGCTTGAGAAATTGGTGAGCATTGAGTTTGGGAGTGATATTGGAGGGTGGGTTGGCTGATTGGGCTTGGGTGTTTAGAAATCAGAAGTTGCAACCCTCACTCGGCAAATGTCACATCTCACATCCCAGATTTCGCAGAAGGATAAGGCTATCTCGGATCTAAAGCTCCATTCATCTTCATCTTCTTCGACGCAGGATAGAGAATCCCTCACCGCAAAGGAGGATCAGATTGAGAATATGGAGATGGACATAAGCAAGCTTCGAGGTGACCTCGAGAGAGCTAACAAGAGTCTTGCCGAAAGTCAATCCGCGCTTGCTACTGCTGAGGGCAAGGTGAAAGGTCTGGAGGAATCGCAGGAGGATGTTGCAAAAGAGCTTGAGGAAAATAAGAAGAAGTTAGATAAAGCTGCAGAACGCCTTGTTGCCGAGGGTGCTGCTAGGAGCTCTGCAGAGACCAAAATCACATCTGTCCAAGCAGAGTTTGAATCAGCCAGTGCAACTGTAAAGAGCCAAGCCGGCAGTATATCATCCTGGGAAAAAGATTACAACACTCTCAAGACCATGTATCGAGACACAGATATGAAGGGTCAAGAATCGCAAAAGAAGGCTTCAGCTCTAGAAAGGGAGAACAAAAACCTAACCACCCAAGTCTTGGAACTAAGGAAGCGCACTACCCACCTAGAATCCGAGAATGCCACCCTAAGGAGCTCTCTCGAGAAGGCCATCAGCGACGCAAGACGGGGCACCGGCTCAATGCCGCAGGATGACGAACTCGTCGACGAGCTCGAAGACGATGGACGTAAACGCTTAGAGGCAAAAGTCCGGCAATTAGAGCAGCAATTGCAGCAGGAGCGCAGCCGCTGGTACACTAGCGAGAAGCAGGGGCTAGCGTCTGCATCCGCACCCCCGCGCTCTACCCAGCAGCACCAACAGGAATTCTTGGACGTGGACTTGAACGCTGGTGACGGCCAGCACCACCCGCGTGGTGGTGGCAACGACCATTTATACGCTGCGCAGATGGAGGAGGAGAGGAGGCAGATGGAAGCGCAGAGGCTCGAGAGGATCAAGGAGGTCAAGCGGGGTTTGGCGAATTGGAAGGGGTGGAGGCTGGACATGACGGCCGGAGGGGGGTACGGAGTTAACTTTAGAGAGATGTTTGAGGTTTAGATGGCTGGGCCCCTTTCTTGAGAATGGGGGGGCGCCTTTGATCATGCTTTACGGGTGGTTCTCGTAATCTGGGTTTTAATGACAGAATTAAGTGCACGGATCGGTCATGGGTTCTCACTCGATATTCACGTGATTTGGATTAGGTTTGGATGAATACAAAATACCTATTACCATAGTCTACACGGGCAGTTTGGCATCGCAGCAGCGTTCCCTTGATCCGTGACACGGGTGGGTTCTAGTCCGCTCAGTTTATTAAATAAACCCGCCGGGACCGGACTTGTCCGTTCTTGAGAACCAGCAACGCTTCGAGCAACAGGGATAGCACTCCATTCCTCTCGCCATATAGCGCGCTGCATAACCTAGTGGCTAATCGACCCCGGACACCACATCACCAACCAAGACCAGAGCAGTCCAAACCCCAGAAAAACTCTACCCGGCCGAAAAAATACCACGATGCATAATTTACCTCCCTCTCAAGCACAGATACCAATACACCCCACTCTCCTTCCTATATTCCTCCTCTTTAGTATTCGGTGAGATATGCCATGTCAAGGTAATGCCCTTAGAGAGATATCCTCTCTCAAGGGGTGACTTTGCGATAGCCAGGGCATGGCTGAATATGTCGTCGCCGTAATATACTTGCCCGCGGTGGGGGGGGACATAAGAGGAACATGCATGCCTCATCAGAGTCGGAGATGGGATAAATAGTTTTCTTGAATGCGGTACGGTAGGATACCGTGGGATTTTTTGCTTCGATGGGATGTAGTCGGGGTTTGGAGTATTATAATGTTTTCATAAAAATACTAATCATTTAGTGCCCGTTCTCAAAGCCCCGTTTGCAGAATTTTGTACGAAGCCGTGGGGGCGATGTACGGCACTATGGCCCGGTCGAGCTGGTTTATTTGACCAGTACCGCATCCTTCCCGGGAAGTATCATAAATTTACAGTACCTAGCCTTCTCGGAGGGGGGGTTCTTGGGTGGTATGATATCATAATATTATTTGAAATGGTGGTTGGGATGGTGGAGGAGCACCAGTGCCGTACCCTACCCTGCGCCTGTTATCACGCCCAACTTTCTACACCGACTTTGTTCCTCGCCTTCTTTTTTGCCAAGATTCTCTACCGGATCGACCGACTGACCGCCGCAACGATGGGTTCTTCCTGCAGTAAGTGTACTACTCGTAGTACGGCACCAGTATGGTAGAACACCCATACACGCAACGGACTTGCCGATACGCGGTCTGAGGAGAAGTGCTCGCTTTCAGCCGTAGCTTCTCCCTGCATGGGCTGGGTGGTTGGGTGTTGGGTAGTGGGCACCCTGCCGGGTTTCCGGAGGAAGCCTGCTTTATATATACTGGTTGTCCCAGGGCAGGATACCAGACATCTAGCGCGGGAATCGAGTGATGTATCATGGATACGCCCGCATTTGGGATTTATGGATGTACGAGTACAATATTTACGCACATAACCCCGTTGAACGATCCAAGAAAGTGATTGAGGGGGAGATGATGACAAAAGAAACAAAAAGAAACAAAAAAACAAGACCCATTATATCGCAGTTACCAAGCGCCCCGTTGCCGTGACAATAGAAAAAAAGAGACATGCGTAAACAGCGCATACCACCGCTCTAATTTTCACCAATCCTCGTCTGATACTTCCGGCTAACCTGCCTCACCCACCTCCGGCGTCTCCATTCTCCCCGCACTCCCTGCTCGCCCTCCACTCTGTCATAGACCCACCGCTCACCCTCCTCTTCGATCTCCACTCCGCCAATGTACCTCTCCCGGACCCAAAAGGTACTACCTAGGTCGAGGGTCCATTTTTTATCTTTCCACTCCCAGCCAGGGGGGCACCTGACATCCTCAAAGAATCTGGTCCCTTTAGGTCTTTCGTGGGCTATCCGCTGGGCGCTCATGGGTTCATATGGTGTAGGCGAGAATATCCACGACTCGTATTCCCCCCCGGATGTAAGTTTTTGTAATTCGAATACTTCAACTTCACGGCATTCGGGAACAGCATCGAGAATGATGTCTCTATGGATGAATGAACCTGCTGTTGCAGAAGCCAAAACTTCGCGTGGTAAAAGATGGGCATTGTGTGCATCTATGAGAATCTCCTGCAGAGTTGGATGTCCCATTGAGAATATAATCCAACCTGTTACCAGGAAGATCATGCGCCACGGGAGATGAGCTGCAGTGATGAATAGGAGAATGGATAAGAAGAATAGGGCGATGAAGACAGCTGAGGAAACGACTTCGTCAGAAAAGTTGGTTGGAGGCCCAACTAGAGAAATTGTCTTGTCGTGGGCAACAGAGAAATCATCCATGGTATTCTGTAAATCGCGAAGATTACGAAAAAAATCCTAAAAATTGAGAATGCCCATTAATCCTGTCCTTTCGGTTACCGACAGCTCTGTCAAGCTAGTGTTACCTTGCTCATCTCACTAACTGCTTTGACCTCGGGAGGTGGCGCGATCGCCGGGCCGTGTGCAGTATATTTTTCCATTGGCATACTCGGCGGCGGCGGATGTCTCGTTATAAAGCTGGGGACCATGATGAATAGTAGAACTACAGCTACTGGAAGAACTGCTAGAAGGTATGGATCCAAGCAGACAAAAGAGTACACGGCTAGTGCCGACATCGTGTGTGTGGGCTTCCGCCATTGTAGGAGACGAAACAGGCGATGTTGGAAGACAAACACAACGCCAATCCTACGCAACAGTGCTCCGAACGTCAAAATTGTTGCAGACAATTTGCCAAAAGATCAAGAAAAGGGTTGATTATCACCTTGCATTAAATTTTCTAAAATTACCACTCATTAATGTTAAACTAAACTGAGGTCTATCCTTGTCTTTCCGTTTGTCCCGAGGCTCCTGATAATCCTCCACCGAATAATCACTTGGTAGCATTTGTTGTAGTACTTTTGAAAGTATGCGGTCCTGCAACCCTGGGTTTGTGCCACCCGAGCCCGAAGCTTCGACAGGCATATCGTCTTCAGACCCGTGCGATCTACTGCGGCGGTGTGAGTGGGGCGGTTTATGGAAGCCAAGGTTTTTACCCAGCTCGAGCAGCGGCGAAGGCAGGGGTGGGGCGTAAGGCGAAGAAGGTTGCTGGGACTGCTGCTGCTGTTGCTGCTGTTCGGAGTTGCTTGGGGGATCTGCTCTATCGTAGTACCGATCGTAATCGACGGTAAGAGAGTCGTCCATTCTGAGGGGAAGGGAGGGGGGTTTTATTGGGGTTTGCTGGTATGTGTTTGCGATGGGGGGTTAGGCAACAGGTTAGAGGGTCAAGTGAGGGAAGAGTCCAAGGAAGTTCAGATTGGATTCCAAGCATGTGCCAAAGACCAGGATGACGTCTTACTGGCACAAACAAGTTACCCGGCTCTGCATAGCCTATGGTTAACTGCATCAAGTGGCATTGTGTTACTCGAGCACCGCTTTTGGGTCGTGGGAGTTTGCGGTGCTGTTTCACGCACGGGAAACGCCGCAGTTCCTTTCACTGCTTGAGCCTTCCCCGCGCAAAAATCGCACAGCTTTTTCCGGGAAGCAACAACCCATTGGCCATCATTGCAATCTTGGAAGCTCACATTAGAGTGCATGAGCTTCCCAACTTCAAATTCTGCAGGGCTTAAAAGGCTAAATAGCAGGTGGAATTGGGGAGAAAGGCGTTCCATGACTAACAAGTTCCTGCCGGTACTGGTAGATTCATCCAGAGTTGGGGAGAACCCTCGTCTGATGGCTGAGCGGTGAACCAAAGAGCACAATGTTTCCCAGTTGGAAGGTGGTGCACTGCCGGTAATGTGCGCTCGAGTGCCATACCGGTACCGGTGTATCGGCATCTCAATTCCACAGCAGGGTGCAGGTGTTAGACGAGGACGGTACTTATTATTGCCGGTATTAGCGGGTACAATGCAACGGCGGTGGCTGCTTGCTCGAGCATACCGGTACCGATAGGAGCACATAACTTAGTCTGCCGGTACCGGTACGGTATCATATCACCTTCCATGGCACTGTACTCGAGTAGCTCCACCTCCGCAAGGATGGTGGTGTTGTTGACTGTCGACAACAGGCGAGAGGGAGAAGAGCTCGCTAAAACCAACCAGACCGAAAGCCATGACTTATGCATCAACGTCTCTGCATTGCCACGGCAACTGACTAACCTATCGCATTCTCTGTTTGCATGATAGCCCATAATTCCTTATGTAGCAACAGCAGAAAGAAGACAAGTAAACCGAACAAACCAGAGGAATGGGATTCACAAGGACTCTCTCACCATCAGCCTTTTTTTCTTGTATATTTTTCTTGAGGCTGCGGAGGTGCTGCTGGGGATGATATGATAGGAAATTAACCAATTAGAATGTACAAGGATTGAGGGTTTCTTTTCTGTGGTAACCTCGTTCATCAATTGTCCCTCCTTCTTCCCCATGTTCCCCTGAACCCTCTTCACTCCGTTTCCTCGCCTGTGCTCCCCTCCACCTACCTAATCCCTCCCACATCTCCGCCTACCGTACCGGTTATCTCTCTTTTTCTTCTAATATTCGCAAAGGGGCTGGGAAAGGAGAGAGAGAAAAAGGATCCAGAATTACCATCAAAGGTTGCCTCGAGTTTTCCTCGCGAGAGAACTTGAACAGGAAAATACAACTCGGGGAGACACAGCAAAGAAATATCAAAAAGAAGAGAAAAACCGAGAGAGATATCATACAAAAAGAGGGGAAGAAAAGAGGAAGGAGAAGAGGGAGAAGAGAACAGAAAAGTACCTGTATTAAAGTGCATGTAATCTAGCTAGCTCTCTCTCTCTCTTTTTGTCTATTTTTCTCTCTTTCTGGCCCTTGATCGTTCCAGAGAAAATCCACGGCCTCGAGATCTCGCATCACCACGGTTACGGCTACTCTCACATTCTCTATCTGCTTCCAGCACGCCCAACGCCCAAACCCACGCCCCCAGACCATCCCATCCACCACGACCGCGCTTTCCAATCCCAATCTAACCGCCACCACCTCTCACGCTTGCATTCATTCATTCACCCACCGCCTTTCTCTCCTGTCCCCTCCTCGCTTTCTCTCTCTCGTCTCCGCCATGTGTCACAGCGTCACGGATTCAACGCCTAGTTAGTCCAAGATCTGTATACACGATTGACAGGTCCCTATATCTGCAAAGCTATTTCTCTCGTTCCTTCTTGTCTCTCTCGCCCCTCTTGTACTTTTCATTCGGCCACTGGGGTTATTGATTATTCTTGCTTTCTCACCCCCTCGACATAACAATCCGTAGCCGCCCCTTTTCGTTATTCAATTTTTTATCAAGTTTCCTTTCCTTTTCACGATACACTCTAGGGTTTTCATTGTACCTGTCAACCGTCACCAACGCTCCTTCTTGAAGAGCGTTGTGATCCGTCATGCCGGTTCGAGTACAGCAGCAACCACAGCACTCCGCATCTAATAATTTAACGAATCCAACGACTACAACCACGACTACAGCTTACTCTCTGCGCCGAGACTCCCCTGCATCTTCGAAGGGGGACGATTCAAGTACGAGCTCTATTTCGCTGGGTGAGAATGGTTTTCGTTTTTGGGCTTCAGATTCCACCACCAAGGGAGAAGGCGATTCTGATGATATCAACGGTGTAGCGGATGGAAGACAACGCAAGCGTCTTCAAAAATCTCACCAGGAAACCAACAACCTCCCTCGGTCGAAGCCTTCCTTGCGGGAACCTCGGTCCCCACAGAAGGTCGCGCGTTCTCACCGTAATGATCAGAAACCCTTGATCACGAGAGGTCAGGATTATTCGTTGAAATCGTAAGTCTCTTGATATTTCTAAGGCAATTTCTGTTCCGACCTTCTGAATCTTTGATCTGATGGTCGTGGGTTTCACAGGGACAATGACACCTCTTCTAAACATACTTCATCTCCCGCCAATAGCGTTGCTAGTAACAGCTCCCGCGCATATCTCCAACCACCCGGCTCTTCTGAAAGCAACGTGACAACATTTTATGCGTTTGGGCAGAGCTCGGAGGGAGCGCACGAAGCTGGCGAGCCGTTTAGCTATTCCCCATCTGTGAGTTTGGAGGATGTTCACCGGGGTATCATTGACAATGATCAACCAAGCCAATTTCCTGCACCGGGACGTGGCGGAAATGGGGGCGATGCGGGAAGGAGTGTTTACCGTGATACCGTTCGAGAAGAGGGTCATCAAAAAAATTATGCGGGCTCTTCGGTGAACCAGGCAAACCAGTCGATTCTCCGAAGGCCCAGTGTCTCCAAGTATTCAAACAACGCTCAAGCCCAGGACAGCTATCGGGATCGGAATCGAAGACAGAGCAACGCGTCTAACCTGTCATCTGCAACATCGTCATCCACTTATCGTAGAGCGGCAACAACAATCGAGCCAGAAAACTCCACCAGAGCTGGACAGCGGAGGAGGCCGGGTGCTCCACCGGTAGGTAGTTCGCTAACCCCACCAATGCCACAGAAGGAATACGTTCCCGGGAGCGGCTATTCTAGGAACTCGGATGCAAGCTATAAAGTGCCTGTTTCCTCTAGGAATACCAAGTCAAAGTCTTTGCAGCCTCCTCCAAAGACTCAACAACCGGGGCAACCACTGAAGCCATCATTAACTCCTGAGCATGCCCGACACTCATCGATAGCCTATCCTCCAAAGTCGCCTAAATCTCCGAGCGTCAGCAAGCTTGGCACCCCAGGAAAATCGGGCATACCGATGTCGGGATCCTCTCGTAGGATATCTACAATTCCACATGCTTCTGGACTAGGCGCCAGAACAGTCAGTCCTACAGATGCCAGGAGGCTCAAGAGGCTCTCGGTCATCCATACACCAACTCCCCCTTCAATGCCATTTAACACAGAGTCAGCGAGATCGACACCAGGCAGTCCTTCAATGATTCCGAGACAGAGTGTCACCCCTTCTTCATCCGCAACTACACCTGAGCCGCAAAGGAAATCTTATAGCTCAGGGTTGTCTACTGCCTCCACAAGTACTTCAGCTCGAACCTCTATAGGCTCGACGTCGTTGCAGCCTAAACTAAGCCAGACATTCGCAGCCTCTAGGTTACCAAAGCCACCACGAGCTGCTGTGGAGCGGGAGGAGGAGATACCTCCTGTTCCCCCTTTGCCAAAGAATTTGGTTTCTCCAGTCGAGCCAGTCGGGGCTGATCCTAACCCACTTCAGTTTCCGGATTTTGGAAATAATGGGGGCAGAAGGAGCGGGAATAGCATGTTCGGTCCGCGGAAATCCAGCTTACCAATGGAACCTGAAATGTTTGATATGGAGCCTTTCCTGGACGCCCCCACCAAACCTCAGGTCCCTGAAAAACCCAAAGCTCCGGAGACCCCCCGGAAACTAGTGAGACCGGAGCGGCAGGAAAAGAGAGAGAAGCCAGAGAAGCAGGAAAGGATTGTAAAGGTAGATAGAGAGACGAGGAGGAAGCGTGGAATGACATTGGGGGGCATGGGTCTGGGCAGTGCGGTGCAGACGTTAGAGCCCAAGAGTTCGTCTTCAAGCTTGAGAAAAAAGGACCTTGTGCCCTTGCGCCTTCCACCATTGAACCTTCTACCTCTGAGCACACCTACAATTGCTCGGGTCAATGCGCTTGGCCCACAATCGGATTCGGAAGAATTGACGCCACCTCCAAAGAGGAGCATAAAAACCCCGAGCACTCCAATGACGGCTTCTAAGGCGGGATTTTTTGGCAGGAGGGACCGAGACGAAGCGGCCTATCACCGGAGTACGAGTTCTATCAATAATGCAACCGCGCAACCCATGGGTGACAGCCCATCAAGTATGTCTTTGAGAGCGGGTTCCAGCGCTAGCAGTAGCATTCCGGTTTCAGCAAGTAGCAGGATGGGAAGGCAAACGATTAGTCCATATATCTCTAGTTCTTTGCCCAAGAGTGTTGAGCATGAGGCCAAGACTGGCGACCACAAGGGCGCAAGGATCTTAGGAATGCCACTGTCAATTTCGCGTGACAGTAATAAGAGCAGAGCCAGGAAGAGTCAAGACTCATTAAGGAATGTGCAAGAAGATGTTCCGGACACACCTTCTAGTTCTAGTTCGATCCGAAGGAAGCTAAGCTTGAGCTGGAAGAAGAGCAGTTCTAGCAAGCATAGCCATGCTGCAACTGAGCGAGCGGATGAATACCAAGCGGCCTCTAAATACGACAACATGCCACCGCCCAAGCTACCAGCTTCTGCAACATGGGCGGGACCTATGCATCAGCCACCTAGCCCGGTGAGAGGGCCACACGGTGCAACAGTAGTAGGGGGCCAAGGTAGGAGGAAGAGCTCGATCGGGAATGGTATTCTTGTTGGGCAGCACGACCATGCCCGCAGTAATAGCTGGGGAACTGAGGGAACTGGTAAAGATAAGGGAGTGGAAAATGTGGAGAAAGCCCAACCTCCTCTACCCCCAGCTAAGAGCTCGGCAGCTAGTTCAATTCTCAGCCCCATGTCGAAAATGTTGGGCAGTAAAAGTTCATTGGGGCAGCTGCGTAGCAGAAACCAAGTACCAGTCCTCACGGACCCGAACATGGACCATGATGATATGATTGCAGAAGAGGAAATGAGGCGGATTGCTAGCAAGCGCAAGAATTTGGATGCCATGGCTCAAGAGTTGGAGGAGTTGAAACGTAGGGCTGTGCCAAAGGACAGAATGTCTGCGCCGCAGGCCCTTCGGACTATCGCTCTCAACATCTATGAGCGTGGAGAGATTGTGGATTTCAAAGAGGTTTATTTTACAGGAACTCCGGGCGCAAAGAAACATGTTGGGGATCTCAATTCAAGTGCTCTGCCGAACTTTGGATATGATGACGAGCGAGGCGACTATACTATCGTGAAGGGAGACCATCTAGCTTACAGATACGAGATTGTCGACATCCTCGGAAAGGGTAGTTTCGGTCAAGTTGTTAGATGCGTTGATCACAAAACAGGAGGACTTGTAGCTATCAAAATCATTCGGAACAAAAAGAGATTTCATCAACAGGCCTTAGTCGAAGTCAATATCTTGCAGAAGTTGAAGGAATGGGTATGATTTCCGTCCTTGAGCACCCGGTATCAAAGATTTTTTGGCATGCTGATAAGAGATATAGGATCCTCACGGAAAGCATAGCCTTATCAACTTTACGCAATCTTTCTATTTCCGTGGACATCTGTGTATCTCAACTGAACTACTAGGCATGAATCTCTACGAGTTCATCAAATCCAATGACTTCAAAGGGCTCTCCTTACGACTTATCAGAAGGTTTACCAAGCAAATGTTGAGTAGCTTGGTCCTCCTCAAAGGGCATCGTGTTATTCATTGTGACTTGAAGCCAGAGAATATATTGCTGGCCCACCCTGCTAAGTCGGAGATTAAAGTCATCGATTTTGGAAGTAGCTGTTTTGAACATGAGAAAGGTAAATTTTTTTCTCCCGGTATTTTAAAACGTCCAAGCATAGTAACTTACGGGCTTTTCAGTGTATACTTACATTCAGTCTCGGTTCTATCGTTCACCGGAAGTCATTCTCGGTATGACCTACGGGATGCCAATCGACATGTGGAGCTTGGGTTGCATTTTGGCGGAACTACTGACAGGGTATCCTATCTTTCCCGGAGAGAATGAACAGGAACAGTTGGCATGTATCATGGAGGTTTTTGGCCCCCCGGAGAAGCATTTGATTGAAAAGAGCACAAGAAAGAAGTTGTTCTTCGGTCAGTTTTCCCTTAAGCTTCTCTACTTTCTTTCCTTTTGCTAATATCATCTAGATTCGTTTGGCAAACCTCGGATGATTGTCTCGTCTAAAGGAAAGCGCCGGCGGCCAAGCTCTAAAACGCTTACTGGCATTCTTAGGTGCGATGATGAGGCCTTCCTAGACTTTATCGCCAGGTGCCTTCGGTGGGATCCGGACAAGAGGATGAAGCCGGATGAAGCCATGCATCACGACTTTATTACCGGAAGGAAGACCTTGTCGCGTCCCAGAACCGCTGGTCCATTGTCTAGCGATCCGCCGATGAAGCGGCATCCGGCTCCGCCCGGGCCATCTACGAGCTATAGTGCCTCTATCTCAAGACCGCTCCCGGATCCACCGGCGATTTCGACGCAGAAAACAAGACTGGGTCCCAGTTTGGTGGCAACAAGTCAGCATAGCAGCTCCCAGCGGTCGTCTCCCCTGAAGGGTTATGGTGCAATTAAGAGGAATCCCAGTGGCTCCAGTATGACTGGTGTGAAGAGGAACTCCATGGGTGCTACCGTTGGGACAGGGGCCAATGCAGTGGGTAGCAGTCTCCCAAGAGCTGCAAGAGCTGTTAGTGGAAAACTCCCTACCCCCTCAAATAGTAGATCTGGGCTCAGGGGCTCTGCAGGAACAAGCGCTTCTATCAGATTGGTGAAGGACGATGAATCGGATAGTACGAGTACGCAGCAGCGACGATGATTTTTATATTTCCTTTTATGTCATGCAGCGTTCGTTCCCCTCTTCCTAGATATTTAATTATGACAACGTTGTAATGACCCTTTCACTCTTCTATCTACTTATCCCTCCTCCCCTTTTTTCTTTCCATTTTTTCATCACAAATTCATTAAGCGGAGTTTTTCTTTTGCCTTAACGGCAGGATCAATTTTATTGTTTTATATAAATATTCCCTTTTAATTTCTACGAATCCAAAAAAAAGACATCACCTCACCGATACACTCTTTATTATTAGTTAATGCCTCCACCACTCCCTCTCTTCTGTTTTTCCCTTTTTTTCCCTTTTATCGACATACCCACATCGTTTCTTTCCTGTCTGTCTGTCTATCATGAGAAATTCTCGCGATGGCGTTGTACTGTACAAAGCGAATATCACAACGGGCGGTTGCCAGGGATTTCCATGCCTTGCATTGCCTCGCCCGCGCTGACAATCAATCAATCACTTCATATTGACGATTCTTTGGAGGTTGCAAGGTCTTATGATCGCCCCCTGATATCTTTTCTATTTTATTTTCTTTCACGTTGGGGGAGGGGTGGATACCTGCTATACTTGTTTTTGTTTTTTATACCCTTTCCTCGTGCCTTTTTCCGCCAATTTGTTCTGACGATACTTGCATTCGCTATTCTTTCTTTTCATTCATTCACATTTACATTTGGAGTCCCTTTTTTCTTCTCATCCCATTTTGCGGTATACACCTTCTCGCTTTCTTTGCTCATTGGAGATATTGGAGATATTGGTAACTGGAATTGGAATTGGGCCACGCAAAAGAGGGCAGGTAGACGACACGTATGCCCGGGTGTGGGAGATATCTGTCATTGAACCTGGGCCGGGGCTGGGAGGGGGATTTGTGCGTTTTTATTTTATTGTTTTAAAAACCTTCTCCCTTGATACAATGATAAATAGGCGGGAGGTTTTTTCTTTTTTTTTTCCTCTTCGATGATGATTTCTTGACACCTTGACTTCGCTTTACCGTACTTTGAGATTACACCAAAGGGTATGTTATCGGTGGGGGAAGAAGGGGGAGTTGAGGGGAGGGTAAAAAAAAAGAAAAAAGAAAGTACTCGTAGCATATAGCGACCCCACCATAAGTTGCTATGAAACGAAAAGGTCTTTTTGGTTCTCCCTGGTCTGCTGACTTGTTTGCTGTGGCATATTTGCATGTACTCGTACTAGTACGAGTATTATATGATGTGGTACCCCGTGTGCTACAGTGCATATCGTGTGCGGTGATGTCACCGGTACCGTACAGTTACTCGTATTCGTCCTAGACAAGAGGTGCCTGTTTCCGGGTATCCTCCGTCCTCTGTGGATGTGTGGGGTTTTGCTGTGAGTCCCGTATGTGAGCGAGTATGTATGAATGATACTCGAGTAGAGGAGGGCAGCATGTATGAATGATAGTTATGGTACAGTACTTTGCATGATATGAGAATAGACATACTAGCATAGGCTTCTGCTGGTTGGATGAGAGAGGGACCTTTCAGACCCACCGATTCAGTGCAGCGATCCGAACCAGATATTCCCCCCCATCCATGGTCCCGGTTCTCCCGCCCTTTGGACGCCGTTATCATATCTCGACTGGCGGGGGGGGAATAGTAGAGGGAGAGAGGGGGGGATGTATCATACTGGCAACTTTGCGTGGGAAATGACAAGGCTTGGCGCGGCCCCTATTTTTTTCTCCTTTCTAAACTTCTGAAACTGGGGAATATTGCATGACGGAGTTGGTTCTTTTTCAATATAATAAAATGTAGGTATTGGGGTTATATTTGGAGCGATTTCGGAGTGACATTGGATTCTTCTTCTGCTCACCACTTTCCAGCGCCAACCTTGACCATGGAAAGCTACGGGTATCATTGCGGGTGGCTGCTCTGGTATCGTACTTTACTGTGCTCGAGTAAGGTGTTTTAAGGGTTTTCTTGCTATTGGTATGGTAGGAGATGCTCGACACTTGTTTCCATCCGATAAGTACAGTACAGTACTCGTACATACCGGTATTATCATACAAGTGTCCACGTACTCTGGTCGTATCATAATCTACAGTATGATTTCATACTAGGATGCCGTGGCCATTCAAGCTACGAGTACTGGTACTTAGGGCTAGGTTTTTTTTCTCCTTGGTCAACCTAACAAGAGTGGCTTACTAATCCCCACCAGTGACTTACCCGGAATCGCATCTATCATAATTCATTTTCATTTCCATCTCACTCACCTTGACCGGTCGATCCCTTCATCTATTTACCACCACAAACAATTCCGAACACCCCCCCGCCTCCACAAAAATGGGCCGCCAACTCCAAAAGAAGAAAAACAGAAGCTCAATACCGAAGCAATCCAAGCACAAAAACCCTCGCATCTTCAAGGTCCATCCAACCGGGAACGCCCTCATAGCTGCAAACTGGTTCGCTCCGCTCCCACCTCCACCCACACTTCCGAGTTGGCCGACTAGCTAACGAAGTGGTGGTGTAGGGATCGTAAGCAAACGCTCTCGCAGAATTACCGAAGATTGGGATTAGTTTCTAGGCTGGGGAAGGCTACTGGGGGTGTTGAGAAGGGTTTCGCTTCTTCTGCTGCTGCCCAGCAGCAGCAGAAGGAAAGGGTGAAGAAGCTGGCGCCCGGCGAAGCGCGTATCGTCCGTGATGAGGAGGGGAATGTTATTCAAGTCATTTACGGCAAGTCTGCTGAGGAGGCGCTGGACTCCGACTCTGAAGAGTTCACGGGGTGTGCTGGAGGGGGTGGTGAAGAAATGGATTTTGTCAAAAAGTTGGAAGCCCAGGCTACCGTCGGCGAGAGGAAGAGTAGGAAGATTTTGTGCCCTGGGGAGATGGATTGGATTTCCAGGCTTGTGGAAAAGTATGGGGAGGAGGATTGCGAGAGGATGGTCAGGGATCGGAAGATGAATGTGTACCAGCAAACGCTCGGGGATATTAGACGGAGAGTTGCGATTTGGAAGAGGCAGAGGGCGGAGGAGGAGAAGGGCAAGAAGAGAGAGGAGGTTTGCACTTGATTGGTTGGTTGCGCGGGGGGGGGGAGAATGTAATGTTTATGCATACCGGCGTTTTTGTTTCGGAATTGTCAATACATAAATCGACTGTTAGACTCTTGCCCATCTGACACTCTCTTATCGTGGTGTAATTGAAATGATCAGGTTATCAGTTGTCCCTAAACACAACTGACGCCTTCCAAAACCGGGGGCCCTAGTATCACACAAAAACTACGGATTGAACCATGCTCCAACAAGAGCTCACAATGGCATTACGGTACACTACTAGTACCAGCCTGCTGTAACCATCGTTTCGGAATGCGCCCCAACCGATTCAGCACCTCCTCACGTGCCCCCACCTTTTTCGCATAACATGCTTCCCCCTGCCTTTACTACTACTACTGCGTCGCGGGCTCCTCCTCTTCTTCAGGAAGTACAAGTGCTCGTATCATAGGGGATTTAAGAGCGGCCCGTCCCGGCATAAGAGTTGATCATAGTTCATTGTACTGCCTTCCAAAGGGCCTCGACATTGCTCTTGTAGGACCGAACGGTGCTGCATGGGTATGATACTTGTATTGGTATTTGAAATATCACCCCCACCCCCACACTGGACCCCGCAGAAGGGAAAACGTCTGAAACAACTATTGATTGCGGGGGTAGACTTGTCGGGTGCCATAGCATGCCATCTTCATCTGAACACCGGTATTGAACCAGGGCTTCTCCCCACAGAAGGGTGTGCAGCTCGATAAATTTCTAATATCTTATCGTCAGAATTATACTATTTCCTTCGTAAACACTCCCACGCTTCCAGGGGGCATTCAAGTTGTTAGCCGGGGTGCAATTTAGCCTGAATCCTAACTGGTATTTATTGAAGCCGATGTTTTAAAGTGCTCTGCGTTACGGGCCGTTCTTCCGTATTTTCTTTTTCCAATAGGGTAAAAAAAAAAAGAATGGAAGAATAATCCCACAACAGGTCGAATACGCCTGTCTACCGCCGCACGGTACTCGAGAACAAGTACCGATTGAGTGCGAGAGCAAGGATTAAACCTACATGATCGGCAGCTGCTTTCTACCAAAAAAGCATATCGCGTCGGGATGGCTTGTTTCTTTCCCCCATCGTTCAAAGGGCGCCCATCAATTGGGGGGGTGAATGATTTTTCAGAATGCTTGTAGAGAATTAACTTTTAGATCCCGAGGTCATGGTTGTCGTTGGCGACACAGACACGACCTCACTGCAACATGGTTGGTTACCTCTCGCCTGCTTCCACCCCAGTTAATTTAAGTGAGGTAAGCCTCGGATCTGCTAAGAAGCAAAGACCGCCGGTGGTTTGTGCAGGGAATGTTGCTCATCTGAAACCGCTCGACGACATTCCAGCTTTCCACCTTGGTCGCTCATTTGGGGGATCTGATATGTGCCTGGTACTTGAGAAGTGGGGCGGAGTGAGTACCGTACGCTGTAGCCGTGTTACCGTACTTTGGCTCTATCCTCCATGTTTGGGAACCAGCCAGATTGTTTCAATACCATACCGGTATGTGACGGGATGGTACTCGAGTATGATATATTATACTGCTGATCACATCCCACTCGACCGCAAGTTTGTGATTCGCTCGAGGAGGGTGTGCGAAGACAGGGCATCAAGATCAATTACCGGTATTGATACAAGAAAATACCGCAGGCGAAAGGCCGCATTAAGTAACAGGAGTCAGGCAGCGAAGTAGGGCAAATCCAGGGAATCGGAGGGGAAGGAATCGGAAGGGCTGTGCGATATGGACCGATACAGTACGCAAGGCCTATCTAGGACCCGATGCATAGGGAGATACCGGTAGGTCGGGAGGGGGGGATATGATAGACTATGGGGAGGTTTAGGAATCGGGAGTGAAGGAGATGTCTGGATGGTGTGAGGGAGAAACATGTACCCGGACCCGCGGTTGCCACATCATGTGGCTCACGTTTTGCGGTTCTTGGAAATAATCTACCGCGCGTCATACCGCCGTACCGCCGGAACACTTCCGAGGCTTTCTTTCCCGTTTGGAGCGATTCTTAGACTACACAAGAGCCCGGGGGGGCAACAGAGGCCGCGGTGGCAGTAGATTTCGTGGCAAACTCCAGGCCGTGATAGTGCGGCTAAATTATAGTTGGCTTGTTTGAGTATCCGAAAGCGGCGCCCTGCTTCTTCTACGAGTACGGGGTCCTAACAGAGGTGTAAAGGGAAGTGAGAATTCATTGAGATTGACTGTTCGCCTGGCCCCTCAGTTGGGGTGACAAGTGAGTGACTGATGCTTGCAACGTTACTTGAGTGCCTTAGTTTGCTGGCCGTTTATTGCACCCGAAAGCTGGGAGGGAGAGTTGTTCCACAACTCTGCATCCCTTCATCATACCGGTATCTCCTCTTTTTCCCGTAGCCCCGCGACCCCTCTGGGGAAGATTTTTTCCACCCTTACGGGCGGGGAGCACAATTGCAATACCGCTATGCCCTGTCTATCCATCTATATCTGGGTCAATTCTAAAAGGCCTCTTCTAACAAGTCGTGACCTTCCACCTATGGTTACTCCTTCACGCTTAAAATTTGCACTCTCAATTTTTCATTTTAGTTACGCAAATGGGGCTCACGGGGACACCCTCTCTGCTCTGATGGTGAGTGCACCCTGCACTGCCGTACCGTACCTTGCCCTAAACATGTGAGTGGTGAGGAAAAAAGGGTTGACCAATCATATCAACCTATGATACCTCAAACTTTGCAGCCGGCACAATGGCAGCAACAAATGAGAAGGTGAAAACATCAGAGTTGAGGCTCATCTTTTTTTTTTTTGCCTTCCGGTCGCGGGCCCTTGGTTAGGCATACCGGTATTCCGATCAAGTACAAATATCGTGCCGGGCACAGTAATGATGCTAGTTAAGTATGATAGTACTGTACCGGTACCGGTACAGTACTGGTATCATCATCTGCTTGGCTTTTTCACCCCTTCCTCCGTCCCTCTCTTCTGGGGAAGGGGCGACGCTGTGTGAGTAGACCCTATATACTCGAGTATTGGCAATCATCCCGCTTCCTTTTCCGGGATTCCGATGGGCCCGCACCCACACTCTCTCACTAACCCTAGACCTTTTTAGGGTGCCTAGTACCTTACCTATCATACCATACTCGAGTATGATACTATTTTTTTTTTTCCTCTCTGGGCCCTTTTTTTTCTGCCCCCGCCTGAGTCCTCTGGTGATAGTATACCACATGATATGATAATCTGCCTGTCCGCCTTTACCTCTCACCTCCTCTTCTTCTCCTTCCACTACCTTCGCACTCTGCGCATTATTAATTGCCCTTGCACCCCATCCAACTCTGGACAGGCACAACGCCACCTCTATAATCCCCCCATGCGCCCTACATAATATTATATATACTCTACCTACCGCCCTCCAAACATTCTCCAATACCGTTCGTCTTTACTTCTCCCCCCCCCGTTACCCAGGCTCGGCCCATAGACTAATAAGGTTGATTCCTTCACTATTTGAACGAGCATTCTCTAAAGTCTTAGTTTGTAACCTTTGTATAATACCAGAACCAGAGCACCCAGTCGAATCGCCATGATTCCCTCAATCCCTAAACTCGAGGACTACGGACTTTCTGCGAACTATGGCTTCCTACCTGAGCACCCCCCGCTAACACGCCTTGAAAATCCCTACTACGCACCTTGGGAGACCCTTTTGAAAAATTTGGGAACTTTGATCAGGGCCCAAAAGGTCCGAGAATCGGTCAACGCCCTCCCCGTCCTCACCCCGGACAAATTGGTTTCCGAAGCAGAGCGGAGGAGGGCATACATGATGTTGGGGTTCATGACCCATGCGTATGTTTGGGGAGGTGTCAATGCATGTGAGGTTTGTACTCCCATCGTTTGCCATCGAGCCAAGGGTCTATGACAGCTGACATTTTTGACTCAGCGGTTACCGCCGGCGGTATCCATTCCGTTCCTCCGTCTTTCAGAAACCTTAGGAATTCCCCCAGTTGCAACGTATGCTGCCGTTTGCCTTTGGAATTACAGACTTCGGGATCTCAATAAGCCGGCTGACGACCCGGAGAATTTGGAATCGCTCCTGACTTTTACGGGTACCGAAGATGAGGCTTGGTTCTACTTAATTTCTGTTGCTATTGAAGCTAGAGGAGCTCCTACGATTCCACTCATGCTGGAGGCTATGAGAGCCGCCCGTGATGACGATACCCAGACAGTAAAGGATTGTTTGAACATATTTTCTTCCCGGATCGAGGATCTTACGTTATTATTGAAACGCATGTACGAGAAATGTAGGCCACACGTTTTCTACTTTGGGATCCGACCCTTCCTTGCTGGGTCAAAGAGGATGGCGGAGGCTGGACTCCCGAACGGCGTCTTTTACGATACCGGAAGCGATGATGATTGCTACCGGGAGTACTCTGGTGGAAGCAATGCGCAGAGCTCACTAATACAGGCTTTCGATATCATCCTGGGGGTCGAGCATTATCCAACGGGTCAGAAGAAGGATCCCGCTATATCAAGTCTAGAGGGCACTGCTCCTCCGCCGAAGCACAATTTCATTCAGGTTTTCATTCCTCGTCTACATCCCAGTAGTAGCGGTAATAACACTGGAACAGGAGATGAGAAAGTATATGCCCGGACCTCATCGCCAGTTTTTGGAGCACTTGTGCCTTATACCCAATATTCACAGTTACACTGAAAGCCGGCTGGATGATATAGAAATGTGCACTGCGTATAACAAATGCCTGGGTGCTCTTGAACAGTTGCGTGCTGCGCACAAGGCGATAGTGGCCCGCTATATCATTGTCCCGGCCAGTCAGGCCAAGCAAGCAACGTTGGATCCGGAAGCGTCCAAAACGGCACCAATTAGGAATATTGCTGGTAGCATGGCTTTGGAATCCGAGAGTCCACCGGCTGGAGGCGGCCACGGGCTTGCCAGCAATGAGGCGGCTAAGAACGGACTTAAGGGCACAGGGGGAACCCAGCTGATGCCCTTTTTAGAACAATCTAGAGTCGAGACGCTAGCTGTGGCAGTTGGAGATCGGATGCCGACGAAAACCGAGAGCATCAAGCGACACCCACCAAATTGTAACGGATTTGTGAGGACTTGCAAGGTGAATGAATTTGAAGACTACACTCCCCCAGCCGCTGGAATGGCCGGGTCATGGGAGGATGGTAGTGAAATAGGAGGGCTATGTTCCTACTAGGTTCTCCCCCCATTTGGTTATCCTAAAGGTTCGATATTCGGAATAGAAGGACCCAGGACCTGGGTAGTTATTGTTTTACTTGTTTATACCGTGTATCATACAAGCTCATGTTCGAGGTTCCATTTCCTCTCTTTTGCTTCCCCTACTTTTGAGTATCTCCACATTCGGTTTTGTATACATTGGTTTACGGGCGCTGGGTGTTATTTTCACTTTTCTGCTTACACTTTCTCCGGGATTGTTGGGTGTAATGGACAGGGTGCTGAATGGTCTGCTTTGCTTTTCGGTTTGGAGGAGAGAATTACCATGTATGAATTTCTTAATTTGTTTTCACTTTACCTGCAATCCGGGTTTTGGTAGCTGTGATTGTGTGCACATATGCATTGTTGTGCAAATTATGAGCCCAAGTTGTTCAATGTTACCCGGGAGCTATTGCAGGACTACAGAACAGATGCATGTAACTTGGCAGGGAAGTATTTACTCGAGTATGTGCGATCGAGCACAATACCGGCGTTACACCAGTAATTTACATCAGAACCCGCTCGAATTCTCGACCACCATGACAGTGTCGATACCAACAGACCAGTACCGAAACCGCACCGGGCACGGTACAATATCATACCGATATTATCCCCCCCGGAAACTCAAGAGCCGCAGTTTACTCGCCATCTGATGTGATGCCAGGTCACGGTCCGTCAAAGTCCCCGTTATGATACTTTTTTTCTTTTTTTCTTCTCTTTTTTTTTTTCCTTTTTCCTAACAAGAAACCCCCACTTCCCAAAGAGTGTCATTTCATATCATATATCATCATTGTGCCTAATAACAATCTAGGCTGCTAGCATCATACTGTACCCGAGTGTGGCCAAAGATAAAACAAGATAAAATGTGCTTTATCATAGCGCCAACATATCATCTATCGGCGTTAATAGACTACTCGTACCCAACCCCCGTCCCATCGGACCCTATCTTCGACTCCCAACTACGGTAACCAACCAAAACAACTAACCAGCAGCCCCGCAACCGCCATGAACTTTTAGAAGAAGGGAGGGGGAAAAAAAGAAGCAAATCCGATCAGTTAAAACGTAACACCTAGCACTTGCCAGATGATATGGTAGCATCACCACACCTCACCCGCGCACGCCGGGCCGGGCCGTCCACCGTCAGCCCCACAGTGTCATGCGTAATACGCACACCACGGTCCATTCCGTCACATCATACCCACGTGAGTTTCCTTCCTTCCTTTCCTCCCTCCTTCCAAGCAAGCAAGCAAGCACACAGCTCCATTCGAAGGACGACGAGCCCATTCTCGACGCCTTACTGCGATAGAAAACTCGAAATTAAGAATGCAACTATAATATCATAATAATATTATGGCGATCGCCTCTCTCTCCTAGAGAAGGGGGGAGGAATAAACAACACACCCAAGTCTTGAAACCCTCCCTCCTCCTCCTCCGGCATCCGAAATCCATCACACGTGCTCCGACCGTTTTCTATCCACCTATGATACCTACCTACCTACCTACCCACCTACCTACCGCTCCAAGTCATAAATCTAGTTCTTACTATACACACCGTCACCTTCGCCGCCGCCCGCCCGCCCACGCAATCATGGTTCCTCACTCGCGCTGATGTCCGAGTTGTTTGTGTTGCTTGTTGCTTGTTGCTTGCTACTTGTACCCTCCGTAATTGTACTTGTAACACGTAGAAGATTCGAAGCGTGAGGGCTGTGTCGTATAATTACTTGTACAATGTAATTGTGATAGGGCTCCGATGGATGGATGGATGGATGTGGTATATATATAATGCATACGGTGCCGTTGCAATATATATGCGCTCTTCTGCAATTATTGGCATGTGCTCATCGGTGATTCTACCGTTAGGAGGGTAATTTATGCCATGCGGTGGGTTTTCCCTTGAGCCCTTGCCTTCCTGCCTTGCTGTATAGTATGGAAGGAAAGCTTGTGTAAGGTGGGAGGGGTGTCCGCGCCGTCATTGCCGGGTGCGCTTACGAGTACAGTACAGTACAGTACCTGCGGGAAGGGAAGGGAAGGGAAGGGGGTTTACCGCGTTGGTATATGGTATACCGGGAATCCGCGGTCGCCGTGGGGTTTCATCCATTCTCTTGTTGTGATACGAGTACGAGCTTGGCAACAAAAGAAACGTGCCCCCCCGTGAATATTGCCCTAGATAACAACCACAACAACAATCTCCAAAATGATAAGAGTGGATGAAAATAAGACAAGTAGTTATGAGATACTAGATATAGTAAATATTAATACATGTGATTATCAGTGTGTTTGCATCCCATTGGGCTCTCTCAATTCCAAAATTCGCTCTGGCATACTATCTATCAAGCAGTTCCAGTCTGATGGTCAGAGCCAATCTCACTCTTCTTGAACAGCCTGTCTCATCTCAGCCATGGTTTCAGGGAAGTGATCTCTAGCCTTAATCCGCTGCTTCATAATCCTCCAAATGTTTTCTATAGAGTTGAGGTTGTGGAACTGGGCTGGCCTTTTATGCAAGGGAACACCGAGCTCTTTTTTGGGCTCAACAAGTACCCGTTTAACCCTATGCCAAGGTGCTGCATCCTCGACATACTGGCCCTCTGGAAAGACTTCATAGCTCTTTTGACCCAGAAAGGCAGACCCAATGACAGGCTTTAGAACCTGTTCTAGGGAATCACTAGCTGTGATTCCTCACTTTCCTGTACCCTCCATGAAAACTAACTCTGACTTTTAACTCTTACTGATCACTCCCCACACACCCACTGAACCTCAACCACTGGAAAAGGTATGTTGAATGCAATCATCGTGATAGCGCTCACTACCCAATTGTGTGACCCTTTGTGAGCCCCTCTCTAATATGTCAAAAGTGCACTCATCAGAGTATATATGATGCCGCTAAAAGTCTTTACCCTTGTTGACATGCTCAATTGCATAGTGAAGACGGTCCCCCTGACATTCTTTTGATATAAAATGCCATTTGCAGGCTTTGCACTGTGTATATCCCTTGTGTTTGAGGGTATGCTTAATAGTCATCCCTGAGACTAACAATTCCACTTTTTTTGCCAGCTTTGTCCATGAAAGCACTCTGCCCTCCCATCCACTCTACAGTATGCGAATCAGAAGATGGATATCATATGTTGTAAGGAGTGGTGGACGACCAGACCAAATCTTGTTGCGGTGTTTGGATGGTCAATTGACCCATTGGCTAATGGTTATTTGGGGCACACCGGTACATTGTGAAATTTCATGCTTTGAAAATCCCAAGTCATTTAAAGTATAAACTCTAGAACATATTGGAGTATCATAATGTGTGCTTTGCATCTTATTCAATGGAGGAGTATTCATTGTGGTTGTGGAGGAAAATATTCGCGATGGCCCGGCAATGGGGGGCACGTTTCTTTTGTTGCCAAGCTCGTACAGGTACGATACGTTTTTTCTTTCTTTTTTTCCGGGTGGGTTCCCGATGGGTGTGGTGGAGGTTTACGACAGCTTTTTCTTTCTTTTTTCTTTTCGGGATTTATAGTACGGGGAGGGGGGCTAACCTAGTTGTGGATTTTGCTGGGTTCACATGAGGCCCTCGTGGTTCTAGAACATTGTGCGAGGGAAAAACATAAGGAACTATCGTGGTAATATCACTTAGTTGCCCAAGGGTGAATGAGAATGAGAGGTAAATCAGGGAGATATAATATCTGATTGTCCTACTCCACAGCGATGCCCAAACTACGATTCCAGCGCATCCGGAAGGAAAAACAAGGCGAGGTATAACAACCTTCGCCGAACCACAAATTCTTTGCACGATCGCTATTAAGCCTACCACCGGAGCCTACTGTTACAAAACACGCGAATGCAGAGAAAAACCACCACGAGTCATCCCCGCGCGTAGCTACAATTCAGCTTTCGGGGGAGTGCCCTTATTGAGCTCCTTCTCGATAGCAGAGGCCAACGAGTCGGGCTTCGTAGTGGAGGCATAGCGGTCAACCACCTTTCCTTCCCTGGAAACGAGGAATTTCTCTGCACAAGCATTAGACATTATCGGATACTCGCACAAAGTGTCAGTAATTTCTTACCATAGTTCCATTTTCTAAATGCGGAGTTATTAGTTGATGAACCTAGAAGGCAGAGCTCAATATGGCTGGGAGACTTACATGAGCTTTATTCCCAAAAGGCCCGCCTTCTCATCTTTGAGCCATCTATACCATATCATTAGCTCATGAAAGGCCCCTATCAAGGAGGTTGAGGGCAGTACTTGTAGACCGGAGAAGCATCACCCCCGTTGACGTCGATCTTGGCGAGAACAGGGAACTTAACGCCGTAATTGACCCTTCAATCACCGTTAGCACTAGGCTAAGGTGAAGACAAAGAGGATATAACAAAAAACCTACATGCAGAACTGTAACGGGTAAGTAAGTCGTCGTTTTCAATCTGGAAGTGTTAGGGAACCTCTTACATCTTGGATCTCCTCGTCTGTCCCTGGCTCCTGGCCACCGAACTGGTTACACGGGAAACCAAGCACTTCGAGCCCCTGGTCTTTGTACTTCTCGTAAAGTTTCTCAAGGCCCTCGTATTGCTATTATCCGATGAGTAAACTTGACCATCTGACAAATAGGAAAATCTTAGTTCAATGAACTTACGGGAGTGAATCCGCACCTATGCGGTCGTCGTCAGCGACAAGGGGAATTTTATCGGAGACTGAGGGGAGTAGGTTAGGGGGGTAACGTACTTGCTAGCAACATTGACAATGAGAACCACCTTCCCTTTCAACTGGTTGAAGGTATAGGGTTGATTTCTAGAGTCAAGGGGCTCAAGATCATAGAAAGTGGTAGCGGAAGACATGATCTTTGTTATGTAGAGTTAGAAGATCTCGTGTGTTTATTGTTGCGAAAGGTGTAGTGATGTTGTTGGTAACAATCAGTGACGTTGAGCTTTGCTTCTGGAGGAAGATGGAAGGAGGTTTTTAAGGGAGCTTGTAGGGGGGGAGGTGTCGTAGTTGGGTGAGGAGGTCTGCAGATGGCCGGATGGAGGTCGGGAACCGGAACCATGGCAGCTACCTACTCGAGTACCCTACTCGTACCCGTACTCGAACGGGCTCTGGGCTATGGGAGGTGACAAATCTCTCGGGGGCGTCGGAAAATCTTCGTCTCATACGGCAGAATGTTCGTCCCGCATCCATCATACTTGTATCATAATCGTGGAACATTTCGCCCAACAGGCAGGGGTATATCCGGCTGGTTAACCTCGAATAACCGTTCCATAACTTCTTGCCGGACCTTGCAACCGGTATTTGACTCGGCTGTCATTCTTTTCTCACGTGGTTGTCTTGGCGCTCTTATCAGATTCACCAACGTTATTCAGGGTCCACGATCAAAAACTGTTTTGCACTAGACTGCCCGGATAGACAACCTACGAGTAGACTCCCGGGCCACCCAAACATGAGACTTTCCAGTGGTTTTGCTTACTCGAGTAAATTAGGTGGCAGCTTTCCCCATACGAGCACAGCACAAGCCCCCCCCACCAATGATTGCTAGTATCTGTCAAAGTGGGGGGGGTGTCCGAGTGGCTTGGGAGGTTGTCTGCCGTTGGACTACCAGTACTGCACTGGAGTAGACTGAGCAGCGCATGTGGCCAAACTGAAGTCGGACACTTTGTATGGGGTCGCTGCCTTGGCTGCCCAACTTCAACCGGGCCGCGCGAGCACATATCATACGTATCGCATTCTACAAGTGCCAGGATATGTTGTCGTTTGCCGGGCATATTCGTGTGCAGCGCGGTGTCAGGCTGATCACCATATCACTCGTATCATACATACCGGTATCACTTCGCCTCACTATGCTCATCTTTCCCAAGAGTACCTCCGCAAGCCGGATATTTAGTGCGGGCTCCCGCAAAATATTTAGACCTCAGTAACGGGAAAGCCCTTCCCACACATCTTCCCCCCTTCCCCCGCTTCGGCTTTACGCAAGTGCCATATGGTACATACTGAAACACCGCATTGGTACTGATAGCGGTACGGTTAGCCATGTTACCCCACTCTACTGTACTATGCTCGGAGAAGGATATTGGATGCTTCCGTGTTCCATAATATATCCATGCTCGAGTACAGTGACGGCACAGTCGAGTTGCTTCAACTCAACTGTTGCGGTAGGGTCAACCCCGGCATCCCCGACATGATTTTAAACGAATATAATTACATCAAATGCTAAACTACAAAAACGCCGGGACAAACCCTTCAATTCAACATTCCAAGAGCACGCATCTGGGTTTTCTGGGTTGACAACTAGCCTTCCTTTAACCTCTTTGCCCTTGAGCCTCCCAACGAATCGTCGGGAAGCCCGCTCCTTTTGGTTCCAGGTAAGGAAATATCGTTATCGTCTTGACTTACTCTCCGGTGAGGATAATCAAAACTTTGGCCCTCAAATGCACTATTGTGAGCGTTAGTTTAACAATGCCAAAATGTGTCCAGAATGCCTAAAAGTGGTGTCTGGGATCTTACTTCAAGGTTAACTTCGCTCCTTCACTAAAATATGGGTGCTCGAGAGCACTTTGTGCCGTGAGTCGTTGCGTGGGGTCGTAATTTAATAGACCGGATAAAAGTTGAAACCCTAGGGCATTGGTAGCCCCGATTTGGTGATACCAGGCTTCAAGGTTGTTCGTGTATTGCTTGAAAGCTTGAAGTTGGTTATATTCTGGCTGCTGGACGACAGCGGGCCATCGTTCCTCTGGTGGGGGGTTAGCTGGTTTCTAGGTATGATACTGCATCGCTATATTCATGGTGATAACTTGGGGTATTTTGGGTGTGAAGACTTCTAGGAAAACTTACTGTTAGGGGTCCCGAGAATTTCAATTATCTTTTGCATCTGGTTCCGCTGGAACGGCACGGTACTCTTCTTTTCCATCTTAGCCTCTTCCCCTTTGAATATCGGTCTCAAAGCCAGGAGCTCGGCGAAAATACACCCGACAGCCCAGAGATCAATCGCTGCTGTGTAGTGTTTACTTCCAAGAAGCAGCTCGGGCGCCCGGTACCAAATAGTTACCACCACCTTATCACCCGCATACAAGCTCTGAAGGGGTTTCCAGAATAACCTGGCCAACCCCAAGTCTCCAATCTTGACTTCGCCAGCAGCTGTGACCATGATGTTTGCAGGCTTGAGGTCACGGTGTAGAACCCAATTCTGGTGTAGATAGGATACGCCATTGAGCAGTTGCCAGAGAACAGACTTAATGGTTGCTTCGGGTATCGGGCGTCGTTCTGGGTGAGAATGATAGTGTACGATTTGCTAACGCCTGGTTAGGTCGATCCACTGTTATACTGACTGAGGGAGGCTTGTGTCGTACTAGTAAATCATGCTCGGCATACTCGAACACCATATATATGCACTTGTCTTCAAGGATGATTTCATGGAGATGAATTACATTCTCGTGGCTTAGCTCGCTACAGAGCTGTTTGCATGAATTAGGGATTGCTCACAAGATTCGCCAAGGAAGAAGCAAGTACTTACAGCCATTTCTCTGCATGCCGATTGTGATATCCCAGTGTATTGAATGATTTCACCTTCCTTGTCCGGTTTGAATCTGTATCATGAAGTGTAAGCCATCGTCTGCAGCGAAGATACCACGCCACCCCTAACCAAATGCCAATTTGTAATTAGAAAACATAGAGAAAGGCAGCCCCTGACTTTTTGATGGCATATTCTTTAGTATTCCCAGGCAATTTGCTTCTGGCTTTGTAGACTCTACCATAAGTACCACTAGATATAAACCCAATGATATGATACTCCTCGAGAACTCTGACCTTGCTTTTGTACGGTGGCATTATCTCTTCGTGCAAACCCCTTTCCTCTTGATCCTCTTCTTGCTCGTCCTCGCCCTCGTCACCTTCTTCGTGATGAGTGCCTTCTCGCTTCCGTTTCGAGGGAGGATGTTGTGTGGGTGTGATTGTGTTGAAGATGGTCGAGGTGGAGGTAAGCAAACCGGGTCTTCCTCCGCCGCGATCGTCCTTGTCGTCAACTTCCCTGTCTTCGGCTCTTTGCATGCGGCAAATCGGTAGTGTGCTGTACCGTAGGGCGTGACTTAGCGTCTTTGTTAGACGGAACTGGACGCGTCGTGCCGAAGTGGAAACGTGAGGTTCGAGTGGGGGGAGGAGGGAGAACCCACCTTTCTTTGTGATATGCGCTGATACAACAGGCCTTCCAATCAAGCCTGGATTCTGGGCTTTTTCCTCCTGAAAATCAGCCTGAAAACGATGTTGCCCGTGTGGTCAGCTGTGATGCTTTTCTTCGGCTGTGTGTGAGAGTCTGTAATTCACGGTCTAAAGATAGAGTACGGGCAGTCTAAGGTAAGTAGAGTTTTTTTTTCGTTTGTATCGTGCGGTATCGTGGCGATGCGTCCTACCGTATCAGAGAGTGAGAGCTAGACTCAGATACCAGCCTCGGTCGTGCGGCGGAGAGCCTCCAAGAAGACGTTGGGAAACCGGGGAACGCAAATCGGCCAGGCACGGGTATCTGCCTCCCACCACCAAATCCGGCAACAAACAGGCTCCAGCGACAAAGTTTTCGGAGGACTTTTGATGGGACTACTTAAAATCGACTTCTCTTTAATTATATAAACTCTGTTTCCTTCGATAAAGTGAGTATTGGTTGAGGACTGTACCGGTAGGAGACGCATCTAGGATAAGGTGAACACACATACAAATTTGTGCCAAGGCACTACTTGCTATGTATATTACTAAGCGGAGCAAAGCGAACAATCTGATGGTCACCATGGAGAGAGACTTCAGCCTGTAGCCAATTCCTCAACATTGAATGTCTGAACATCCATCCACTCGTGCTGAGCTCATCGTTGGACTTACAAGTTCCCACTAGCCACATCCCTTTGTTTATATTTGCGGAACCACGGTCGGGACCGCCCTCTATGATAGTCTATCGGCAGGGTACTCGAGTACGGTCTTGAGGGGATAATAACGCAGCCAGTTCAAATTCCCCATCATAAAGCTTTGGGGTTAGTCCATTGGCCGGGTCGCTATGGGGGGGGGCCTGGCCACACACCACTCCAAGCCAAAACCCAGAGAAATTGGAAATGGCACCGCTCGAGTAGAGGAGTCACGGAAAGTGTGGCTCAAGGGGCAAGTGAGAGTGAGCCTCTTCAAGAGACTTCTACCCTCAAAGCAGTAAAGACTTTGGTAGAAACAGGGCCTCGCGGCAAATTATCTTCAAAATCTACCCAGGGGGATAACTTTCTTGCAAATAACTCATCGCTCGCCTATTGCTCCACATCTTGTTTGACCCTAGCGCCATTTCTACTCGGGTATCATAGTTAAACCAGCCAAATTATGCGGCACTTGTACTGACTGCTTTTATATACAATGCCGCAAGATATCTTGGGCTTGTACTCGAGTAACTCGCGATCCCCGCACGCCTCCAATTTCCGGATTCAGGCACCAGATCTCCCGAGAGGCTGGGAAGGATTAAAGTTTTTCCTGACATGGGTACTCGTACAAGATCAGCCCGCCGCACGGTGTTTCATCTCTTCGCAATTCTCTTAACCCGTCAAACTAAACCTATCGTGGGCTGACAGGCTGATTTCCGCTGATAATCTGATAACGACATTGGATTTCCAGTGTTTCTTGCGGTGCAGTATGATATTCTTGCACAGAATCGCTCATACTTTTATTATAATAATATTATTATGACACCCGGTCAACGTGATCAGGCGGTTGCCATGCGTATCGTAGCTCTCACAACTCTGGTCACCCCGGCTTGTGAGCCCGTTACGGTACCTGCGTGCGTACCTCCTGGAAGCAGGTAGACATTGAGACAAACCCACTACGCGCGGCTACGAGCCTTTAGCAAACACACCCCTCTCTTCCCCTTCTTTCACCCTACCCTCCTCCTTCTTGCTTCTCTCCACACCAAATCACCACTCTCTACTCTTTTCCTCAGCGCCTTACCTCCTCATAGCCACCTCACTTACCCAATTTCTCTTCCATTGGGTCATTAGATAATTTCCTCGTTTAACCCGATCGCCCATTCAGTCTGATTTCAGCTTCGCTTCATTCATTTACGAACAGTCATGCCTGCCATCTTGTTCGTCTACATCGCTGTCCTTGTTACAGGGATGGTTCTTTATGGCTGGAATTTGGTACTGGCTCTAAACTAATTGGTGTGTGGAGTTTGGTCTAACTTTGTTTTCACTCTAGGCTGAATTGAATGCCCCCCAAAGAGCAATCCAGGAGAGCTTGGGCCTCAGTGCTGCCCAATTCGGTACGATCACTAGACTCTCGCTTAGAACTTTGCGTGCCAATCTTCAACCGTCCCTTTTGGTTTCCTTCCAGGTCAATTGCGGTTGTGGACTTGGAGGGTTGCCGTCGGCCTTCAAGTAAACCAAAGTCACAACTGCCCCATCTATTATCCATTTCGAAACGGTCATCCGTGCTGGAAGGCTTTTTTCCTTTCCTTGAACGCAATTCCCCACAGCCCACTTTCCTTCTTCTAGTTTGAGTTTTACCTCTCCCCGTTACACAGCCAGCCTGAACTGAACCCCTATCGGGGTGTCAAGAGAAAAAAAATTGAGAAAGTTGAAGAACTGACAAACCGATGACCTTTTGCTTCGGAGATTTTGTGCTCCCGCTTTCTTTCAAGAGCTGATAATAACACCTTTACCTAGGTCTCGCCTCTAGTGTCCTTGCTGTCGGAGGTTTTTTTGGTTCTGTTACCGCAACCCCCGGTATGAACGCCTTCGGGCGTAAAAGAGTTCTAATCTGCACTGCCTTGGTATTCGGAGTCGGGGGGTTGTTCAAGGCTAGTGCAGGAGGTGCCGTCGTTCTCACCATTGGTAGATTCCTAAGTGGAATAGGTGCGGGTTCTGCTGCGGTTATTGTGCCGATTTATATCAACGAGCTCGCACCTCCCAACTCCAAAGGAGCATTGTAAGTTATTGAGTATGGTTTCAAACGCTAGCTGTTTAGGTCTAACCTTTGCAGTGGCGCCCTGACACAGATATCGATTAACTTGGGTATCTTGTCCTCTCAGATTTTGGGAATTTTCTTGGGTAAGTTACTACTCTCGATATTTCGGTTTCCTTCAATTCTAATTGCTCCCACTACAGAAAAAAACGGACAGTGGCGCTTCATTCTCCTCATTGGAGGGATAATTGGCTTGGTGCAAACAGTTGGGCTACTGTTTCTTCCCGAGTCCCCGTCGTCCTTGGTGGCCTCTGGAGACATAGAACAAGCTAGGAAAGAGCTTATCAGGATCCGAGGCACTTCAGACGTCGAGGAAGAACTTGCCGGTTATCGAAGCCAACCAGCTGGTAAGTTTCTATCTGTTCCCCCGGCCACGGGCTCCCTTACCCTCAGAGGATACTTACGCCAGGCGGCAAGGACCATCTGAGGGAACAGACAACACCGAGCCCATGGGTGAAAGTGACCCTCTCATGCTCGAAGCCGGACCCACTCCCGAACCAGAGAACAACGAGGTCGGGCTGCTGGAATTTGTGACCAAACGTGAATACCGTTTCGGGTTTATGATTGTTGCTGGCGTGATGTTGGCGCAACAACTTACCGGTGAGTTTATGCCTAATATCTTGATCGCGCGGACCGGATTTGCAGTTTTTGCTGATCGTATAAATTTAACGGACATCTAGGCATCAATGCTGTCGTTTTCTACGGCGTTTCGATCCTAGATAATCTTCTCCCTAATTCTGCCAAATACCTCAATGCAGCAATCTCGGGGGTCAATTTGTTGGTCACCTTGGTGGCATCTTTCGTGTTCGACAGAGTGAGCCACGGGTTTTTGCTCCTAATGTCCATATTTATGATGGCGTTCTTCTCGCTTGTTCTCTCAATAAGCATCTCATACGGGTTAGCTATCCTCTCTGCAGTTGCAACCCTACTCTTCGTCTCATCCTTTTCTATGGGCTTGGGTCCTCTGCCTTGGATGGTGGCCTCCCGTAGGATAGAACCAAGGGGTGTTGGTGCAGCACAGTCGATTGCTTTGACTGCTAGTTGGATCGGTACTTTCTTGGTCAGTTTCGCAGTTCCTGTGATAGCGCATGCTGTTGGGATGTCGGCCGTTTTCGGGATGTTTGCAATCCTAGGCGGTGTCTTCTTCTGCTGGGGTCTCCGCTACCTGTAGCATGGCCCTATCAAATGCCCGGGAATTGGTGATGGTTTCCAGACTTAGGGCATGCTTTTCTTCTACCTGATTTCCTTCTCTTTTATTTGTGCACGATGCGTGGAGATACCTATGCAGTGGCTCTTTTCGCAATTTTTTTTGACCATTGCTTGCTATCATACTTAGATATATAGTTGGTAATAGCACAGACAATCAAAGTGTTGCGCTAAAATAAGTTATGGTGCATTGCATTCAAACGTCCACCTGAACCGTTGCAACACCCAACCGTTCAAGGACTTTAGGCGCGCTTGGAAACACAAATGTCTTCGGATAGTATCGTGATTTTTCTTTTCTTGTTCGCTGCTCATTTTTTCACTTGTGGGTGGACTGTCACCCTTATATACATGAATAAGAGAGACTTCCGTGTTTCATCTCCTCCTCATCTCACCATGACTTCTCTAGGCCACATCAACCACGCTCCTTCTCCTTCCATCTCTTTGCTTCCCATCACTTCTATTCTATCTCCTCTCTTCTGATCTCCTCCCCTCGTCATCTCCGCTTCTCTCATCCCTTCTTCCCAATACCAGATCCTCTTTGGGCTACTCTGGATCCACCGACATGTGAGCCTATGAAGTTCCATCCCGCTGACAAAATAAATAACAGCTAAATTCCAGAAATAAGTTTATCGCTCTTGAGGTACCGTGATAATGTAATCACATTCGACAACTAGGCGCCGGTGATTCACAATAGAACCTACGTTCACAGTGCACAAATTTCCTTTAATTCTAGAATTACTACATGGTTTTAATTAAGCTAGGCCATTCTAATTACTTGGGAGCTTTACGATATGGTTCTGCTCTTGATTAATATAAAATTAAAAAAGATACATAACTGAGAATTGAATACAGGATAATGAGAAATCATGAATTTCGTGGCATAGCCCTAATTTCTCAAAGGGTTGGGTGTTACGTTTTGACCGTAATACACCATACAGTGTTTACAATTTTTTTATCTTTTTAGGTGATCAGATATATTTCACAACAGCCGTAAGCAGATCCTTTAGGGGGGGGGGGGGTGAGAAGTTCTTGAATATACAGCTTACGATACAGGTCCGATCGTTTGTGTGGGCTGTACGGTACTCAAACGGGCACAACTCTACGTATATCAATGTAACACATAAACAACCGCAATGACTCGGGCCACCGAGGACTAGCGATAAGAGTGGTAAGTGCCCTTTCTCAATGATTGATCGATATCAAGCGCCCCCCTATCATACTAGCTCCCCATACTTGTGCTGAAGCTTTCGGCTGGTACGATATGATAATATTATGATATTAGGCAAATATCTGAGTCGCGCAACCCAATATCCCATCCGCCCCACTGCCTTGGCTCTGCACCGCCGCCCCTGCCTTCCCGGTGATTGGGGTAATCCTCCCGAAAAGCTCGTTCGTTCGAAATCGGTAACGAAGGAAATTGCACTCTGCTATAAGACATGTTTCGATTACCATATCTGGAATACGGGTACGAGGGGAGATCAGCTAACATTGTTTCTTGGAATATTCTCAAAGACTGGTACAGGGGTGGGGGGGAACTTGCTCTTCTCATTTCGGCTTCGGCCACAAATTGCTGGCGTAAGTCTTTTTATTATTATTTTTTTAGATGGGTTCCAGAAGGTTGATGAGGAGGAGGGCCGAGAAGGCAATCAGAATTACATATCATAGGCAGCTTCCACCTGCCTTCTCTACCATACTGCGCACCCAAGGGTGCGTATCTCTTTGCGAGGAAAGAGTCGGACTCGCCCTAAGGAGTGTTTGCCCAATTGCCTTTCGCTATACTGTATTTGCCCAATGTATGGCGATTCGGGGAGGTCACACCTTGCCTTGCGCTATGGATGACCCGGCTGCGCTTGGCTCTGATACGACCTTGATTTAGTGCTGAGTGTAAGCGTATAGTAAGGATACTCGAGGATAGCGTCATTGGGGAGGGGGGCGTCTCTTTGTAGATACCGGTACTTGATCACATCCCGGAGGAAGGGGTGCCGAAGAAGAATTCTAGAAGAAGATATATAGCCCCCAGTAATCGATATTGAGAACTGGGTCACCACCGGTACTCGGATTAGGGAGTTGATCGGTGAGTAAGCGCGGTCGTGTTTGCTCTCTTCTAATCGTTAATAATAAACACTTTCATTGCCGAGGCAATGGAATGATTATGTTTTTGTTTTTTTCAATAACTGTAGAGGTGCTGTTTGGGGTGAGGGATGGTTAAGACCCTGATATGGAGGTTCTTATTGTTTATTGGGATTTAATTATAAATATTATTATAGTAATCGTTATTACAGGTATTATTGTCGACGAAACATGCCCGTTGAAGCTTCCTCATCCTAGTGCGGACATCATCACCAGTCACTCGGCTATGATCACCAAGCGAGAGAAGAAGAAAATTTTCATGATATTCCGTTTGCTCAATCTGAATCGACCTTTCTCTGACTCGAAATTCTTACATACGAATCGCCGGTTTCAAATTAATTGGTCCCTAAAAACCCGGTTAGGTTCAATCCCATTATGAAATACTACAAATACCAAACAGACTCGATCACAACTCAAGGCATAGTGACGAATAATAACACGCCCAATGACTCGCGCCATGCAATGTAGGGTTGACGATAAGATAGTTGCCATTTCCCCAAGATTGATACCATATCCTAGATCTGGTTACGTCCTCCTGAAGCTTTCGGGGAGGTGTGATGTTAGGCAAATATCTATATATCACACAAGCAAATAACCCGTCCCTACTCTTATGCGTGGGCTGAGGTGGGAGGTTGGTGGGAGGATTTGCCCGGAAGCTGCGCATTAAGGGAGATGGAGGTAGGGAAGGGATGGTGAACTCTCTCGCACTTCATCGACTAAACTAACCGTAAAGAGGGGTGCATAAGTGAATAGATAAAACCTGATCCTTCTATAGATCGCCATGATCTATCTCTGTGTCTCCGCACAATTCCCCTATTTCTCCACTTCCCCCTCTTTGAGCTGAAAACACCCTTAGTTGTTATTATTTCCTTTTCGCAAACAGTGTGCTATTGCCATGCCGAACACCCCCAGACGGACTCTGCAAATTCCAGCAATGATGGAAATTTCCTCGATGAACTCTGGGGTTTTTACCTCCAGCCCCTCATTGCTCCAAATCCAAGTTATTCAAAGCGGCGGGCAAGAGGGGGGAGCTTCAGACCGGCCATGTGTGAGATTTGTACAAGTACATAATCGGGTCAGAACGAGTCGGCTTTCCTTCCTTCCACCAGACAACAAACGACATGGGCCATCGGTCGGCGCCCGGCGATCCAAAAAAAAAAAATCGGTTTTAGTACTTGCGCGGCCGAGTTGAAGTTGGACGGGTAAAGTACGTACTGTACAGTACGATATATCATAGCACCCCCCCACCCCTGCAAAAAAAAAAAAAAAAAAAATTTCCAACTTCAACTCGTCCTTGCGAGGAGGTAAGTCCCGCTCACGCTGGCAAAAGAAAGTCCATCAAACGATTCCAGCTTGAGGAGAGACAGACGGATACATTCGATTCCAACACAGACGGGAATTTAGCCCAACCGGCCAACGGCGTTATTCTCACACAAATTTTCGTCTAGTCCAACGATACCTTTCCAGGCTCATTTCTCAATCGAACTCTGGAGTCGAAGCCCTTGATGCATGCACAGTATGGACAGTCTATAGCGGGTAGCCTGCCCGCCCTCTCGCTCTTTGAAAGGGGGGGCGGTCACCTTTGGATTACTGTACGAGTACTTCTTGGCTCATGGTAATTTCCACCCACAGCTCACCTACATATAAACCGAACGCCTCATCCAAGACTTACCATACCTCGAGCAAAAACAAAAGGGGGGGGTGGGGCGCCGTTCTTTCAACCACCCGGATTATTTCGATCGTATATCTCATGATAGAGAGAATAGGAGGGTAACAACACTCGAGAATTGTGTTTTTTTTTTTGTTTTTTGTTTTTTTTACCGTTACTTGTAGAAGGTACCGCTTGAGAGATACACAATACAATTACCGTAGTAAGTAGAGAAGGACTATAGGGGAACATTTTTGTTTGAAATTATTATTATTTTTTCCCTATGTGTGGGTGGGGGGGGGGGGGGGAGGAGATGTCATAGTAGGGCATATTATTGGCATGAAATGAAAGCCTATCTACGAGTAAAAAACCCGCGCGGAAGGGGTTAACATAATACCATTAGCAAATACCCGAGTACAGTAACCATTTACAGAAATATGGTAAAAACCTTTGACCCATCATCTCCCCCGAAAATAAATAAATAAATAAATAAGAAAAAGGTTCTGACCTTGGAGTCGTTTCTATGAATATAGTTCTTGGTTTGCCCATTATTACTGCGATGCGCTGGTCGCACCACAATAAAACCACCCACCGATAGAACAAACAAACATGAATAAATTCGGGCTCACGCTTAGCCAGCCCACCAAAAAAAACCACAATTTACATCCATCCAAGTATAATATCGGAAAGTCAATATTTTGCTGTTATATTGTACAAACACCATTGATGGAACCCGGGAAATCTTCCTGCTAAGAGGGGACCTTGGAAATTTAGTTGGTGTGCCCGGAATTATTATTTTTACCATAATATATGGGAAGCTTCATATAAAAATTTAATGGCAATTTTGTTCACTAAATATTTCCCAGTTTTCAGGACAGACAGACAGACAGACAGGGAGCTCACAGCGGGTCCGGATAGGATGCACAACCAACGATTCAGATGTCATCAAAAAACTGGGTACAGTACTGTGCAGTTAGTGCCGTCCCCCCTTCCCCATGGCCCCGAACTGTTGATAAGTTCCGGGGAAGTGTGTGTGTGTCTTAAGATGCCAGATGCTAGCGTCCGTCTCTTTTGAAAGAAAAATAGAATAAAATAAAAACCCCAACTCGTGGTCCTATCGTACGAGTTGACTTTTTTTTATAGTGCTCTAACCGGTACCCTGCTGAAAATGTGCCTGACGGCTGCCGGTCAGTATGTACCCGTAGGTTTCCCCGGTATGATATATAACTCACAGCCCTACCGGTAACCGGTATCGCCAGCGCAAGGTTGTCACGCGAGCGTAATCAAAATCTAATAATAACATACAATTACAGTGGACTACAGTACAAGTACAACGGAGAATAACATACCCCCCACCTCCAATAAATTGCCAATTACTCCACCAATATTACGGCCCAAACCTACGATGGAAACATCAGTTATCAAGCAGAGAGGACCTGAAAAAAAAAAAAAAAAAAAAAAAAAAACACGTTACGGGAATCCCTTTTTCTTTCTTTTTTACCATTCTTCTTCTTCACCAATCATTACTACGAGTGAGCTCTCCACGCAAGTCTCGGGGTTGGAAGCAAACTTCCCCCCCTCTCTCTCTCTTCCCTGGGTGTCTTATGATACGTTTACCGTGGGAAGGGGGGGGGGGGGGGGGGGGGATAAAAAAAAAACCCCCAACCCGGGACCCCGGGATGAAAATACAGTTGGCCAACCACCTACCGGTAGAGTCCCTGCAAGGGCGGTATTTGCCAAAACCCAAAAGGGAACTCGGTAATTATCACTTGCTGCGTGAGATGCTGTAGAATAACGGGATATCTCAAGGCGGTGGTGGTGACGAGCGGACCGGAAAAGGAAGAGAGAAAAAAAAGAGCCCGCGCAGCAATATTGACCACCCAGAACTACGGCTGGGTCGGTCTAGACCGTGGAAGAGTCTTGATGTGGAAGGAAGCTCTCCAATGGAAAATGTAATTACCATACTAGTAGTTGGGATATGACACGGTAAATAGGGAATAATATCATACGTATCATGCAGCTAACCCCGCCTACTACTCCGCCCCACAATTTAGAATAAATAGCCACCGGCGCCTTCATATACCTACTTACTCCATCTAACCAGGAATTACCCACCCATTCCTTCCGACCCAGACAACGCGCCGGGAGAAACGCTTACGGGGGGGCGGGCACCCAACAGGAAAGGAAGGAAGAGAAGAAGAAAAACGACAAATTTCCCTACCCATGATACCGGTGAGCGACTGACCGGCTATTAGATAGAACAGTGTTGTTAAACATGCTTCCAAAATCTCTCATGTGATAATGGGGGGAAGTCTTTGTTTCTTTATTGTGGTGAAAGCGGTTGACAGGATGGTTATTTCCTTTCATCTCTCTTTCCTATCTATACAAGCTTGTGTTTTCATCCCTTTGTATGAAGTGAGAATAATTATGATATTATTATCATACGGCTCTTCGGAACAACAAACAATGTTGAAAACTTTCGAGTGAGTATTCATGATGTTTGTCACTTTCTTGCATTGTGGCAAACTTTGAACCCCGACGGAAAGGGGGGCAGGTATATCATATTATCATGTACTTATCATGTACTATACGCAGCTTACCGCGAGCATGCAGGCAAACTACTCCTTCCCTCTTCCCAAACCTACTCGAGTACAGTAAGTAGGGCGCCGTTCCCACGGCAGTGAACCTAATTTGGAAGTTCCAATGTTTGTCTGCTTGACAAATCGGCTTGGCTGCTGACAATATTGTACTACGGGCATGAAACTACTATACAACTACCCAGTGTGAAGTACCGGTATGACACTACGATACAACTATCCAGTGAAAAGTATGATACTATGATACAAGTTACACCAAAGTTTGAGTCTGAATTTAGTACCGGTATGAGCGCTCGGATCTGTACAGATAGTTTGTCGCACAGCTCTTTTAATCCCTGTATTCAGGCTCCCGTGGCTAATTTACCGTATCCAGGCCATTCCATTTGGTGAATGAAGTCTACCAGTACATAAATTTCCATAGTGGTATCCGTGCAAGGGGCAGAGCTTGTCTGGGAAAGAACTATGATATTCTTGGTTTGCACGTCCCTGGCTAAGGATCTGCACGAATTACGAATCTCACTCAACTTGAGCTACGAGAGCTACAGATTCGTGTGAACGGGTTTTATTGCAAACAAATCACTAGGCCCTACGGCTCAAGTTACAGAAAACAGAAAACAGAATTGTGCATGAAAGCAATAGAAAAGGAGGCCAACTCAAACAGCACCATTCATCGCCTCCAAGCCACGCCACACAGAACTGAAGAATATCTCCCGCTCAGAACGGGATTCCTGAAGACCTAAGCGAAAAGCTTGTGCTCCAAGGTCATGTCGGACTCAGGGTCCAACCCAACACAGGCGCGGAAGATGTTGGACATAGCCGCACGTTGTTTGGCGAGAGAATTGATAACGGGAGTTCCAGGCGGAGTACAGGGTGCCTAAAGAAAATGGTCAGCTGTGAGCTCAATAGAAGCGCGATCCGGAATAAATCACCTTCAGCATGTAGCTCAAGATACTGAGGACACTATGGAAACCCTTGTAATCCTTGGTCCCAACACCATTAGAGGCGTGAGACTTCCAGGTGATACGGGTCATGAGCTCTGCGACAAGCGCGAGATCGATAATGAGCGGGCTCGCCAACAGGGAATCCTCGCAAACATTGGACATGCTACGAACCACTGTAAGTTTGCAGGTCCGGCAATTATGGGGAGATTTACGGGCCCAACTTACGAGATGGTTTGGTGGCCGCCCAAGAAAATCTCACCGTAGTACTCATCCAATGCGCGCTTGGAATCTCCAACGGCAGGCATGTACTTGATGACTACAGTATGATCAGGGTGCTCTCCCTTCTTGTACAAGACGGAGTTGGCCTCCACCATGTCATCGACAACATTGCTCTTACTAATCTCCTTGCTTCGGAATGTCTTGTGCTCGCTCAAATTCCTCCCATCTTTCACAAATTAGTAATTTTCAAAAGAAAGGGTAAAAAATAAACATACCGTTGTTTCCTAGATGGTTGTAAGAGGCGATCGAGGTAAGTTTGATACCGGCATTGACAAGGAAATCAACCAGTGCAGACTTCATTTTAGTTTGACCGGACTTAAAATCGTCACCACCGATAAAAGACTTGTGTTGCTCGGCAAGCTCAATGGCGCCCGGGACAAATGTGTTTTGGGGGGAACCGTTGATGAAAGGGACACCTTCCTGGATACAAGCAATAGCAAAGATAGTAGATGGAGCAACCTCATCGTAGCCAGCCTTGACAGCGGCAAGAAGATTCTGAGCGGTGTCGTTGACACCGGGAATGATCTCTGCGTAACGTTCGGTGTTGGCGGTCCAAAGAACGATAACCTTGTCGAGGTTGTTCTCTGCCTTGAAGTTACTAGTAGGAAAAAAGATTTAGCATTTGCCAACATAATTTTCCAAAGGATATTATATTATTCCTACCGGATATCACTACGAATCTTCTCGACATGTTCCTCCTTGGTACCCTTCAAAACGTTATCGGCGCGATCCTCCTGGTTGGCCGCAATGAAGTCAGGATAGTAAACACTTGGCAATGGAACCATGTTGCGCATTTCCTTCGCTACCTGACGCTTAAGATCGGGTTCGAGAACGGCCGCACGATCCATAGCATCGGCAAGATTCATGCCACTAATATCCCACCCGCCAAGGACAAGGTCATTGGGATTAACCATCGGGAGAATATCACGGAAAGGGATATGAATCTCCTTCCCAGTTTCAGCCTCGTTGCCCAATTTGATGGTAGATCCCATGATAACAGAGCCGTAATAATTTGCGCCCCTAGTACCCTCACGGGTTTCCCAGGTCAAACCATCACGGTTAGCGATAATACCGGCGGTGACAGTAGTTCCATTGTTACCACCCCATCCCACGAGCATGAGTCCCACTTTGCCAATTTTACGCTGGACGTTGAAATCGTATACAGTCTCCAGAGGCTCTGCGACATACTTGTTGCCAGCCCTCGTGACTTTAGTAGTACGATAAGTGTAAGTGGACATGATGGCATCTTCGGTATAGATGACATTCGGGGAGCGGACGGTGAACAATTCATTGGGGGCAGCAGAATTTGCACTACGGTCATTGGGAAATTCGTTCGCGTGAGGAGCCATAATATTTGCAAGTGTGGTAGTGACTTCGGAAATAGTGGGATTATGAGATGTAGGGCAAATCAGAGGCGCCTCCTGCAGGGGAAGAACGTTTGCCTCCTTGGTGGGGGTGGTGAACTCTGACATTGGGAAAAGAGTGATAAGCAGGAGGAAAAAACAAAAGAAAGAGAATAAGAGATCGGGCAATTGAGAAATCGCAAGAAAGTTGTGATGAAAGAGAAAGCTGCAAACGGGAGTAGGGAAGCAATAGGAGGTGAAAGAAAGATGAGTGGGAGGAAGGGAAATAGAGAGGTGGAGGAAGGGAGAGGAAGGGAAGAGGAGGAGGAAGGAAGAGGAGCAAAGAGGAGGGGAGGGGAGGGGAGAGGAAGGGGGAGAGGAAGGGAAACAACTCCAAATAGTATGTGCGTAGGTACGTATGTTTGTATGCGGTCATAGACCTGCTGCGTAGGTGGGTATGATACGTATGATATGTGCATGTTTGCAGTTACAGACGAATTTACAGAGGAAGCTCGGGCAGGCATTTGTAGCGTCCACGCAACATCTGCGATGGCAGCTAAGATAGAGCGCAATTGGAGCAGTCGAAGTTGAGGAAGCAGCAATTGCCACATGGGCTGGAGGAAGCATGCGTGCCAGACCGTGGCAGCAAACAGAGACGCGAACATAGAAACAACTTACGAGTTAAGAAGTGTAGCGAACGTCTTGACGACTTTCGTAGACCACACTCGTTGAGTGATGGTCTCGTGGAGTTATTAGGTTTGGATAAGGCTGTGTGCGAGAAAATGTCTGAGGTTGTGAGTGCGAGTGCGAGTGCGAGTGCGAGTGTGTGAGGGATAGGTTCAGGTTAACGAGGGTTGTAATCGATGGCGGGGTACGCTTCTTAAGTAGACCTACAGAGGTGGGGGGGCAATCCCCCCACCAAAACAACTAATCCACAACCTAACTAACTGCAGCAATTTCTGCGCTGCACCGCTGAGAATACCACCGCCGTCCGTGAGCTATCGTTTGCGGCCTACTCTACTTCGTACTTCCTTCCAAGGGATAAAGGGCACCGTGCCCCAATACAATCCCTAACCCAGCACACGAGAGATTTGGAGAACCTTCCATCCGACAGCGAGTCTGAGCTGTCATTCGGATAGACATCCAATTCAGCAGTTGCTTGCGCTAGTCTACTGCAAGAAGATTTACTTCCATAGTCAGGCAGTAGTACAAGTAGAGCACAAATGGACACATTTCACTACGAGCTTTTCGAACGGCGCTAGGCTCGAAGAAATATAAGCCGGGGTCAATCAAACCAATGGGATTGCGTGAATATCCTTCGATGTCGCGATGGACAGAACACTAGGATGGCTTCAGGGTGCAGCCTCGGCATGCCGGTAGGGACCCCGACAGAAGGTGGACATGCATTTCAAGCCGCTTGGCTGATTTTTGCCAACGAACCACACAATAAATTGGTAATCCGGATTCATCTGTGCTACAGAGGATTCCCCTGTAAATATTAGAATTATGAATAATGCCCGTAATGCGAGTAGATGGCTGCATTTGATGTCGCTCCATAGAAAAATGGTGATTTTTCGAATACACTTTGGGTTGAAATACCGGAATGGTTACCCAAATTTGCAATCACTCCATTCGTGCGATTCTCAAAGCCTGGTACGATAATATGATAGGAGCTCAGAGATTTGTGGAAATACTCGTGCCGGGAAGACTTTGACTCGAGTATCAGGGTCCAACTTAGCTGAGCCCAATGGCGGTATGATAGGGCGGAACCCACTACAGTATTTTTTTTTCCCCCCATTTCTGTTTCAATTCCCTCCGGTTCACAGTAAACACGGAAAGACAAAATGCCGTACGAGTACAAGTACAGGAGTATTGGCAGGGGTTCCCACGGGGTTTCTCCAATCACGGGTGGTTCATCGCATCGCGCAATATATCGGAAGCTCATCGAGCTCCCGAAATTTTTATCCTCACCCAATATCTGTAAGGCGTTGTTACTGAGTGACTTGCATACGACACAGACATGACCCCAGGGTCTCCCACAGACCCTGCCCGACAGATGGGGCGCTTCTCCATTTCACTCTTTAGAATTTCTTACACAATTTCAGTACGACACTCAGGAATTCTAGAGTACCGGTACCGTAATAGCATTCCCCCCCTTTCTGCTTCTGTTAAAGTGTATCTAATCGGCTCTCTTGCTGTCATAGCCACTGTAGAGGCCCATAGAAAGGCAAACAGGTGCCAACTCTTCGCCCATCTGTGAGCGTACAGTACAACGCTGGTCTAGAACCGCACCACATACAGAGTCTTTTCGCCAAGCTCTGAAAGAATAATGCCAGAAGCGATACGGGGGAAGTGTGTAAGCCCCTGACCACAGAGTGGCTTGCATACAAATACAGAATCCGTCTAGGTTGCAAACTTCAAGTTAGTCTCTGATAATTTACTGGTAGTTGACTGTCTTCCCAATCGAAGTAGGGGGTTAGTCTGCACACTTCCTCCCCACGGCTTCTGACACCATATCATTTTTTACGATAGGTTATCGTTCGAGGTGAAACGCAATACTGGTATCGGCACTGTACCAACATCATAAACTGCACTAAGAATCTATTGGTAAGTATCATACGATAGCTGTCCTGCCTGTTCCCCGATCGCTCACAGCAGCCATTGTGTATCATATGAAGATGAAGACCTCCCTCACCGGGCCAGATGCGGTGCCCACTAATTATGCATACATACTGGTATACAGCATATCGGCCATTCAGCAAAGTGTCCACTCCCATTGTACTAGTACAGCCCTTCCGCGGATACCCTATTCATGCACACTTCATTTTCGCTTAAAGCGCTACAATATCCAATTATACCGATTACCCAAATACATGAACCCACTCTAATATGAAAGGAACGAGCGACCACAAGTATGAATAGCGCTATAGGCACAGCGGTGAAGTAGTATTTGCTGAGAGACCTTGTACTAGAAATTGCAAAGGGTGATATCACTCAACTCTTCCAACCACCATGCCAATGCTGTAAATTTCGACGTTGCAATCCACGAATCAAACGCAACAGATCATCAATTGAACCTTCACCGTGATTTCGCACCTCGCAAACTAGTCCACCGGTGACTGCCCTATCGATCGACTAGAAAACAAACCCACCACTACTCGAGCGCTTCTTATACTTGCCCCCTTTGGGGTGTGAGAAGTCCACCCAACCGAGAGGGGGGCGGTACCGGTACTTGCTTTTCGCATATCTTGGTCGCCGGACGCATGGGACAAGCCCCCTAAAAGGCCGGCGGCCGTTGCTATTGGCGTCGCCCTGATTGCTTCGCTCTCTCATGCCAAAGGATGGAAGTGAAGGGATGGATACAAAGTACCGGTACGGTATTGGATTGGGGATGGGCTACCGGTACCGTAGCGGGGGAGGAAAGGAACAGAAAAGTTGAACAGACTACTCGTACCGTAGAGTTTTTGTTTTTTCTCCCTTCCTCTCCGACAGCCCCCTTGGTAATTATGGAGAAAGAAATAAGAAATTTAACTTTTTATTTGATTTTTCCTCACGTGAGAGTTAAGCATAACTAATAAGAATGGTAGTAAAGAGAAGAAGAGAGTGCGGTACCGGTACTGTATGAGTACCGCACTTGTATCACTGCAAGATAATCCTAAACTTGATGGGGAGGCGGGAAAAGGGTTTGTTGCTCTTTTCACTTGTTTCTCTCACCCCGGCCGCCTCCACCGTCCTCCCCTTTGGGTTTCACATTGGTCGGAGAGCAACCCAAATTTATATCATCTCTGTCGCTAAAGCTCTTGGGTTGCGCAAAAAATAGGCAAGGAGCCATTTCTCAGTCCGATACCCCCGTTTGGGAACGACGAGCTGGGTCAGGGTGAGGTGAGCTGCCAGAAGAAACCAAATTTTTGCCCTTTCCCCATTGTATGCAGCCAGATAGGTCCCGTGCATACAAACCCCCCCCCCCCCCCCACCACCACCTTGCCTCAGTTGTGTAATCGTTATTTTATGCTTTTTGGCGCTCGTCTTTGGAGAGCCTGTCATCCATCACTGTTCCTTATTTCGATCTTTAGAACCTTCTCCGACGCACCTCCAGCAAACACGAGAACATTAGATCAAAGCTGGGTCTAGCGCTGAAACAAGTAACTGACCTTGCTCCATTCTCAACTTCCCCTCAACCTTGATCTACTACTTGAGTATACTTCCCACTCGAAGAGAGAACATTCCTGGATGATAGGCCTTCGAATACTGGAATATTCTTGAACCCAGATAGATACGGCGCACGTCCTAGGCGCATCTTCTCAACCATACAGTCTTGAAAGGCTGTCACACGCTCGTTACATTTTTTTACTACAACAATACCGCAGTACGCCGACAAGCAAGCCCGTACTACAAGACGCTGGATGTCTCTTTCGAGCACAAAGTCTCTCCAATCTATTTATCACTTTACGAATTTCTAATATCCTCTTTGAGGAAAGAATCTACTATTACTACCATTCTTACCACCACTCTGATCACTACAATCGTCACAACGCAACATATCAGCTATTTTGAGTTTAACAGGTCGCAAGAGAAAAATAACAATGGCCGGAACTAGAGAGAGCCTTTTCTCTACCATAAAGTGTTCGTTATGCAATTCGGATGTCGAGATTTCCTCAATGGGGGATCATGTGTGTACGTCCCCAGCAGAAGGTAAGGAAACTGAGCCAACAAAAGTGTGAAGAGGGTTTATACTCATATTTTTTATCTGATTTTCATGAAGTCTCTGGGTGTGCTAATGGTTAATGCTTTGCAGAATCGAATTTTCACGATTTCCCTTTACTCAAGCCAAAGCCAGCGAAAGGTTCACAGACGCAGAAGCCAATGGGCCACATAAAAATCGATCCTTTTGCAGCAAGTATGTATCCAACCACTACACCAAGCCACCATCCCCAACGGAACATCTGTATGTTCTAACAGATACATGAATAACACAGACAGACCTTACCGCGGCCAACTCACTCCAACAAGTAGCTCCCCCGGGTCCCGAGAACACTCACCGGCCACACCGCAAGACGGCCAGCCACTCCGAACACCGCTTAACAATGGCTCACTCTCACCGAATCCACAATTCCGGGATCACCATCAGCCCAGGAAGGATTCTTCGTCATCAAGCTATAATATAGAATCACCTTTTACTCTTTTTAACCCGGCAAACGTTTCCCCGGTGAGCCCGCGTACACCGACGGGTGCCGCAGCAACTACTCGTACTGGTAGTTTTTACCTTAACAGTGACTTGTATGCCCCGGTTTCCCCACTGTCGGATGGTAGCAGGACCGTGGCGGCGCGGATGAACAACATCGCACCTGGCCCGTTCGGGGTAAGTTCTAGTAACTCTAGCAGGGAGCGGACATCTGAGATGGTGGTACCATCTGCTAGGAATCCTCTAGAGCAAGGGCCGGCTAAGGCGCCGAAGGGTGGGGACTCAGAAACGCTGCCTGTTGCGGCTTCGTTTCCAAATAAGGGGGAAGGGAGGGTCAGGTCTTCTACCAGCGGACACTCCGCGGACTCGCGGACAATGGGAAGGAGTCGAGAGGCTGGAAGGGAATCACGGGAGAATGGGAGGGAGAGGGAACAAAGGTCAACTTCTAGTGCTGAACAACTAGCTAGGCTTCCATCACCACACAGAAGATCACAGTCGCCGGGAGGGGCGGAGGCGAGGATGCGTAGAAAGGAGCGGAGTCTTCCCCCAGTTCCTTCACTCTCCCGCGGCACGACAAGGAGAAATGGAGAGGAATCGCCACTGGACCCAGTATCTCCGTACACCCATCGTGCTATGAAGTCAGAAGTTGCACCCTCAATTCCAAAAATGGATGCTTTGAGACTAGACACACGATCGCACACGTTTGCCACCAAGAGCGATTCTAAGTCACCCGGTGGCAGACAGCCCCCGCATCCTGGATTGGGATTGCCCAGGTCTCCGTCTGTAACGGTGAAGAACCATATCCATAGACGGAACAAGTCTTCGGCAAATCTGGCTAAAGGACTCCCGCCTCCGCCAGAAGACAACTTACCACCTGCATTACCAACAAAAGATCAAGCAGTCCGACGGCGACCCTCTGTTGGAGCCAACACAATGTCATCTGGTAGATTGGATAGACGATCTGGCTCTAAACCCCCGACACTAAACCGACTATCTCCACCAAGAGCAGACGAATACACCCACTACTCGTTAGGAAATCCCTATGACCTGGAAGCCCCGGTAGAGCAATCCACATCCCACATCCCAAGCCCCTCCATGTCAAGCAATACCTCTTCCGTCTTCTCCCACAATTCCAAGAGCTCCCGCAGTTCTATGTCCAGTCCCCCAATCCCTGAGACCTCCCAAGTCCCTAAACTCCCCCCCAAACCTTCTCGAGGGAGCCGTTGCCGGTCAAAGGACAGCAATGGGCTGAGCGACATCGATGGCTTAATGAAAGAACTCCAAAGTTCAATGCAAGAACTCCAACCTAGCGCCGTGCCGCCAAAGCACCCAGTTGAAGGCCGACCTCGAGATAAACCTCGAGTCTCGGCCCACGAGCGAGCAGCGCCCCCACCATTGAAGTCCCACCAACACCAACCTTCGTCATCAAAATCCCCAATCGACTACGAAAAACCCCTCCCAAACTTAACAGAACCCTTCCTCGCCCCCGACCTACCGCAAGCCTTGCCGCCGCCGCCCCCAAAAGATAAAAGCCCACGGGCTCCTCCGTCCGCACCACCCCAACCACCGCCGAGGACCCAACCACCCGTAAACGAGCCCCTACCGGTGCCCAGAAGGCGGCGAACAACCGCATCGAAAGGCAACTGCAGAGGCTGTGGCGAAGCTATAGTCGGAAAATCCATCTCCTCCGCCGATGGGCGACTAACCGGTCGGTACCACAAAGCTTGCTTCGTCTGCCGGGACTGCCACGAACCGTTCCAGTCCGCCGAATTCTACGTGTTGAATAACTCACCATATTGCCATCGACACTACCACAAGCTGAACCATTCACTGTGCCCGTCCTGCGATAGAGGGATCGAGGGGCCGTGTTTGGAGACGGAGATGAACGAGAGATTTCACCCGAATTGTTTCAGATGTTATGTAAGTTTTCCCCATTTCGAGTGTGATGCATGAATATTTGTGGGTGGGAAAATGTGGACTAATCTTGTATAGGATTGCCGATGCGAACTCAGCGGCGATTACTTCGACTTCAATGGACGACCCTACTGCGAACGACATGCCTTCCGGATGGTACGGGGGACGCAGAATGGGAACGGGAACCTGGGGGCGAGCAGGAGTCCGGCGGACATGGGGAGGAGGAAGACAAAGTTGATGTTTATGTGAATTCGTTCAACTCAATCCATACATACATACATACATACATACATACATACATAACGGTTACCGCAAACCCGGAAAGAAAGCAAGAAAGAAAGAAAGTACAGGCCGAGCGGGGATGTATGAATGAAGTAAAGCGAAGCACAATATCCCTTCGCTTCCTCTTTTCCATCACAACATTAAACACATTACCACTCTTTAATCCCCACTTTCATCATCACAAATAACTTTATACTCGAGTACCATTTCTCAATTTCCTTTGTAACTAGGGCAGGCAGGGCAGGCAGGCATCAACACGGTGTCACACGGTAGTAACTTTATCCTTCACTTTTCATTCTCATTTCCAAAAGGGCACGGTGAACACGGAACGGAGCAAACAATGTTTTTCCCCATCCTATTCCTCCTTTCTCACCCATTTCATTTCATTTCCATCTCGTATCCCCATTTTCTCATTTCCCCTCCCCTCCTTGGCATGGTCCGCATTTCCTTCTCGCTCGTTCTATCACACCATGTACTGTACATACAATCATCATCCAAGCAGTGCTGCGACAGTACCGTAATCAATAGAACCCCGCCCCCTCCATCCATCCATCCACCACCACCCACCACCATTGCGCCACAAGCACAATGCAACCCCTGCCATAAATTAAATCCCAGACCCTGCCCTCAGCCCTGCCACTTCCAGTTTCCAGCAACTTACAGTATGAGACGTCATAAGTAAGATGTTCCTGCATGCAAAACGGCGTTTCAGGAGGCGCCCCAGCCAGAGGCCCTGCACCGGAGTCCGGTGCTCGAGGATGACAGATAATTTAAGCTTTAGGCTGACATAACGCGCGGATAACATCTTGGCCCCGGTCTTGTCTTATCGGGGTCTTGCTATTACCGTAGACTTACAAGTACCGGTATGTATTCTCTGCTGTTCGTCGTATGATACCGGTACTGTACTGTACCATATTAGCCGGTGAGAGGCGTGGCCCGGATAGTCCGGTAGTCTACGCGGGCAGACGTGCGAGAATTCCCGCGGCGGCAAAAGTATTATACTGTACTGTACAGTACTGTAACGTGCGCATGTCCTAAAGAGCTCTGCACAATAGGCGCTCGGGACGGGAGATGGAGATAGAATCTTGTGCTACTGAGGAAGTGTTCCCTAGATACCCTATCCCAGTGAGAGGAGAGAGAGACTGGTGGCGCAGCACTGTACTGTAACGTACCACTGGGATATATATACCCGGTTCCTGAAGAGTCCTTGCGAACAGTTGGGAGATTTTGTGGTACTATACAGCGTAGTACGAGCTGGGCCACAATTTCATCCGCGCAGTTCTTCTACGGTAGGTCCGGTGGTGAGTAAGCACAGTCATATATGGAGTACCGGTACAAGTACGAGCACTGTGGAACTTATACTTGGCCCGACGGCGTTCTTTGGTGAGAATTAGCCCGGACCGGATACTGATGGCATGATAATCCTGGTTGGTAGGATCTTGTACTGTATGATAGCATTGAGGGAGACGCAGATATGGGGGAGCACTACCGTAGGGCATGAACGGACGTATTTGAGTATGACACCATAGCAATCTTCAATAGACAAAGCGCTCCTCTGGACTACACCTCCATACCGTCATCACAGCTGAACGATCATTTCACCTCCCTCCATCAGATACGGACGAACGTCCAACCACAGAGAACGACAAAGAGTCAGAGTCGTGGGAAGAAAGGAAATGTAGAAGGACCACTAGACTACCGTACTCTTCCCGATAATTATCCTCTCATTCATGGTGGGTCCCAGGGCCCCTTTTTATATACAACTAATCCACAAAACATCCCAAGTATTCCATGATAATATTACTATACGAATAAGCAACACGACAAGATTACGAAAAAAACTCCATCACTTATGATACCGGTATCAACGAACCCCAAGCAAAACTGACCTAACCATTCGGAAATTGGCTTCGGAAATTGGCTCCGCGTTGACTTCCCCATACGAGTAGATATTCCAGAAACCGGTGCTCGCGGAAATCGCGATAAAAAAGTGTCCAAGACATAAATTACAAAAGCGCGACTACCGGTAGGGGTTTTTTTTTTTTCACGTGCTAGTATAACAAGGCATAGTATGATAATATTGCCAAGGCCATAGAGAAGAAAAAAGGCCCGTGGTGATTCCCGAGACCGGCATTCCAGTTTCAGATACTATAGCTCTCCGAATCCCGAACCTGAGACCGTGTCCGAAGTCTTGGTAAAGAGGGGGCATATACGGTATCACGCTCGAGTATTTTCTGCATGATACCCCGTGCCTCCTTCGGGACAGTATGTATCGTACCTAAAACCGCAGCAAGCGTTTCACGCCTTCATACCAAGTTACGGCATGATACTCGTGTTAAGCCGACCCCGCTTTTTTCTCTCTTTCCCTTTCCCAGAAAAACTTATCATCTCCTGCCACCGCAAGTCCTCCCTATCCATGATGTCATATGTTTTCCTGCTGTGAACCCTCCATATCTCGAGTATTTGGCCGTGATGCTGCTCTGCTGAGTGCTGTGGTTATGGCTTGGACTGTATCACACACAGCATCACCCCTTGACTCTGAAAATGCTATGCATATGATATTACATCGCTGATTCCAATAAGCCAGTGCAGGAGGGAAAACATCCACAATAACGCATAGTGGCAGAAAGCACTTGACAGGTGATCAGGGCGAGAGGAAGGGAGGAGGAGGGGGGGTGAGTGGGAGTGTCAGCAACGTCACAACCTATCACCCACCCACCTACAAACAGACAAACAAACAAAAAACAGAAGTACGTGAGCGAGTGACAAGAAAACGACAAAAACGCTCAATTGTAGTACAGTATGATACTACAATGCAAATCGACAGCTATCGTAAATCGCATGCCATGAAGACCAGAGAACTTAAGAGCAAAAGCTCGGAATCAGCGAAACTCCACCACTTTCAAGTTTTTCAACAATGCTTCCCCACCGACGCGCGCGAAAGATGCCGGACAGCCAACTAACTGAAGCCGCGGTTCCAGGAGCGGGGTGGAGGGGGACACTGTTTATGTCTGTTTGCCCAAAGACACACGGCAAGAACCCCAAATCTGGAATCGCAAAGGCTCGAGCTGGAACCATTTAAGTATCAGCCATATCGTAAACCAGAAGGCTGCTCTTCACCTACCGCGCACCCCATCACATATGATACTAGCAACACACCGCTTCACCAATCCTCACTCGAATACATGACAAGATCCTTACGGGTCGCGAGATTATCGCAGAAGGACAGCAAACAAACAGCCCCAAATGACAAATGTATAATCGCAAGTCGTAATACAGAATAGGACACATCTCGATGGAAAAGAGAGAAAAAAACAAGCCACCACCACCCCCCCCCCAAGTTCTGACAACTTGCAAAATGTGTACTAGGGTATGATATAAAGGTCAGTGACCAGACGGACATGGGTGAGAATGGCCGAAGACATATTTCTAGATTGCTGTGCTGCTGCACATATGTCTTCGGCCAATAGATAACCTCTTGTCCATCCCATCACTAACCTCCCCGTACCCATAGTACCCCACCCACTCCACACCGCCAGTGACGCCTGCTCTCCAAAGCCCAGAGCAGGTATGTAGGGTTAGTGCTTGAGGACTAGGGCACACACACAGCGAAGTAGCATAGTGTAGATAGAGAGGTCCGAACAATGGAGCAACCGCATCAAACCCACACATCAAGGTAGGTATGATATGTGATAGGTAGGTAGGTAGGTAGGTAAGGTTCGAATGCCATACTAGAATTCATTCAAACACGTCCACCACGAAACGTCCGTGCGGTCGACACGCTCAAAGGACTGTGGACGGGATACCGGTATTCCCGCTGAGTCCCGCGTCCGGGGAGTGTCTCCAGGAGCAAAACCGGGGTTTGTCGGTCGGCCATATAATTATCGGTAAAGGTCTCATCTCCCATTAATGTTTGCAAAAATCCCCTCAAATACCACAGTACCCTCAAATGCCACGGGAATATATTATGTAAGTTTTTTTAATTAATTTTTAAAATTTTAATGTAAAGAAAATTTTTATATTGTATATAATTCAGAGAACAAAAAATGTAAGTACAGAATTGAGAATTAAATTAGCAAGAAGAAATTTACTAGCCATGTGAGCGGCGACAAGTAACTGAATTGTGTCCAATTCCCCCACATGTTGAGCATTTTTGTCTAGGACGTACAGGCTTATCCGGTAAAATACCTAATTGATTGGCAATCAGTTGTCTTTGCTGAACTTCACCAACTCGAATGCGCTCTTTTCTGGGTCTTCCACGGGACTTCCGAGTAATAGGCGGCTCCACATGTGGAGCAATAGGAATGATTCCCACGTGGAGTACAGCTGGTATTCCATTTCCTTCATTATTGGTAATATCGACAGGAAGGAAGTTGTCCTCGTAAATCAATTTCCAGGTAGCGATGGAAAAGCTATTAGGAAGGTAGTTTTGGACAGGCTACCATGATGTCAGTGATAACAAGATAAAGTATGAAAGTGCAAGACAAACCTGGTCGATAGTCAAGATACAAGTTAAAGCATGTCCACACGGAATGCCATTCTCCTGATAGTTAGAACAAGAGCAAGTCTCATGGTCAAGGTCCACAAGTTTCACAGCTCCATTTGGCTGGATAACATGTCCATGACATTCATCTACCATCAGAGCAATATTTTGTCTTGCCCACACCCTGCTTTGACCTAACAGTTGAGTACAAAATTTAGTATACAATATGGTAGGACTAGTCGCAGTGGCCTCTCTATATCGTTCCAAGTGTTGGCCCATAAGCTTATACCAAATTGCATTTAGTAACTCTACAATAGATAGCTCACAATCAAGCTTCAGAGTACTGGTAACTAACTCAACAATATTGAAAGTATCGTGGCCATACCGCTTCCCCGAAAAGAAAGCCTTTACCCAAAGTGTTGGATCAGCATTGCGCAAGTACTGCTTAGCCGTCGGCTTGACTTCCTGGACCTTCACCATTGCTGCTTCAAATAATTCAATACTTGGTGCCCTTGCAACCGCCTAAAAGAGGTTGGATAAGTCTCTTCTATAGGCAGTTACAAGGTTCTCCTTGAGGTGCTGGCAGCAATAAGCTCGGATAATGGTAGCTGGCAGGTTCTCGGAGGCCCTCACCAAACCTTTATCATGGTCGCTCATGAGTGTCACTTCCTCACTACTCATTTCTGGAATTGCCTGTAGGAGATTTGACAGAAAATACTCCCAAGAGGAAGCATTCTCACTTTCCACAATCGACCAAGCAAGCAATAATGTCTTTCCATTTGCATCAACTGTTACAGCAACTAGGAGAGTTTGCACAAACTTCATTTTTAAGAAGGTTCCATCTACAGCAATAAAGCAACGGCACAAGCGAAAAGAGTTCTGAGACTGGGAAGGACATATAAAGATTCTCCAAAATCGATGAGTGGCGTCCTCTGATGATAGGCGGATATATGTATTTGGATTTGCTTGTAAGACAGAGTTAACATATTGAGAAAGCTGACGGAATCCCTCTCGTTGACCTTCGAGTGTATCATCTAGTAGATGACTCTTTAATCTAGATGCTACTTTGTATAACAAGATCTCTCCAAACTGAATACGCAAACATTCGATAATTTCCCTAGGCTTAGTGGCTTGTGTAACATTTATATATCTAGGTATATGGCATTGCAGCCAGGCTTGGGTACCAGATACACAAGTTCTTTTTTCACGATTGCCTGAAAGACATATATGCTCAGTCACTAGAACGCCAATTTTAACATCCTCTTGGTTTGTATAGTGTGCTCTCACTCACCACTGGCAGCCTTCAGTAGCACAAACATAGATAGCTCTTGTACTATCACGATTAAGAACTCTAAAGCTGAACTTTTCTTTAACTGACCAATCCTCAATGGTTTCTCATACTTTGGTAAAGTTGGGAAAATGTTGTCCCAGTGCCAGTGCACCAGGGAGTTGAGAGAGTGCAGACATAATAGATAAGACTCCAAGTCTCAGAAATGGAACTAAAGAAAGACCAGTCAACGAGAGTGGAGACCGAGAAGCCAGAGAGCCAGAAGCCAGAGAGCCAGAAGCTAGAGAGCAAGGAGCTAGAGAGCAAGGAGCCAGAGAGAGAGGAGTCGGAGCACGAGGAGTCGGAGAGCTAGGAGCTGGAGTACGAGGAGTCAAAGAGCTAGGAGCTGGAGCGTGAGGAGTCGGAGAGCTAGGAGCTGGAGTGCGAGGAGCTGGAGAGTGAAGAGCTGGAGAGCTAAGATATGCAGAGAGAATGAAGCAGAGAGCCAAAGGCTAGAAAGAGCGGAGAGTCCAAGGACAGGAAGAGCGAAAAACAAAATGCCTGAACAAGCCAGGAAAAGCCAAGAGAGACACAAAAAGAGGAAAGTCCACAGAGCAGATAGCCGAAGGAGATGTCCAGAGAGGGAAGCTCTGAGAGGGAATACCAAAGGCCGGAGACCAAAGACCAGAGAGAGAAAAGACTAGTGAGCGAGGAGAGCAGAGCAAAAACTCAAGGTAGGAGAGCCAGAGCCAGAAGGGAAGAGCTAGGAGCAGAGAGAGACGGGCAAAGAGAGGCGAGCAAAGAGAGGCTAGCGATGAGCGGAGAGTGAAGCCTGAAGAGGAACGGACAGAGTACAGGACAAAGACCAGGAAGAGCAAAGAGTCTCAGGAGAGGAAGAGGAAAGAGCAAAACGCCAGAACAACCAGAGAAGAGCTAAAGGAAAAGCGAAAAAAGCGAAGATCGTGGAGCTGAGAGCAGAGGAAGACCTCCAGAGAGGAAGTACTAGCGAGCAAATACTGGAGGTGAGAGAGTGAGGAGCAAAGAGGGAAGACTGGCGAACGAAGACTGGACAGCAAGAAGAGGAGAGCAAAGGAACGAGAGCGACAAGAGGAGACCCAAGAGCGCAGAGCAGAGGGTAGAGCACGGCACCCAAGACCAGGAAGATCATAGCACCCAAAGCCAGCAAAACTGAATACTAAAAGACCAGAAAAAGCCGAAAGCCAAGGGCGGAGCGAAGACTGAGCAGCAAAAAACCAGATGGATCAGAGAGAGAGATGCAGCAGTAGGAGCAAGAGTGGGGAATAAGGGCGGATGTAGATTGGCTGAAAAGATGAAGTAGCGGAAGGGGAGGAAGTTTGTAGGGAAAAACTAAGTTGAGTGGGAGAAAAAAAAAATGGTGAAGTAGAAAATATTTCTTCTCATATTCTTCCAATTCCCTATTACAACTGCCAAGACTATGTAAATAATTTATAACCAGAAACCTAATTTGTATTTTATTTACATAGTAGAACTTACATAATATATTCCTGTGGTATTTGAGGGTACCATGGCATTTGAGGGGATTTTTGCAAACATTAATGGGAGATGAGACCTTTACCGTATAATTATTGTCGTAGCCTCCCCACCAAACTTGACACGGGGAATTTGGAAGAAAAAAGGAAAGTTCCTATTATTATATGCTGGCCCTGGACTCATTCATTGTGATCACTCAGTCACTAACTAAAACATCTCCCCCCCCAGAGTGACGAACACGTTCACGGACCATCACTCGATATCAACCCTCTTTGATCAAACCTGGGAGACCGACAATGACAAGGATCCATCGCGGCAGCCTTCACAAGATTCACGTCACATACCAGTAGCACAAGAAAGCGCGAATACCCGGGTGGGTTTCCCCACTACCGTATTCATAGTCTCCACCAATCCAGGGTACCAAGGATCCTCACTCACCCGGCAGTCACATGCAAAGTATGCAAATACCTCAATTCTCAATTCACAAAACACTCCAATACAAAATACCGCGTACCGCGTGCTCGCACAAACAGGAGATCCACCGTAAGCCGGGCTTGGCAATATATTCCTTTCTTCCTCCTGCGATACCAAAACAACTCATCGAGAAACTTGATTAAAGCAATGCAAGAGACCTTAAAAAAAGGTACGATACCAAACGGTAATAGATACGGTTTATATGTATATAACTTAAGAGAACCAATGGGGAAGCATAGAGCAAGGAGAGAGAGAAAGAAAGCAAACACCGAAAAAGAGGAAAAAAAGGAAAGGGAACTAATGACATACAAGTAGCATAACAAAGCATGAATGCCTTTCGATTTTGTAATCTGAAAAAAATAAAAATAGAGACAGAGACAAAGACATGGGACAAAAAAGTAGCCAGCCGCTAGCCATCTATCCATCTGCCCTCATGGTAAAAAGAAAAACCAAACATTCCTCACCACTAACTTATCATTAAAGAAGCCAATACCCCACGCAATATGAAGGCAAAAGGTTATGATATACCAATGCGACTCCCCGAACACCTTCAGATATATTGAGAGTAAGGGGTTGGGTGCCTGGTCACAGTGTACATGACACTCATTATCGTCCGTAAGTTCTAGGATCTACCCAGATATTGCATATAGAATCATGACAGTGGGTTCTTTCCTTTCTTTCTTTCTTCCTCTATACTCGCTTTCTTTCCCTCTCTCTAACAAGCGCACCCACTCTGTTCGTTGTCGAGGTGGATGTTGATTGGGTCTTGGAAGTCTCCGGTAAAGTCGTCGGATTCTTCCTGTTGTAGGGCGTTTCGGGCAATTACTAGGTATTGCGAGTCAGAAAACCCCCAGGTGAAACTTTGGCTTTTAGGAGCTGTTACCTTCAAATGCTTGCTCAACATTTATAGCCTCCTTTGCAGAGGTCTCAAAGTAGGGGATACCTCCTTTGGATGTACAGAAAGCCATAGCCCGCCTTTGGGAAATCTACAGAGGGTTAGCCAAACTAGGTGTCGGAACAGGGCGAATAATAGACTGGATACGGGGAACAAACCATTCTCTTGCTCTCCTCTACATCAATCTTGTTTCCTAGAACAACCTATAATTGTACGTCAACATCCGGTGGCTGCCGAGCGCCAATGGTAAGGTAGGGGGGCGGGTGACTCACAAAAGGAAACGAATCTGGATCTCTGGGAGAAGCTTGTATCAAAAACTCGTCTCGCCAGGAGTCGAGAGTATCGAAGGATTTCGAGTTATTGACATCATAGACAAGAACGCAACAATCGGCACCACGGTAGAAAGCGACACCAAGAGATTGAAATCTTTCCTGGCCAGCGGTATCCCACAACTATTGCCACAAAAACATGGGTTAGCGCATGTCCCAAAATCAAGGCAATGGCCCTCGAGCGCTCAGTAATACGACTTCCATACCTGCATAGTCACAAGCCTATCGTCAACAAGCACTTCCTTTGTCAAGAAATCAGCGCCAATAGTTGCTTTGTAGCTCGCACTGAACTTCTTGTTTACCTATTCACCCGACTTGTGTCAGCATCACAACTCTTCTAGGAATTTAGATATTTAGATCCTCGTGATATGGACGACAAAGGGCGCATTGCGCATATGAGGGCGGGGGGCATTGTACATATTGGTTCATCAAAGACGTCTTTCCAACTCCACTATCACCAAGGATAATAACCTGAAAATTAGATTGTCAGTTACCGCAGGAGATAACTCATCCTAGAGAGTAGAATACCTTCAAAAGAATCTTCTTCTTTGTGGCCATGGTTAATTTCGGTGGTGGTTACGAAGCGAGTACAGGTAGCTGTCTAGTCTGGGGAGCGGATGACGTGACGTTTGACAGGCAGCTGTTCAAGCGGGATGAAGGTAAGCGACGTCGATAGAAGTAAACTGAGGCTCGACGATAGTAATCTCAACTGAATAGCGATGTCGATTAGTGGTTGCGGGTATGTAAGGTTCTTGGGGATGGATCGTCGAAGGCTGCGGAGGTTTGGGGGGTTGGGGTTGTCGCCACGAGAGCAGGTTCGGAAGAGAGAGGGCGCGAGGTACGAGCCGCATCGGGCTATAAGTTATGACTTTGGAATCAAATGACCACCAGTTATGGGTATGTAAGCGTCATCCACTAGACCTCCATAGTACCGGTATCCGCAACAGTCGATTCTTTTATTATAAACCCAAAGCCAGAGAAAGAATCATCCTGTGTAGGATTCATAGGAGACAGAGTTGTTGCCCAAAAGACATTTCGCGTTGTATTCCCAAGTGTGCAGAGTCCATTTTAAGAACCGCTGACGGGAGAAGTCAAGCAACGTGAACAACAAACTGCCCCCAACGCGTCCCCCAGTGATTCCGCATCACCAGAATAAGGATCGCCATCAACCGCCTCAAGCAAAATCCGCAAAGGGATATCCGCGACACTGTCGTTCACACTAGGTTCTAAGATAGAATACATCTCCATAAAACCATTTCAATAAAATATGGCCGCCGGGAACTCAATCTACGATATAAAGAAGGGATTTCTTTCATCCCAACTACGGATTCTGGGTGGCACCCTCAACCCGAAGGCAGGTTGGCAAGACAGGGTGCCAGAAGGAGAGCACGGAGACCTTTCTGAGGGGGTTTTGAATCAAGTTCTATACAAGCGTAGGTTGCCCTGCTTACCCCTGGAGTCCCCCCTGTCGCAGAATTCATGAGAATTTGAATACTGGCTAATGAGACCTTCAGTGAATGTCGTCGCTAAGAGGCATCAGAAACTTGTCTACAGTTCGCAGGCTTTGAGGCATGTTGCTGAACAGATCGATGATTTGTATCAGAAAAAAGACGACAATGTGGAGGGTATCACACAAGAAGACGATGTCCTAAGGCGGGGAGCGAATCTTAAAGATCCTCAGTAAGTTCCTTACCCCGTCCATAAAATCTATACTCATATAGTATCGCTAATCCACCCCACAGAAATATCGATCTTCTTCCAGAAAGCTACCCGGCAGAGGAAAAAGACAGTGAAGAGGATTTGGAAGAGTATGCATGCCAAAGCCCGGAATTCACATCAGAACGTAGCTAACCAAGACAAGATATCAAATCCTAAAGGCAAAGCTAGCCAATCACTCAGCTGCGCTTCAAGCCCAGCGTCAGAGGCATGCGTATTACTCTCAGCTAAAGTCCTTGATAGCTCCTTTTGCAGACCCCCAGCAGTCGGTGCAGCCAAATCTTGTTACCAAGGATGGTCCGTTAGCAACAGAGTTGGAGCGAACCCGACTTCTCGCTGCGAAGTTGGCATATCAGATCGAGAAGTCTAAATTTCCAGACACAGACCGAATGGATGAGGACGAAGATGATGAAATTGAGGAAAGTGTGGAGGATCAGTTAAGGAAGATACTTGAACAAGCAAACTAATTTGTCGGACATTCATCTTCATTAGCACCGCCAGCAACTCTGTCATCACTAATACCCGTTTTCGTTCTTAATTTATGTATCATTTTTCCTCTTCTGTCATAATCCGTACGTGTAAGGAGTTTAGGTTTTCTTTCCCGGTGGCGTCAAATATAACCATACGGTAATGGTAGATTCGTTTATTCACAATGGCCAGTTAAAGGGCCTAAGGGAGACTCATGTGCGCATACCACCACTATGATACATTACTCAAATTTTTTTGCCACCTCGGCACCAATAGCGCTCAGAGGTTGACACTTCTCAACGTGCGGGGAGTGGTACTGAAATAAGTAACTGCACAACTTTTAGACTCAGGCTTCGCTAACACGATGGGTACAACAGGTGTTGAGCAGCCTACTGGCCGAACCGGAAAGTGTGAATTGTCCCCAAACCCAGGTGGGCTCCCGATTACCACCAAAAGCCCGAATTTGTGCTCCGTTCTTGCTCTGCCCTCTCTAATTACCGCAGAATAAGCCTATAGGAGATTTCTCGGAGTTATTGTGGTTATGCTCGAGTACAGTACCTTCGAGTGGACAATGCTCGACTTGAGTGGGGCCGCGGTACCGGTAGTGCTCGGGGGCCCACACCTCCTGTTTTGTAAAGTATCGGCAAGTTCAGAAACTGCAGCACAAAAGATCTGCCGTTAAACCCATCGGAGATATTCCCAAAGCCAAGAGCCAACCAACCGCCCCGCCGAGAGCCAAACTAGTTACCGACATGTTACATCTATCGACCAGATCCCTCCGGCGATCCTCAAGAGCACAACTAGCCCTGACTTGACTTCAACTCGAGTACACAGGCTACGGTACTTCCCCGAGTAGGCAATACCCAACTTGACCAAACCATACAGTACTCGTACAGAAAACGTCCCCCCCACTCGAAGGAGCCCGTCTCAGGCCTGAAACTCTCATGAACGGATAAGGGAAAAATATTATCCAATTCGTGGATCAGAAAATCAGACACTCTTCTGTTTCAAATAGCTCATGATACCAATTCATCAAGAATATTTATGGTGCGTTGTTTCTCGGGTTTGGTTCGTTGTTAATCGAAGATGGGGAGATTTGGTTGCTGTCGTATTCTTAGACGTATCGTTTTTCATTTTTCTCATTTTTTCAAAACGGAACCTTCTTCTGCATGGGCCCGGTGATAAGCAGTGTTCGATCCAATGGTTTCTTATTCTCCCCGGCAATGCTGCGCTCCGGGGAAGGGGAGGGGAGGGTGTTCTCATGGTACTGCACGCCTATACCTGGGGAGCTAAGTTAGATACAGGTAGTGAAGATTATTGAGGAACCGTACCTGAATGCTCTGATGTTCGGTAGCTTTGGCTCTTTTAAAAAATGTGCGTTATGGCGCCGGTATTGTATGCAGTGTTTATTTTTTCTCTCGTTTGACAGTGTGCTTAGGATGTGCACAAAAGTCTACCGAACACATGCTCTATTACGGCTACAGGATTGACTGCGCGCTTGGCCGGGGGTTTTGTTATCCCATCATTTGAGTTTCCCACCAATCAAATATTGCTATACATCTTCCTGGAAGGCTTGAAGATGTCTTCTCAGATGATTATCCATCACCTCTAAGAGGAGACACAGGCGCTAAGGAAGAGGATAAAGGAAATTGAGAGTTATCTCCAAACCGCACACCGGCAGGGGGAGACTTCTTTCTTATGGCCAAGCACAAATTTTGCTGTATACAGACAGTATAACTACAGTCTCTGGAGGTGTCCCTGAACAAGCACCTTTGAAATAACTTTTAAGGCTTCTGCCCTCATGGGATAAGCTGCTTCATGTACTATGATATACGATAATATGTTTCTCCATATCTTCATATTGCAGCTGGCATTACTGCATCCCCCTATACCTCTGATATGTCATGTATTATATTTTATTCTGGAGCTCTACGGTGCCTCTGCGAGGCTTATCGTAACATTATGTCACTAATCCTCACCACGTCCTTCCTCCTCCTTGGCCCCACAGCTACCACAACGGGTTGACAGCCATGGACGGCTTCCCTTATCTTTTTGATATATTTCTCACCTCCACTCTAGGATGTTGTGTGGCTCGTTTCTATCCTGGCGCATCTGGCGAAAGCTTGGCAAGAGCCACAAGGCGTGCTATCCTCACCAGCGGCGCCTATGGGAACCCAGGGTCGACAGCTCAACAAACGCTCAATCGAACGAACTTTGACCAGGAAATTCTCTAGGGAAAAATCAGAATTAAAATTCATCTCATTCGTTGCTTGTTTGTTTTTTCTTCTCATCTCTCTCTCCTTTGACAGTAACCTCCATCTACAAGCCTCTACCAATCCAATAAGTTGATACGGGTACCTCCTCCTTCATCTTCTCCCTCGCTCCTCCGCCTCGGATTTTCGTCGGAGAAGGAGCATCTCGTTTGAAAGCGGGAACTACGGCACCGTGAATGTTGCCATCCAATTATCAAGATAGTAGCCACAGCAATAGCAATACTCCGCTCTTCTCGAATAGTGGTATCAGCATTACCGGGCGTCGCGATAGTGCCAGTTTGCCTTCCAATCATCTGCTCCAGCAACAGCAGCAACAGCATCAGTTACAACAGGCAGGCATGGTCAACATGTTCCCCACCGCTGGGCACCAAATGGACCTTAATCATCTCTGGCAGCAGGTTCAGGAGCTTAGCGCGATCCTGGCGCAGAACAGGGAGAGCACAGCTGGGTTAGTCAGAAGGGCTGATGAGATTCGAGTATGTTACATCTTAGCCTGGAATAAAGGGGGAGCGTGTGGAGATGCTCTCATTACTATCGGGGGGTATTTACTGATGATTGCCCTGATTTATAAGAGTCGAACAAACTCAGGGGAGGCACTACCGCATATACGAGAGTCCAACGGTGAAGCAAATGGTTCGTGGGTATGGGGGATTGTGGGGTGAGGTATTGTATGGTTGTGCTGAGCTGGTTACTTTTCGTATGTAGGCACCCACGATGTCGATTTTGAAGCAGAAAACCGTGCGCTGCGTCAGGAAAACCACAATCTCCAAACAGAAAACGAGGATCTTTCACTGCTGGTCCAGGACTATGAGGCGGTACTGGACAAGGTTTTAGAGGGTCTGAGAATCTACGCTGTGAGTCCAGCTCATCGCTATCTGCTGCTGCTCCTCGGGGGTGGAGCTATTCCATATCCCAGTGGTTGATTGTCGTTATAGCACGAGCACACTGTTTCCACAATCAATATCCATCAAACGTATACGAACCAGCTCGCAAGTGAACGACAAGCGAACGCGGTCCTACGTCAGAACGAGACCGAGAGCCAGGCGCGATTAACAAGGATCAGCAAGATGCTCAGGGAAGCATATGAGCAGGATACGGCTTTAGAGCCGGATATTCTTATTGAAGGATTAAAGGTCGAGAACGAGGCCTTGAGAGAGGCGCTTGGCCTACCTAAAGAGGAGGGGGAGGGGGAGATCAGCCCGGTGTGACCGCGTAACTTAACGCGTTCGCGAAGGATCGCAGCGGAGGCTAGGGACAAGTGAGCAGAGATAGAGAAGCGGAAATATAGATTTGTTGAGAACAAGGCAGGGTGGATGGCGAGGCTCACGCGTCCGTTTCTCTGACTGGATGGCCAGTAGACAATGGCCTCTTGCATATCTTTTCTTTTTCGGTGGAGCAACTGGGAACCGGAAATCAAGTCATGATAGAAAACAAAAAATATGGGGGGTGGGTGGGAAGGATCAATACCGTACGGTACTCGAGTAGGTTTTGCGAATTGGGGGAGACCACCGTAAAGTTAACGATAAACCTACTTTATAAACAAAACTAGCTACCGGCACGGTACTGTAATAAATAAGTTCATTCAAACTTACAGTATTATACCTTTTCCAGAGCGTGCAGTTGCAGACTTGCAATTACTAGCGCTGCATTCAGGCAGAAGGTAACATTGTGTCGAACTATCGGTACCGTACTACCTCCCATGTCCTCCCCAAAGGTTTGAAGCAAAACAAATAGAGTGTTTGAGACGTCGCGAGGTGGATAATTTGGAGAACCAAGCGAGGAAAAGAGGGGTGATATTGTATCGGTGTCACACAGTTCTGGTGTCCTGAGTCCATTCTGTCCCACGAGAGTAGAGCTATTTCGGGCAGTCAGCCCACCGACAGAGTGTTTAGCGAAGGGGGAACAAATTGATTCCCTCCCTTACTCTACGAGTACCCTGCGTCGTCCTGTCTCAACCTTGCCTATAACGAGAGATGTGGCGAAATACCGGTACCGGTATGTAAGCAGCAGGGCGACCAAGGATCGGCTCGAGTTCTCCACCTCCTGAAAAAGAGAGGACGCGCTCTTTAGAATTTCGACTCTTTCCTTTCCTTCTACTCGAGTACCGGCACGGTACCCCAAGTTTCCTTTTCCCATATTAGGGTCAAGTCCAGTTCAGGAAACGCCCTCATAGATCGACTAAATTGGGTTCCCTCAAGTTTCCCCAAAAGGTTCACAAGGAGTTTCAAGAGGCTGCTGGGGTTAGCGCGGAGGGTAAGCTCGAGGATAGGGTATTGCCTGATTTGGACAAAGGGGGGGGGAATGGGTTGATTCGACACGATGTTGCAGAAAATTGGCTCCCCTCTCCCCTCTCCCATTTCATTGCACTTGTATCATACTCGAGTGTGCTTTGCTCATGGTGGAAAAAAAAAACATAGGGGTAATTCTTTAACAAAGGTTTTCAATTTTCGGGGATTTCTGCAGCGTGTTTTCTGTTTACTTTACTTTCCCGGTGCCAGGTTCTGGTGTTTGTCGCATGGTACAGAGCTGGAGCAGCGTAAATTTTTTCTCTCTCGGTCTGTCGCACCGGTATTGTCATCTGTTGAAAGAAATGGAGACGAGAGTGAAAGAATTTTGTGAGAGGTGAGTGAGAGAGCGTGAGAGGAAGGGAATACCCAGCGATCTTGAATAACCAAGTTTCCTCGATCAAGGGATATGAGCAGCGTGTATTGGTTGCATTTCTGTGATGCGTGTACAGTACTGTACGAGTACAGGTATGTAGGTAACTAAATATGTCTATGTGTGTCTGTACTCGTAGATGCGTGAGGGGGGGTGGAGGGAAGTGAATATCCCAGAGTCAGGAATCTACGGTAGCCAATCATTGAATATCGACTGGAAATCTGTGCAAGAAGACATAACTCAATCATCCTCTTTACCCCCATACTGGTATTCGTACATTACATTTTTCTGCTTGAATGAGGAGAGGGAAGGAGGGAGAAGGTTGAGAAAATACTGATCAAGAGAGGAATCGCACAAAGCATCAGCCTCCCTTTCCTTCTTATTGGCTTCCTCCCTTATTGTTGGTTCTCGTCGCTCATGGTAGTGGCCCGTTGTCTAATCTGTAAGCAGCAAGTGCCGCCTGCTGTTGCTCTCTTTTTTTCCATTTGCTTTTTCCACTCCCTCTCACCTTCACTCCTTCTCCTTCTCCTTCTCCTCTTCCTTCTTCCTTTCCCTGTTCCTTTTGACTCTCTCCACAACTCCACACTCCCTTCCCTCTCCGTCTCCGCTCTCTTCCCCTCCTCTTCCCCCGCCATCACCACCCCTTCTACCTTCTTTCTTTCGCAGTAGTAACAGCAGCAGCAGTAGTAATTCTCTTTCCTCACCGCCCCCCGTCTGCATTCTACAACCCAAAGCAATTCTTTCTTCGCCTTGCTTGATCAACACTCTCATCCCCTATTTTACTACTACTCAGTCTGTCCTGCTGTCGGGGTGTTTGTCTTTCTCCCCTTTTTGTGCTGAGCACCTCTCGTACATCATCACTTTTGTACATCTCAAAAAAGTTCCATCCCCTACCGTCAAAAAGAGTCGGTCGTCGTCTGCTTACCTCCCGTCCTTATTCTGGCCCACATCGCCCACACGCATCCCTATTACAAGTTGGTGTCTTTAACTATTTTTCTCTTTTTCTTCCCATCTCCGGTCCCATCAGCCTCGTCCCCACAGGGACTTTAATCGGCTTACAAAAGGATTTGATTCTACAGCCGTCTGGTCTAACCCAACTGCGGAGCAATTTTCCCTCCTTCTCTTTCTTTCGACGACTACTCTAACTCTCCTTCTGTACTTAATCATCGGCACATTTTTCTGTCGAGCGCTTCTCTCATTTTTCATCCCATTCGGTATTCTGGGACTGTTAACTGAGACCTAACGACATATCGTCGGATCGTCTTCTTATTTTCTAATCTGCCATTTTTGACGAGTGGTTTTGCCGCCCTTACTATCCCTCATTAAGAGCTAGACATCATGAGTATGGACGCAGGCGGTCTTGCTCAAATTAATTACTTCCACCAACAGGGGAACCCGGCCTCCTTCGCCTCCAGAGGAAAGGGTTCGCACCTTAGGAATATTTCTGTGCCAGTTCCTTCCAACAACCTCTCTGCCCCGGCAGACAATCAGACCGTCACCACTCCTCGCACGGCAAGGTCTGCTTTGTTGGCTGGGCTTCGGACTGCGCCGAGGACTCCGAACCCAACCCCCGCTTCTGCTCCTCCAGCAGAGAGTGGTCTCGAATCCAGGTATAACCCGCCTGGATCGTCCGATTTCCCTCCGCAAAATGCCCGTTCTAGGCAGTCCCCTAACCGCTACCAAGGATATCAGAGTTCTCAGGGTACTCCCTACTCTGCGGCTTCCCAGCAGCTGCCTACCCCTCCGTCATCTTCCCCCGCACTCGGCTTGAATGGTGAAATGTTCGAGTTGTCTGACGAAACTGACAATGAGAGGTATCAACAATTGCTCGCGACCAATTTCATCCTTGCTCAGAAGCAGGCTGAGCTCCAGGCTCAGTTGGCTAACTCTGTCGCTGCCCATCAACTTCTTCAATTGCAGCAGCTTCAGCTCCAGTCTTCTGGATCTGGCAACTTTTCAACTCCCCCTATGAGCCCTGGAGGTATGGGCTCCTACATGCAGCAGTCCGCAAACGCTGCCAACATGAATGCAAATAGATACTACCCTATCTACAATGGCATTTATGGATACTACGCACAGCCTCAAGTTTCGGTGGACTACTTGCAGCAATTCCAGCAACAGCAGCAATCCCCTCCTGCTTCTGCTCAATCTGAGAATAGCGCACCTGTTTACCAGCCACCCCAGCAGCAGCAACAGCAACAGCAAACACAACTTCAGGAGAAGCAATCTCCCACTTTGAATGCTTCTACTGGACGTTCGGGTCGTTCTAGGTCACCACCAAAGCTCACACTTAATCAACCTAACTCGAGCGGTTTCAAGCGTGGCCATAGGAAGGCTAGCTCTTTGTCCACTTGTGTGAATGTGAGCAACTTGGATATCGCGGAACCTCCAAAGACCTCACTCCCTAAGATAATGCCCACCACACCGATGACGGCAACCTTTGCCCCAGGACATGCTAGTGGATCTCACCCTATTCGCCAACCTCGTGGTCCTCCAGCTATCGAAGAGTTGAAGGCTAAGCCAACAAACAAGGATGGAGGAAGCAAGAACTTTGCAACCAGACAACGCCGACGGGCCGTCTTCAAGTTGGTTACCGCAGGGATGGAGAGGAGGACCGCTAGATCTGCTTCTAGCTCTATCGGTGGCACTATGACACCTGTCTCGGAAAATGAATGTTCTGGGTTTGAGGATGTTGAGAGTGTGTCTTCATCTCTCTCCGGGCGTGCAAGTCGTACAAGCATTCGCGGAGGGGATTCTCCGCAAGACTACAGCGCGTCTAGTGTCAGTAGCGATGAGAGCGTTGGTACAAAACAGACTGAGAGTAAAGAATCTGGTGGATTGAAGGCTCCCAGATTAGTTTTCGGCTCTGCAACGAAGAGAAATAGTGCCCAGTTTTAAGCGCGTGATTTCTTGGTGTTAATGCATTTGTCTTTGGTCGTATCAGGCCGTTACTTTCACTGGTTATTTTGTTTCCCCCGTTGTCCTTTATTCCTTGATGTTACCCCTGTTTGTGCCTTTACTATTGGTGTTTGAAAACTCGTATGTTATGAATTAAGTGTTTGGGATGGACAGTGGGTAAAAAAAAAAATTTTTGGAAATGGGGGAACAATATCTTCGTTTCACTGCTTTTTCTCCTTTTAAACTCTTTTTTTCCTTTTAGTTTGGGGGAATGAAATCTGGGAAAGGGCGAGAAATACCAGGGACAAACGGAAATCCTCGAGGAATTTTTCAATACGGATGAGAAATATGATTGAGGTAGTTGGTTTTTTCTTTTTTTATCTTCCTTACTCGGTTACTTAACTTTGGTGATGACATGGGGTGTGTTGGGGAAGAGGATAATTGCAAGCAAATGGACACTTGGAATGGATTGGACGGAATGGGGAATTGGGAGAGATTATTTGTATTTTTTTTTTTTTAGTGAAATTCGGGATCGTGTTTTTTACATGACTTGTTAATTGAGGTTGTGGAGTCTTTTCTTCTGTTTCCTTTTCTTCAAATCCTTGTGGACGGGGGTGGATTGGATTGAATTGAACTGAATCGAACTGAATTGAAGAGCAGCAATGAGAGGGAATTGGAGAAATTGCAGATTGATTGATTCGTTTTTTTTTTTCCCTTTGGAATTCGAGATGGAGGGATAATGGGGGCAAATGCAAAAAGCAAAGAATGAGGTTCAGAAGGGAGGAACAAAAAAAAAAAGGTTTAATTCGATATTTGCTTCATTTTACACTGCGATTATTATTATTATTATATTACTAATACGGTGCTTGAGATGAGCATAAGGGACCCGAACTTTGGGCGCGCGCGCACGATTGGGAAACATTTTTCCTGAGTCGGACCAACAGACGGACCCGTTTGAAGATACGGTAGTTGCTTGTGTGTGTGTGGGACGCGGTATGCACACAGTTTTGCTTTTCATTCTTTAGATGATGTACTTGTATTTTCCATATCTCTCCCCTCTTTTCTTTTACTCTCTGTGTTCATTGCGTTTTCTGAAATCTGTTATCTCTATTCTCTATTCTTCCTTTTTTTCCAACCAATATAATACTTGTACTCTACCAAAACACACACACACCTCTCACTCACTCATCCATATCCCTATTGCTCCATGGATATCGTAGTCTACTCAAGCGTGTCCGTTCGTAGGGGGGGGGGAAACCCCGGGAGGCCATTTCTATCGTAACTGGTTTTAAGAGCACCCGGACCCCACACAAATAAATTAGGACCAACCCGCACACAACTTCCCGTATCGCAGCTATTCCCGTGGCACTCCGAGATACCCATGCCCGGGCCGGCGCGCTACCGAGCCGGCACGGGGAGGAAGAGAATGGTGCGGTACGATAGTCTACTATTATACCGGTACGATACAAGTACCATAGACGTTGCGACAGCGTTTATGATTCCTCCACCAGACCCTCTCTCTCTCTAAGGGTCAAGTTAAGAGTATTGAGCGATGGAAGAGGTGAGAAGCGCAGAGTGGAAAAAGACAGGAGAGGCGGAGAGGAATAATGGTGGAGTGCCGTGCAGATATTGGCAACCCCCCCCCCCCCTCTCTCTCTCTCTCTTTTCGTTTCATCGTGGGGAACGTTCATTGTCATTAGCATTTGATATTATTAATACAAGGGTAGACCATGAATTCATGGTATGATAACTTGTACTGTACTGTACGCAGCGGAGATGAGTGGTTAGATAATTATCATAGTAGTGGTGAAGCGCCCTGTCAGATGTTTATCCAAATCAGAGCTACCGTAGACTAAATTACCATATTGAACTCGACAAAAGCAAGAACTGGAGAACAAAACATATAATTAATGGTCGTGGCCAATCGTTACTGGTTATTATTGTTATTGTTATTTCATTTCCCCTTCTCATTACAAGTACTGTACTGTGCTCGTTCATGACACTGTGCTGGAATGCATGCTTTTTCTGGTGTTCCCAGAATTACCCCCCTAATGGAGGATTACTTTTTTTGATAATGCTCGAATTTCAGCATTGATTATAATTATTTTTCCTTTTTCCCTCAGAGAAAGAAAAAATTCAATCATAAGACGTGGGTTTCGTCGCTGATTTGAGGAGAGTTCTTCACAATCTGCACACAAGTAGCATGCTGCCTCACGGGAGCGCAGTAAGAAAGAAGAAAAGTTTCAAAACAAAAGTCAAGTATTGTTTTAGGGTTACTGTAAGTTAAGCTACGGTATTGATCGCGGGCCGTCCGTCGTCTGTGCTCTTGGACTACGGTAAGGGCATGAACCTCGGTATGTGCCGTGGTTTAAAGAACGTCTTTAGGATCACGACATTCGGACATTAAAGTTTCTCCCTTCTTTTGAGTCGTCTCGTGGTGCAAAATAGGGCCGATAGATATATACGTCACGTGAAGTGTGATAAGAAAGATCTGGCTGAACCTCCTGTGGCGGTGTGCCCGGATAAGGCACGTGACGGATATACTACCGGCATCACTCGTAATCAGTGCGGTCGAGTCCAGTAGACTACAGGTCTGCGTTGTAATGTGCTTCACTCGAGCGCCGTTTTAATGCCTGGTGGTCGGGGAAGTAGGCACCTCCCGGGGACAGAGGGATAGGATTAGTCTACAGCTAGCGATTTTTCAGCTGTTCATTGATTCGGACAACTCCCCTAGCCCCGCTGATTGTCAAGCATCCCATAGCATCCGCTACCTGAAGAGTATTTTAGTGGGTGCTTGTGCCTGTTATTTACGGGTAGGCTGGGAGGTGTAGAAATGATTCGTTGGCTGGTTGATTGGTTGGGTTATCGAGTTCGATATTGGAGTGGGGGGGGGGACGGTAGGGTGATTCCTGGGTTATCGTTATCGAGAAAGTAAAGAAAATTGCGGAAAGAGTGGAGCCAGAAAGAGAGAGCAGTAATGATAGTCAGCGGTAGGTAATCCGCTTGCGAGTACCTAATGTGTATGATATTTTTTTCCCATTCACTCATTCTGATATCTCCTATTTCCTCTCTGTTGGAGGGGGAATGTGCGTGCGTGCGTGTACGCGTGCGGCGGCGGCTGTAGCTTGAGGATAGTAGGGTATAGTACATCGGTTCGAGTGAATTGATAAGGTTTGTTGAGGTGAGTCGCTCACTAGTAGGCATATTGCTTGGACGGGGGGAGCTGTTATCGAAGCACGGAAGGAAAGGGTGGTGGCCACGTTCCAGCTGTGTGGGCACGAAAGAGGGCGAGTGGTGCGAGGGAAAATTTCTATTTATGTCTCTAAAAAAAAGTTCCTTTTCTTCTCCCCTCTCCCCCAAGAGTGGCGTTGGCCGCACGAGAAGGGATGAACAGGGAGAAAGTGCTGGTACCGGTATTTTCTCGAGGCGCAACTTGTGCGCAGGGTCAATAGATAATGCAAGGTTCCCGTAACTACATGAGAAGAGCTTCTGGACCTGCGCTACCTGCATGACCGTTTTGAGGAGCCGGGCTGTAATGGAATTGTTTCTATGGGTATTGGTGAATTCACACGTGTTGGTGGTGGTATGCGCTTGCCGTATCTCGATACTTTGGGGAGCTCGCCCTACCACCTGTTTTAAAGCAATCTGGCTGGTGTCACCTACGGTACCGGAGACAAGACTCAAGTCTTCCCATGTTTTGTTTGATATTGATGCCGCTACCTGGTGTTTAAGATACCGTACAGCGCTTGGGTCAGTCATCAACTGTGTGTGTCCGCCACACCAGAGCCATACAGTGCCGTACAGTGCCGTACCCTAACGGTAGTGCGAGAATCACTCTAACCTCCGGGATTGAAAGCGTCCTACAGGGCTGCACGCCAACTAAGGGGAGATCCAGCCGGTCCTCCTCCTATCATACCGGTACTCTAACCCAAGGCACGGGCCTCGAGAAGTTTTTCCGCGCTAGGGAAGCAACCGCTATCGGGTTCCTTGGACATCAAGGAGCCTCCGGGCTAACGCCTCCCCCAAACTGGAAACCCATCCAACAGATCCCCACGCATTGGCACCGTTGGGGGAAAGGAAATTTCACCTTTTTGGTGGAAAAAGGGAAAAGGTGAAGGAGGGGCTAAGTTCAATGGCCATCAAACTCGGGCACTGATTGTCAGGAAGGAGCTCTGAGCCCAAGGTGGACTAGATCAGATTTTTCAATTGGCAACAGTATCCTTATTCACCGCCTTTGTCTGTTCTTGGAAGGCCCATGATATCAAACCTTCGTCTTGCTTTGGTCTAAGATTGTCTATAACGTACCCACGCACTCGGGTGAATGGTCGAGGCTTCCCGCAAGACAAATGCTGGAAGCTGGAATGTTGAACCTGTGAAGGAGATATCGCTGCGAAAGTAGCCATTTTTTGTGCCTGATACCGGTATCGAGATGTTGCCGGCGCTTTACGATAGTAGGGCATGGCTTCCGTGGTTCCTGTTAGATCCTCTGTGCCGTGATATTAATGGCAATGGTGGTGGTGACGGGCACTTAGGAAATCGCCTCTCTGAATCGATAGAGCGAATTTCCGGTGTACACATCTATGAGGGATACATTCTCCATCTATCCCGAACCTCCCGGACTTTTTTCCCACACTCCTACTCCTTTCCTCATCTTCCCCCTCTCCTTCCCCCATTAATTATTTATTTATATCTCACTTCTTGGAACTTATATTGCGATATTCCACTTGAGAAAGTATACCCCCCACTGAACAGGCGGTCTAGTTAGTCGGTCCTTTTGAGGCACCAATTTTTTGCTCTATTTTTGCTCTACTTTATTCTGGTCTAAAATCCTTAAGGTTCAATTGTTTTCTCTCCCGTTTCCTGCACACCCTGAAGTATACCTATACTTATACTTGATACTCAGTATTATCACCCCTCGCGGCAATTGAGTATTCAGGTACTCCGGCTTATCAAATAAGCCTCCCCTTTACCCTGGGGCCATGCCGAACCCTCCACCCTCATCGATATTAGCCACGGATTCATTTCTAGATGGTCCGAAAGCATCGGAAGTCAACGACAGTTCAGAAAACTCTAGTCGTGGCGGCAGTCGGCCGGGGAGCTCCAATGGCGAGCGAGTTCGCGGTAATCACAGAGTACGATTTGGCTCTGGGGAGGTCTTGGACGTCCAGAACAACAGACATACCTTCAACCTTCAGTCTCCAGAGGACTGTCAATCCTCTAACAGTGACAACCCGGCTCCTGATTCTCCTGCCTTAGAAACACCCCCAATTACTCTAACCTCGCCAAATACTTCCCCGTCTGGTCGTATATGTACCCGCATCGAGTACTTCGGTCCGCCAATTGATATCACAGACACACCGACAAAAATTCCCACTCTACCGTTGAAGGCACCACCGAGAGCATTCGGTTTTAACAGCAACGGTGGGGACTTGGAGCTCAATGAGAAGTGCGACAAATTCACCGAGAATGATCGATTATCATCTCAAGAAAGAGCAGCTAGGCTGGGGAGAATCGGGAGCTACTCAGCCCCGAGTTCAGCACGTAGTTCACCAACTCTCACCGCATATAGTGCTGGCGCTGGTCAGGCTCAGGGAGGAGCACCTGTTGGTGATATACCGTTTCTGGATCTTGGGGATACCCCACCGCAGGACTGTAACGATCCAGCAAGGATCGAAAGGAACAAGATAACAGCGATTAGAGAGGCTTATGAATTAGTTATACAGCACACAACACGAGGAGTTACAGTATTGAACGGAAGGTCTAGGGCTAGTGGAATGGAAACCCCGGACCACGGCCTGAGGTCCGGAACCGCAACGCCGGTGGCCCACCAGCATGAGGGCTATGCCCAGCCTCCGAGCCAGTATCGCGGAGGTGTTCTTGGGAGTTTATTGAAGCTGTATGATCCATCGGGAGGTCATGGGAGCTATTGCGGTCATGGGCGCCATAGTAGCGTGGGGGGTATAGCAAGCCCAACGAGTTCTGGGCGTACAACACCAAAGTGGTATACCAAGAGCGCAAACACGTCGACCACATCGCTAGGAGGACCTCCGGTAGCTTCTAGGGCCGCATTTGGATCTCCCGCGGGACCAGCTGTTGGGAAGGATCGACCAAAGGCGAAGCATCGGCCACACAGCGGTGGTAGTGGGGTTGTCGATATATTAAAAAACTTTTCTAGGCCTAATTTAGAAGAAGAGATCAAGGCGAGCTATTTTCCATTTTGGTTTAAAATTTAGGCTAGGTCCACCCTGTTCGCGTAGCATGGGTTCTAACGACTGGCTTCAGATTACTGTTCATATTGCGGAGACCCTGGCAAGACAAAAGTACATCTTGAAGCTTTGCAGAGCTTTGATGCTTTATGGAGCCCCAACTCATAGACTCGAGGGTATTTTCGAAATTCCTTTGCTTTTGGTTAGAATTTTTGCTGACCTAAATCAGAATACATGAAGATGACATCTCGGGTTCTTGAGATCGATGGGCAATTCTTATATATCCCGGGCTGTATGGTCATCTCTTTCGGGGATTCCTCGACGCACACTTCGGAAATGCAACTTGTCAGGACAAGTCAGGGCGTTGACCTCGGAAAACTTCACGACACGCATGAGGTTTATAAAGAGGTTGTCCATGACATGATCGGGGTTGAGGAGGCCACTAAAAGACTGGATGAGATCATGAAGCGGAAGCCAAAACATAACCCATGGATTTTGATACCAGTTTTTGGTATTGCTAGTGCTTTTGTTGGACCTTTTGGTTTCAAGGCTCGGCTTACCGATATGCCTATTCTCTTTGTTCTTGGATGTATTCTTGGGTTCTTGAAACTTATTGTGGCACCGAACTCCGAGCTTTATGTATTCTCTCTTCATGGATTTTCACTCGGGATTTTTGCTAACCTTTGTCTAGTCGAACGTCTTTGAAATATCGGCTGCTGTTATAACGAGTTTCCTTGCGAGGGCCTTTGGTTCGGTTCGCGGGGGTAGTGTTTTCTGTTTCTCCGCTCTAGCGCAGGCCTCTATTGCTCTGATTCTGCCTGGTTATATCATATGTAGGTTGCCCTCGTCCTGGCCCGGAATTAGCGGACGACCGAACGCTAAATCCTTGCATTAAGTATGTGGGTCCCTTGAGCTTCAATCAAGGAATCTAGTGGCAGGGTCGGTTCGAATGTTTTACGCTATCGTCTACTCATTGTTCCTTGGCTTTGGGATCACGATTGGATCCGCTCTCTACGGGCTCGTTGATAGCAATGCCACATCTGCTACGACGTGTCAGAATCCGTTGGATTGGAGGTGGAACTTCCTGTTTGTTCCCCCATTTTCCTGGTGGTACGTACACTTTTCTGAATCTTTAAATAATGGGGTAAGACTAACCCGTACCATAGTCTCTTGACAATTAGCCAAGCTAGGTGGCGACAGGCCCCAGTAATGATAGCGATCTCCATGGCTGGCTATGTCGTCAACTTCTTTTCTAGCCAACGATTCGCGAACCAGCCACAGGTCGCCAATAGTCTAGGAGCATTCGCAGTCGGGGTCTTGGGCAATCTCTATTCAAGAGTCGGCCACGGTTTAGCATTTGCCGCCATGCTTCCGGCAATACTCGTCCTAGTCCCCTCTGGGCTCGCCGCCCAGGGCTCTTTAGTCTCCGGTATCCAGAATGCAGACGCCATGATCAACAAATCGTCAACAGCACCAGAACCTGCATTGAGCCAATTTAACTCTATAGTACTCGATGTTGGATTCTCCATGATCCAGGTGGCCATCGGTATCACAGTTGGCCTGTTCGCAGCAGCGTTGGTGGTGTATCCATTTGGCAAGAAGCGATCCGGGCTCTTCAGCTTCTAAACTATACACACAACTACCCTCTGTGTTATTTATTAATTGCCCTGTGTATATTTCCTCTGTTCTCCGATCTCTCCTAGTTACTGTCGCATTAGAAGGAATTGTGTGCTCGGCGCCTGATGTTTTCTCCCCCTCTCTTTCCCTAATATTCCTCTCCCTCCTCAATTTACGTACAGCAAGAAATACGCACCCACTTATCTAATGTATTTTCCTGTTTCTTCCCTTTCCTTTATCTTCCTTTCATTTTTCTTCTTGGAACCGAACTCGCATCGGATAGACGGCCAGTCTCATTTTGCATATTTTTTGGATTCATCCATTCGTCATAATACTTGATTGCTTGGCCCGCCGGGTGGGTGTTATAACCTTTTTCTTCTTTATTTCCGGGAAGAGTTCCATCTGTTCAGCTCAAGTTAGACTTTTCTCATCTCTCCTTTCCGCTTCTCCCCAAGCATAATCTCAAAATAATTTCCCCACACCCCCCCCCCTTTCCGTAATTATAGTGAACGGTATCACGAATTTATACTGTACTCTATCTATACTGGGCTGCCAGTTTATCATAGTATTACTAGCCTCGATTTTCTCTGCCCATCGCCAACTCAACCATAGTTATTTCGAAAGCCCATGCCGCCCAACCAACCAACCAGGTATAATTCTCTCTTCTTACAAGTGGGACATAGCATAACGTTGATGAAGGCACAAGGAATGAATCCCACAAACTCGCGATACGGTACTGTACTGTATGATACAGTGCCCGGGTACCGCAACGACCTTGCGCAACACAGCACAAAATAATATGTCGACATTCCCGCTACAAGAGTTGATAATAAATATTAACTTTGTAATTTAGCTATGATGCAAGTACCTACTCCGGCATAGTATCGAATTTACCGTATGCATCATGGTGATGCCCACCGTGGTACGATATACGGTGGGCCGACCCGTCAAGCAAGATTAACATTCACGCCTCACGGAAGGAGCCGTTTGCTCCGGCGGGCAGGGGTCGATGACATGACGCTGGGTGGGTGCACTGTGTGTGGTTGGTGGTGGATGGCGGGGTTTACGATCGTTGAAGATTGGCACCCCGTTCGCACACGCGGTTTTAGGAAGCCAGACATTGCGCCAGTAGTTTCGCATAACATATACACTCTCTTGTCAATTAAGCACAATGAACAAGAAAACAAACAGGACGTTCAGAGTTGAACTTCCCAAAGCGAGAGGTAAAGAAAAAAGGGTATTCTCTCAATATACTGCCGACTTATACTACACATTACCCAGTACTCCACCCAGGAGTGCTGGTGCCAACAAGTTCTCTATTTACCGCCCCATCCCCACTATTGGGAGTATGATAGTAATATCAAAACGCGACTCCCGGTTCTGGGCTCGGCGGAAAAGCTAAAGACCAATAGTAACAAAAGGAGGGGAAAAAAAAAAGAATAAAAAGAGGGAGAATAAAAAAGAACTTGAATTCTCGTGCAAACATTCGTGGAGCATCATGAAAGGTAAAATGCAATGCATGGGGGGTGAGGAAAGAAAATAGATGTAGATCGCAGAGGATGTATTTTTGAAATGGAGGAATATTCGGGATATAAGGAAATAGATAGATAACGCTGAGGATATGAGAGATGGGCTCGGTAAATGAGTAAGTGAGAGAAGGAAGGAAGAGGGTGTATAAGAGTCGGCTGAAATATCCGTAACTTCATTAATTAAAAGGGCAATAAGTAGCAGAAAATATAAGAAAAAAAGAAAAAAGGCGATAACCAACGTGAAGCACCCAAGTAAAGAAAACACCCAGAGCATGAGATGACAATAAAAGGCAAATAAACGGTTCTACAGTGGGCCCTGCTCGTAGTCCGAGACGGGGCTTATATCATACAACCCGACATCAGCATCAGTTCCGCTTAGTGCTATTATGGGCAATAGCTGCCTAAAGTTATAATAGCATGGAACGACGTGAATTGTCTACTTCCGGGCGGGAGCTTGCGTCTTGACATTGTTGGACAACCAGCCCTGTTACGGGAAGTCAGCACCAACTCCCCCAGTATCCCCAAGGCGCACGAAATAAAACATCCATGTGAAATGAGAAAAGACATACCAATCCCTCAAACAATCCCTCGCCAGTAGTGGCACAACTAGGAACCACATACCAGACCCTGTCCTTCAGTTTGTGTAACTGAAGCTTCTCTGTCACCTCTGAAGGCGGCATACCTAATTTGCATAGTGTCAGCTAAATTCTGCAACACGGTGAGCTGACCTCGCGCTGCGGGATCCAATACGACGCTCCGACCTGGCTCTTCAAAATGGTAGATAGGGATTACTCACAGCCAGGGATATCTTGCTTATTAGCGAAGACTAACAGGAGGGACTCCTTCATCTCTCGGTCCTGAATAATCCTGTGCAACTCTTGCCTTGCCTCATCGATACGGTCACGATCATGACTGTCGATAACGAAAATCAGGCCTTGGGTACCTGCATCGAAAGATTTATTAGACACCGGAACACGACAGGATGAGTGCTGTGGAACTGGGGCACTCACCAGAAAAGTAATGGCGCCACAGAGGACGGATCTTGTCTTGACCACCGACATCCTACGTTAACAAGTCACCGTCAGCCTCGACCCCGCAGAAAGTTTTGTAATCAGGCGATTGTCTGAAAACTCACCCAGACGTTGAACTTGACGTTCTTGTAAGTTACGGTCTCAACATTGAAGCCGACTGTGGGAATTGTTGTTACATCCTGGTCAATCTTCAATTTGTAGAGAATAGCTGGATGAAAATAAAAATAAAAAACAATTAGCCTCTAAGCAGTGGACGACAGAGAGGGGCTGAAAGCAATTCCGGAAACGGGGCATACTCGTCTTTCCAGCCGCATCCAACCCTAACATGAGTAGCCTCATTTCCTTCGTTCCAAACAGTTTACTCTGGCCCAAGGTCAGTAATAACTCATTTAAAATGTTCCTAGCAAAATATTACCATGACTTTTGATATGGAGCCTGTCGGAAAACATTAGTCTCCTCGAAATTATCTCCTATCTGCGAATAGGATTTCGATCACCTACCACCCATCTTGAACTTGTGGTCTTGCTGCTTCTAAGAAGAGCAGCGACAAGTTAACGTGTTTATTTGAACCTTTTTGACGGTGGGTTCCGGGAAAGGAGTTCAAAGGTTTTGATTTCTTTCGACCAGATGAAAAGGAGGGGAGCGAGCCTCGTACGAGTACAGTAGTAGAGCCTTGTGGATGGGAGGGCCTGTCTGGATTGTATACGTGGAGGGTGTTGCCGCGACAACAACCGACGCGAAAAGATAATCGGGTTTTCGGACGTGTCGTGGGCAGAGAGAAGTATTTTGACGTGAAGCTAAAGAAGAGCGAAAAGGCAGTAATGGCTATTTCTTTGGGAGACCTCGGGGGAGTAATTGGAGGGGGAGATTTGTGTGTGGGGAGTAGGTGTGTGATGTAGTTATGGAAGCTTTGTGTGGGAGAAATTGAAGATTGCGTGGGAGACGAGGTGAACACACTCGGAAACGAGAACAGGGAAAAACAGGGATGGGCCTCCCACAAAAAAAGGGGCCGTAAATTGGACCCAGGCTGTGAAGACCGGATGATCCCTTCAGGTATGATATGATGGGAAAGAAATGAAATTTCACCCCCAATATCTTGCACTTTTACTCCATATTGACGATATTTGCATCAAAATTTTGTTCACCGGAGCAATTAATAATAATGATGATGATGATGATATGATGACTGCTCCGGTAACTATTTCATGAAAAGGGGCTCATTTCCACAGCGGTCACCACTGTCCTGCAGAGTACCGTCCCCCGACTTGACTGCACCAGGCATACGTCAACAAACCCCATCACCATACCCTGAATATCATGACCTTTCAACATGTTGTATATTCGGCCATCAAATGTAGCTATAAACAAGTAAGAATACCAAAGAGAAATGTTTACTCAAAGGTAATTCATGATTTTTAGCAATATATAGGTAGTAGGTTCCCATCAAAGACAGGAATGCAGGGAATCTAATAGGTACTCTACTCGTACAGTATACTGTAGATACAGGTATGAAACGGTAGATATCTCCAGAGAAAGTGGCAGGCCTCCTCTAGTCAACGAAATGGGGGAAACCTTTTCAATACTAGCGTGTCACGGACATTCACTGTAGAATACTAGCTAACCTTTAACTAGAGTAATAAATCTATTGGGGCAAATCCTACTTTCAGAATCACTCATGTAAATTCGATAAAAAAAAACCTCCAAAAATTCAAGAGAGTAAACCAGAAACACTTCTAAATTTTAGAATATTTTTTAAAGATAAAAAATAATTAGGTAGATAGCCAGTGTCGCTTAAAATTTGTTAATAAATCTCCTTTTTAGGATAATGCTTGTGCCAAGCTGTGTTGAAACCCATGTTTATTACCTTGTTTAGCACCTCAAGAAATCGCTTTTTTTCTCACAAATCACATTTTCTCTTCCTAATATGTCTCTAAGACTTCCCCCAGAAAAGGAAAAATTCTAATAAATACATGCAATGCTGTTTTATTTCCAAAAAAAAAATTCGATTTTTTATAATTTTTTATGATTGTGTTTTCCTGCTTAGAAGTTGAAGAGTTATTTTCTTGGCCATGGGTGAAACCTTGCATTTTGCTGGCATTCGCAAATGTTGGCTGGTATTCTACAGGGAGGGACCGGGATTCGCTGGTATTGTGTAGATTTTCTCCAACGAAATGGGGTGGGCGGGGTATGCAGATTAACCTCCTGTAGCACCATTGAACCTGTGACAACCTCTATGGTGACTGTTTTCGTTATCCTACAAATCCTAGTGCCATACCATACCAGTATTTGTCCTTATAGTGTCTATTATGCTGGTCCCCTTTCATCATGTACGAGTATTGTACGGTACTATCGCGTGAGATAAGCAATAAAACCCGACACTAGGCCAGAATATGGAAATGTGAATCTGGCTCCTACACAACAATGTATATGTTCCTCTCATAAAACAAATAAATATCTATAAATATAGTAGTAAAAAATATATTTACCCCTAACTACAGTATGTCCAATCCCAATTACTGTACCGTACTTGTGACCTTCCTCCTTGTCATCAGTCTAGAATCTCTGCCTGCAGCTCTCGAGCCCCTGTTCACTGCGTCCGTGTGTCATTCTGTCTCTGGTAAGTGCCAACGGGGCCTTCGGCGAAGGACTGTGGGGGGTCTGTCTCCCCGTGATAGGGAATGCGGTGATCACGAATAACCAGGCGTTGCAAGCTGTCGATGGTCCCTACCCTCCACGCCAATATTTGGTATGCCGAAACCACTTCTATGAACCGGATGGCATCAGGAGGGAGCTTGTAGGATTTCCTCTTAAGATCCAATTCAAGATCTTCATCCCCCATAAGCTTCACTTCGAGTACCTTGATGGCAGGCAATTTCGAGACAAATTCGAGGAAACCATCGAAGCGGTTATATGGTGGCCAGGCAGCATGGTAGACTACAGTAGTAAGGTTGGGGAATGCAGAGGGCTTGAAGGATGTAATCCCGGGCCCAGATTCCGCCCTGCCCAGAAAATATTTATCATCCTCCTCATACAGAGAGCGAAAGTTGCCATCGTTTACATGGAGCAGGCGAATAGGGCACTGCTTCAAAAGCAGTATTTTGAGATCGTTATCGTCGTCAACCTCTTCGAGCCGTAGCCTCTCGAGCGTAGCGAGAAAGTATGGCCACCGAGCTGACTTCTCTCGGAGAGTGTGGTGGGTTCGGTACTGACGTATTGACAAGGATTTCACGGAAATCTCCCAGAGAAACTTCTTCAACTCTAATCCAACCTTCCCCTCATTCCACTGCGACCCCATAGCCAGCCCTATGCTCTCGATCGTTTTCTCCAAAGCATTGTTCAGTATGAAACTGCGCAATTCCTCAATGCTCTTGCACGTGTGTCCTTTTTCGAGGGGTAGCTTCACCGAACGGAAAAGGAACGGGAAGCATACAGCGCGAAGCCGCCTGCATGTCGAGGACAAGTTTTTGAGCGATGGCTGTTCCTTGGATCCGTCAACGGTGGTGAATTCTTCGGGGGTCTCGACATATTGAACGATGTTGAGTAGAAGTTCGGTGGCCAAGAACTCTAACGAAGCCATGAGGGGGTAGGGACCGGGTGCTAACTGTGGTCGTGATGCCGGTTTCTGTTTGTGATGCGGTGCTCCGCGCTCGACAGGGCTATCGTAGGCTTGGTTTAGATCGCAGAGGGGGATCTTGGTGGGGTGTTGTGTGCAAGATGTTTCCAAGGGGCAGCTGTTACGTCGGAGTTGATGAATAATTACGATATAAAGTACCGGGGGTTGTGGGTAAGTCTGTCGAAACCGAGCTGATTCGTTGTAGATGTTCCAGCCAATGACCAATAGGCTGCTGCCACTTGTAGCGATTAGTAAATATGTCACGATAGCAAAACTCTGAGTACCCCATCATTCTTCACTTCAACAATTAAACTGATACTGCAATTTCAATCACTGTATTACCTGCTTTTTTTACTTTTCTTCTTCACAATAAGAGCTAAAGGACGTCAAGGGGATTGTATTCCAGCAGGAGGGAGTGTGAAGGGCTGTGAGACTATGTGTGATGAGCACATGCAAATTATTACTCTGTGAGAAAAAGCAGGAATGACCTGGAAGGTAGGTAAAAAACAAAAAAATAATATTAAGAACTACAAATGAAAGGTGAAAACTAATTATTAACTTGGAGCTATGATATAGGAGATCAGAAACCAGGAAGATTTAGACTACTACACATGTTAGAAAATCTATTATTATACAAGACTTAATGGTGATTTCTCCTCTAATCAGCCTCATTCTAGCCGGCCGGTGATGTTCAATGAAGCTGAGAAGGCAAGACTTTGGGCTTTTGTCACCCGGGACAAAAGAACTCATCATCTGTAATAGGAGGAGGTACTTATAGAGATGGGGTATGTGTTAGGCAGAGACAACCTGATAGACTTCAGAGTTGTGTAGGCCAATCAAGATTCGTTTCTGTAAATGGAGATTGTCTAAGAAGACTCAGACAACACTCGTTTCATTTGTGACTACTAAGAGCGAAGTAAAGTAGGTAAAGTAGTATAGAATTGTAATAATAATATTATATTGTTAAAGTCTCTTCTCCATTGCTTAATAATGTCTAAAAGCTTGAGAGACACTTCGATATTTATATTCTACATCTCAGTGTTTGCAGACTACTGTCATGAATGTGGCTTGGCATGAAAAAGGTTTTCACGTGACACATGGTTATGAGTCACAGGTATGTTATTGTTTCACACATATGACTCATTCGAGTCAGATGATTTGTTATGTGTGGGATTTGTAATGCTTTCGCACATAGCCCAAATATGAGTCATGGGATGTGCGCCTGGCGAGTATGCCTTGCAAGTGAACCGTGGGGGTAAGCCTTGCACATATGATTTATGTTTTGCACATGACCTCGTTAGAAGGTCATGGGTTTCACGCATATGACTCAGTCGAGTCATATGACTTGTTTATTGCGTTATGATTGGTTTATGAGTTTTTTGCACATGACCTCGCTATGAAGTCATGGGTTTTGAGCATGTGACCACTTTAGTCACATGACTAGTTTGTTATGATTTGGTTTCGCACATGTGACCACTTTGGGTCACATGACTATAGGTGGGAAGAATACTATATAAGGAGGCTGATGCGGCCGAGGAGGATAGGTTCTTCATACTTTATTCTAAGTACGTTTCCTACTTATTACTTTAACAAATATAAAACAGCTTTACGATCTTTATCTTTATTGCAACGATATTGTTACGCCAAGGAAAGCTCTTTACGAAGAAGAGTTAGAGAAAGCTTACGATAGGCGTTCCCGATAGAAGACAGAGGTCTTGTACTATCGGTAACATAGGCAGAGGCCTAGTGCTATTGTAAGACGAAGAAAGGAGAAGAAAGAAAAGAGATATATCATTCCCCGTTGCCAAGAACTAACTATCCAAGGAGGGATCGTTACATTACAAAGCGTCACCTAGTGCGACGCTAAACGATACAAGACGGCATCCTTCAACCTAAACAGGGAAGGAGATATCGACATCGACGTTCAAAACCTCAACCTAGGGGGATTCAGCGATGCCCTAGATCATGTTTCAGCAGAGCCCTCAAGAGTAGCAAGCCCAATAACCCTAGAGAAAGGATCACCAGTCGATAGCTCTCCCGCAGGAACTCTACGACCTGAGAGAATGTTAGGATCAGTAGTACCTGGGCCACCAGCCCCTGCTGCTCCCGCACCAGGCACTAGCATACTTGGAATAACTGAGAATCAGTTTCAAGCATTTCTAGCAGCAACACGAAATACAGGATAAGGAAACATCCAACGACCGAAAGCAAAAAAACCTGACACATATGAAGGAGCCGATGACAAGATACAAATATTCCCGGCACAGTGTGAAGGATATTTTGCCGTTAAAGGCTATGGAGAACACTATGATGAGATCAAGATTCCATATGTGGAATCTCTACTAAGAGGACTCGCGGAGCAATGGATCATGCCGTTCCAAGATAGAAGGAAACAGAGGGAATGGGTCACGTACGAAGAGCTCAAAGCGACACTCTTCGAACAATTCGGGGATCCCAACGCCAAAGAGATGGCAAGATGAAAGCTGGAAAAACTCCAACAAGGAAAACAAACCTTTTCGGCATACTGGAACGAATGCCGACTATTGGAATACGAGGCCGAGTTTGATGATGCTACCTTCTACATCATCCTCCTAAGAAACTGCAGCGAGAGACTCCGAGAGGCATGGGGAATTTCCAACTTACATTACACCATGGTAGAACGATTTGCAAGGTGAGCCATTGATAAGGAAAGCAAGCTAAACATGGTTCGAAGCAACTCAGAAAACACTATAGTACGCAGGGTGGTCCAATCATCCAGGAATGTGGATGGAACCTTCAAACTGCAAGGTACACTTGCAACGCATACTTACCAGGCGCACGTCCCATGACTCATATTTGAGCTATGTGTGAAAGCATCACAAATCCTACACATAACAAATCATATAACTCAAATGAGTCATATGTGTGAAACAATAACATACCTGTGACTCATAACCATGTATCACGTGAAAACCTTTTTCATGCCAAGCCATGTTCGTGACATCATCAAGGCTATACAAAATCCTACTGGGCATTAAATAGAATAGATCATATCTCATAGCCCCCTCCGAGTCAATCATCAGATCTAAACCTTATTGAAGCCTTTTGGGCTGATATAGCGCCAGAACTGGGGTAGATATATGAGTGGATGTTAAATGAAAATACATTGATTGTAATGTTACAGGTAGTATGGAAAAACATTACTCCGGAATGACACCGATAGCTTATTAGAAGCATATGCTGTAGACTAGAAGCTGTGATAGCAGCTGGAGGTAATGCTATACAGTATTAAATTGTAAATATACTTCTTTTCTTCTATTCTATAGACTGATGAGATATGCAGATTATAGACCTTCCAATATGGGTTAGTAAATTTCACTAGTCTGTTGATTATTCATCCAGTAAAGTAGCTTTACCTGTTCTTCAAGAAAGGAATTCGTGTAAGTATTTCCACCAGCAAAAATATGTTTCAAACATCAAACTATACTCTGAGCTTCCAGTTCACTCAAACTCAGTTTCTAGCCTGACTGAACTTCAAAAGTATTCATTCTCAGCTGAGCCTAGCAGCGTATTACCGGTAAGTTTATAGTACTAGTATTAGGTTAATAGAATATCTGTACATAGGTTCTAATATACTCATAGAATAAAAAGAGAATATTATGAATGCTACGAGTGCTAGAGTTAAAAAGACTTACCAAAGACGAGGCCAAAATCTTTAATAGCATTCCTGAGCTACCAGCCTTCAATGCTTATGAAAGTTTATTTCCTCTGCACTCTGCACTCCCGATTCTTTTCTCACCAATAGCTAATAGTTTAAAACCATTGGAGATCTTTGATCTTTTTATCGGAGAAGATATATTAGTACCAATCATAAAAAATACAAACTAGTATGCTGAAATAAAGTGACAAGGAGAGTGTAATGTTCCCTCTTTGGATAATTAGTGCTTGGCGACAGGGAACGATACTTCTCTTCCTGTCTTCTTCTTCTCTTTGTCTTACGATAGCTCTAGGCCTCTGCCTATGTTACCGATAGTACAAGACCCTTATCTTCTACCGGGACCACCTATTGTAAGCTTTCTCTAACTCTTCTTTGTAAAGCGCCTGCCTTGGCGTAATGATAATGTTGCAATAAAGATAAAGATCGTAAAGGTATTTTATATTCGTTAAAGTAATAAGTAGGAAAAGTACTTAGAACAAAGCGTGAAGAACCTATCTTCCTCGGCCGCATCGGCCTCCTTATATAGTGTTCCTCCCGCCTTTAGTTATGTGACCTAAAGTGGTCACATGTATGAAACTAAATCATAAAAAACTAGTCATATGACCAAAGTGATCACATGCTCAAAACCCATGACCTCATAGCGAGGTCATGTGCGAAACTCATAAACCAATCATAACGCAATAAACAAGTCATATGACTTGACTGAGTCATATGCACGAAACCCATGACATCATAATGAGGTCATGTGCGAAACATAAATCATATGCGCAAGGCTTGCCCGTAAGGCATACTCGTAAGGCATACTCGTCAGGCGCATGTCCTATGACTCATACTTGAGCCATGTGCGAAAGCATCACAAATCCCACACATAACTAATCATATAACCCGAATAGGTCATATGTGTGAAACAATAACATACCTGTGACTCATAACCATGTGTCACATGAAAGCCCTTTCCTCGCTAAGCCACGTTCGTGACATTAGCTCCCCTCCTCCTAAGCCTGAGTCCCATCAGGCTTTTTCTCCCAGTTTCAATAGTTCCCGTCCTGCCGAGAGCATGGTCCTTCTCAGCTTGTGGAACTTTTCGTCTGCCATCCTCCATCTGACCCTTACCGATTCCAGAGTCAGATTCGCCATCTCGATCGTGTGCCGCTGATTGTCATTCAGCTGTCTAAGCTCCGCGATCGTTTTGTTGTTTGCCGAAATTGTGGCCTCGGCTTGGCACAGTTGTTCTCGGACTCCCCGGATCTGCCTGTGTAGGCTCCTGACATCCGGTTCCGTGTCTGCCGAGGAATTTTGGGCTCCTCCCTCCTTGGACCGCGTCCTCGCGGCTCATGCCTTTCTGGCATCTTCTTTTTCCAACTCTGTTCAGCTT